TATGATCTATTAATTATTGCATTTTCCAATGAACTGTAAACCCACTTTTCTCAGACCCTGTATGTACCCCCATGTTCACTGCAGCACTATTCACGATAACCAAGACATGAAAACAACCTAAGTGCTTTTAGACCTTTAACTGGACAAAGATGTTGTACAGACTTCCGGCCAAGATGGAGGTATAGGTAAACACACTTCACCTCCATGAACAACTACAGCAAAAATTACAACTAGATTACAAAACAAATTTCACCCAGACTCGTCAGGAAATCGAACTGTATGGAAATCAGACAACCAAGGATTTAAAGAAGCCACATTCATCCAGACGGGTGCCTTTACTACAACAGGCTGTGCTATTAAGATAGGGAGTGAAAGCAGCTCTTTGTAATTACAAAGCAACAAACACGGGAAAGATGCCAAATTGAGGAGACAAAGAAATATGGCTCAAATGAAAGGACAGAACAAAACTCCAGAAAAGAACTAAATAAAATGGAGATAAGCAACCTATCAGATGTAGAGTTCAAACCACTGATTATCAGGATGCTCAAAGATATCACTAGGTACTGCAGGAGCATAAAAAAGACCCAGGCTGAAATGAAGGTTGCATTAAGTGAAATAAAGAAAAAATCCACAGGGAATCAACAGTGGAGGGGAGGAAGCTGAACTTCAAATCTACAATTTAGAACGTAAGGGAGAAAAAAAAGCATTCAATCAGAACAGCAAGAAGAAAAAATAATAATAAAAAATTAGAATAAGGAGCCTCTGGGACATCTCCAAACGTACCAACATCCGAATCACAGGAGTGGCAGGAGGAAAAGAGGAAAAGCAAGAAATTGAAAACTTATTTGAAAAAATAATGAAAGAAAACGTCTCTAATTTAGTGAAGGAAATAGACATACAAGTCCAGGAATCAGAGAGTCCCCAAAAAGTTGGACCTAAAGAGGTCCACACCAAGGCACATAACTAAAATGTCAAAGGTTAAAGAGAGAATCTTAAAAGCAGCGAGAGAAAAGGGGAGAGTTACCTACAAAGGAGTTCTCATAAGACTTGTCAGATTTCTCAAAAGATACTTGACAGGCTAGAAGTGACTGTTAAGAAGTATTCAAAGTGATAAAAAGCAAAGACCTATAACCTAGACTACTCTATCCAGCAAAACTACCATTTAGAATTGAAGGGCAGATGAAGGGCTTCTCAGACAAAGCAAAACTGAAGGGGTTCATCATCACCAGGCCATTATATGAACTGTTAAAGGGAACTATGTAAAAAAAAGATCAAAACTTTGAACATTAAAATGGCAACAAATGCACAACTATCAACAACTGAATCTAAAAAATGAACTGAGCAAATAAGCAGAACAGAAACAATCACAGATATGGAGATCATTTGGAAGGTTATCAGCTGTGAGGGGGAAGCGGGGAATGGGGGGAATAGGAAATAAGGTACAGGGATAAATACAAATTGGTAGGTACAAAACAGACAGGGGGATGGTACAGGAAACGGAGTAGCCAAAGAACTTATGTGCATGACCTATGGACGTGAACTAAGGGAGGGGATTGCTGGAGGAAATGGGGGTACCAGGTGGAGGATGGCAAAGGGTGGAAAATTGGGACAACTGTAATAGCATAATCAATAAAAAATATATACAAAAGATGTATGTATACAATATACTGCTCCTCAGCCATAAAAAAAGACAATTTATTTCATGGCTTTTGAAAACATGGATGGGTCTTGAGACTATCATGCCAAGTTAAATAAGTCAGATGGAAAAGAACAAGATCATTTCACCCCAGGCTGGTGTGGCTCAGTGGACTGAGTGCCGGCCTGCGGACCAGAAGGTTGCCGGTTTGATTGCTGGTTCAGGGCACATGTCTGGGTTGTGGGCCAGGTCCCCAGTTGGGGGCATATGAGAGGCAACTGATCAATGTTTATCTCACACATCAATGTTTATCTCACACATCAATGTTTCTTTCCCTCTATTTCTCCCTCCTCTCCCCTCTCTCTAAAAATAAATACAATCTAAAAAAACTCCACCATGATTTCACTTATGTGTGGGATATAAAACAAAGCAACACATGAACCAACCAAACAAACTCAATAGACAGAGGCAACAATATAGTGGTTACCAGAGGGTAGGGTGAGTTGGGGGGAGAATGAACAAAGAGGGGTCAAATATACAGAAGGGGACTTAGACTTTGGATGGTGAGCACACAATGCCCTATACAGATGACGTATTATAGAATTGTACATCTGAAATTTATAATGTTACTAACCAATGTTACCCCAATAAATTTAATTAAAAATAACTAATTTGCCTACTATGAAATAACTGGAGGTGTGCCAAAGATGTAACTATTTGTTATAATAATATTCAGTGAAGATCAACAAGCCAGGATTATGGTGCACACATATAAGGAATACTTTGCTGACATTAAAAGTCATCCTATAGAACAGAAGCATTCAAAATATCAGCTAATTCTAATCTTGTCATTCTTCTGGTTAACGAAATTTAATGTACCTTACAGTTTTCAGTATTAAATCAATTTCATTATTGTACTCCACAAAATAGTAATGCATTGTATCAAGTGGTGCTAATAGATGGAATTTATTCTTCTTCAGTTGTCATTATTTTCCAAATATGCTACAATACTTTTTAACTGGTAGGTTTTCTTAAAAGCTTAATTATAGACCTTTCTTTTGCATAGCTGTAAAATTATAATTTCAATGAAATAAATAATACAGAAACAAAGATATCAAAGATTGAGTAAAAAAAATCTCTCAGGTATTATGGAGTAATATACTAACCCATAATACTTTAAAATGTTTAAAAAACATTTTAGAGATGGGAAGGGAGGGAGAAAGAGAGGGAGAGAAATATTAGTTGCCTCTCCCACACCCCAACTGGGGACCTGGCCCGCAATCCAGGCACGTGCCCCCACTGGGAATCAAACCAGTGACCTTTTGATATGCAGGCCAGTGCTCAATCTACTGAGCCACACCAACCAGAGCCTAATCCTCATTTTTATTTACTATAAATGTTACCCTAAATTAACAATGATAAATTAGACTTGAATTTACAAATAGGTCTGGTCTAATAATAAGATTCCATTCTTTTACTCTAAGACATACTTTGGTGAAAAGTCATTTTGACTTTTTAGGAATAAAATGCGAAAAAGAACAGCAAATTTATTCCAAATTTGACACCTCAGGTTCAAACTGTATCTTACATGAAAATTTCAAAAGTCTATTATATATTTTATTTTAAAAAATATTTTATTTACTTTTAGAGTGAGGGGAGGGAGGAAGAGAGGGAGAGAAATATCGATGTGTGAGAGAAAACATCAACTGGTTGCATCTTTCATGCCCACAACCCAGGCATCTGCCCTGACTGGGAATCAAACCAGTGACCTTTTGGTTCGTAGGTTGATGCTCAATCCATTGAGCCACATCAGTCAGGGCAGAAGTCTATTATATATTTTAAAACACAACAAGAAGTAAACATGTTTTATCATCGGAATTATATGCTTTTAATTACTTCTGAGCAGTGCAGTGAATGAATGACAGTGATAATTAGGAGAGAAGCAGGAAAAACTTTTAAGCAGTAGTTCTTATCACCATTCTTTAATAGATGACATCTAAATATGTTTCTGGAATGAACAGATTAAGAGTATTTTTTATATAGAAATTGCAATGGTCATTAACTTTCTTAAAGTCTTAACAACTAAAATTATAAGATTTTTAAATATGACTTTTTCTTTTTTTATATACAGCTTTTAGTCACATTGAAACCATACTTTCCCATTACTCAGTTCCTTTGTTTCTGAGTGCCTGCCTTTGGGTGGCAGGTGCCTGATTTAAGTTTTCAAGCAGAGTTATCGTTCAGCGTTTAAGTCATTCTTTCTAGTTGTCAAGAGTAGTTAGAGCAGGACCTTAAAGGACAGGTCAAAATTAAATCAGTAATAACAATACCTATACAACATACCAAAAGTCATGGAACACAAATCATTATTAAGAAATGTTCAATAATTAAAATGGCTTTTCATGTTAAAGCCATAATATATACATGCATATATAACTATATATATATCTTTAATTGTGGGTGCTACACTTGCTATATCTTTGCCCCTCAGATGCACTTATAAAATTCATTGCTACATGACCTTTTAAAGATTTTTAAGAACCTCGCTCTAAGTGACTTGTCACACAGTGAGACAGCAACACAACTGATATACATTGTTAATTTTTTCAAGTAATGTTATGTACAGTTTTATTGCCAGTATATGCACAACAGTAAGCATAGAACTATAAATACACAATGTAATTAACAGTAGAAAACAAAATTGTTACAGGTAAAGGGGGGAGATATAGAGAAAATTCTCCTGCTGCTAGAACAGAAACAAAGGTAAAAGCCTATGACAAATCATCCATTCAGTACTTTTGTCTTAAAAGTCTTTACATACATTTCTACATTTTTTTCCCAATTAAACAAAGAAAGTACAGATAACTCTGTAACAACAGCAAATTGCTCCCTAATAGCTATTTGCCTTTCCAGTCAAATTCACTTTATGTTAGGATTAAAAAAAAGTCAAGATGAGCAATCATTAGTATCCTGGTTCCAAACTATCTACTTTCTTCCACCAAAACTGGCAATTTTCGCAAGTTGGCTGCACATGGAAAGAATAGATGTAGCAAAAGGTGATTTAAAAAAGTAACACAAAATCACCCTTTAAATAGTTTTCCAAAAGACACTATCGGCAGCAGCTCAGTTAGAAGTATTAGCCCTGAAGAGGTAGAGAATTTGAGCCTATTATACAAGGAAATATAGCCTTGGCACCATCTTCTCTCTCATCAGGATCAATGTTTTCAAGTAAGACAATTTCACGGTAAAAGGAAACCAGGTTCCACCATTTAAACAAAAGGTGCTGGTCGACTCTCATGTCTCAATAATTAGTTTGTTTATTAAATGAGAAACAGAAGACTGTCAAGGACACACATGCACTTGATTTTTTTTGTCTGTTTCCATTATCAAGTTTATTCATAAGTGAATTTGATATTAATAAATATAAAAAAGCATCATTCACAACAATGACAAACCAAAAACCCTGCAATGAAACCTTCTATTTTAATAAGTATCAAGAAAAAGACAGGCAGATGATTTGGTGCAGCTTTCTTGAGGGATCATAGAGGGGGCATGTTTTAAATAAAGATGGCAAGATCAATAACCAACAAACAGTATCAGTTTTACAAAACTGGCTGATTCTGTAACATTTCTCTTTGAGGTCTTAGTTTTATTTTAAACTACAGATAACCCCAAAGAAGTGGCAACTAATGACATGTATCACCATCACACCGACAGAGTCCAGCTGTAGTTCAAATTAGTCTGCTTTGTTTCACGTCATTTCAATATTTCTAGCATAGGACATGATAAGAAACAAAACTCAAAGTAGCAATAAAAATATTATTCTGCATTTGAATAAAAGCAAAAAAATGTTTTAGACTGTTAAACTTTTAAAGCTTGAAGCATTCCTGTTTAACCAGCATTAAAAAAATTTATACAATCATAACACTGGCAAAGGTTAATGGGAAGACAAATAAGTACAAACATGTGAAATGATGAGTCTGATTTAAAATTACTTTGTATTGATCAACTGTTAATACTGCTTCTTCTTGAATTTGGAATAACTATCATAAAAGTTACATGCAGACTGAGGGTAGTCCTCTGTTACAGAAAATACAAAACAAAACAAAAAACTAAAACTAGGAAACAATGGTAAGTTCCAAAAGATGTATTTGAAAATTTCCTTTCACTGATGAGGGCGGTCTGTCTGTCCTTTCTTTGAGAGACCTGGTTCACTTCAATCGGCTTCACTAGCTTTGTCCAGAAACGTCAGTAGTGGGGTCAGCTCCTCCAGAGCCTGTTTGTGCGCGTTTGATGTAAAGATTCAGTAGCTTCATCTGCAGATTGAAATCAAACATGTCAGTTGAGCAAGCTGCTCTAAATTACAATACGATTAACCTTTAAAGATTATATGCCCACATGTAAGCTTTAAAAGAGATTTTTTTTTTTTTAAGATGAGGGATTATTATAATGCCCAAGTTAGTGCTGACAATTAGAAATTACAAATTTTTTTCTAATCTGTTTGTTCATGATTGGGTAGTCTAGCATGTCCTTTCAAAAAATGTTGCAGTGTTAACATATAAAAATTCAACTAAATTTAGAAAACAGAAGTCACCATTAAGACAATAATGACAAACATGTAAGCACTATGCTCTATACAAGATACTAACTGCCTTACCTGATCTCTTTTTATCTTCAAAACATTTTATATATGAGGACATTGAGGCAGGTACAAAATGTATGAGTCACTGTCTATGGTCTCGAGGAGAGGTAAGAAGTAGGCCGGCAGAGGAAACTACGTCCCTGGGTTCTAGGACCCAGGATCTTAGACAACTATGCCACTGTTCTCTTAATAAAAATGTTTTTGATTTCTCTGCATCATTTTGCAGTCTTTACTGTATGAGAACATATTTCTATAATGTTTGTAACCAGTATATATACAATTGTGTTCTACTTTTTTCTTCTAATGTCCAAATAATTTCCAAATATTTTTTTCCCATCTAGCTACTGTCTTCATATGCAACATTACTGGTTGCCTGGTATTAGGATAAAGTGCTGAATTTTAATTCTTCTACAGACAATTTTGGATTATTAGGACCTAATTTAAGTTCATCACAAAAGTAAAATACATTTTTCTTTAAAAACCACATTACCGTTCAAAGGATTCTTTTTTAACATGAACTCTTTGATTCGTAAGTTTTTAACCCAGTGTCCATGGGATTCAGGAATTCACTGAATCCTCTGAAATTATGTATAACATTTACTGTATCTCCTTATTTTTCTTGAGATGACATTTTACCTAAATCTCAAAGACTTAGGTAAAAGTCTTAACCCAGAAAGGGTTAAGAATCACTACTTTAATCTATGTGTTGAACATAACTTTACAGGTATTTAATGTAAGATGTATACCTAAGCTCATTTTCCTTGATATGTGTTTTTTCTGCCCTTTTGCTATTTTAAATCTAAATACGATCATAGTAATAATGATCATTAGGATTTGAGGAAACTCTCTAACTGAAGGCAAGTGTCTCCTATTAACTTGTTTATAAGCCATAATTCACCAATCATAATTTACCCTCACCCCCTAGAATAAATTTCAAAATTTTGATAGCATCAAAGAAATGAGAAAAGCAAGACTTATTCTATGGATTGTTTTTAAACCTTCAGATCTAATTGGAAAAATTATTTTAACATACCAAATCAAAGCTGTACACTTATCTGGATTAAAATAAGAATAGAAAGAGAACAAATAATTGTCATATCATAGGGAAAAATTTTAAATATGTTCAAGGGTTCCACTATTTTGGGAGATATAAAGTAACCCATGAATATATAACCCTATCTATTTTTAATTTAACAGTCCCCGAGGGTAAAGATTTGGTGTGGGAATGGCAAAGAAGTAAGCGGGCTATGGTAAGCAACCAGAAGCATAGGCATTTCTTTCACAGCAGCCTACCAACAACCCCACCAAACTGCTGACTGCACCACAGCGGCAAAGAAGAGAGCAGAGATAGCTAAAATGCGAACGGGAGGAAGAATAAATTGAATGTTCGAAGTATGACTGATTAAAAGCTGAATATAAATGTACCCTTTAACGTACACAAAAAATACATTCTGAAGATATACCATGGCCACCACCCTTAGAAAAAAGCGGCTCTACTTACTTTACTGCCAGTGAGCTGACTGAGATGTGGTTTTAGTTCATCACCAATGACTGCATGCACAGCCACCAGGCAGAAGACACACGCTTTCCGAACACTGCTCTCTGAATTATCATAACCCTAAAAAGAAAAGTCCTTATTAGCACTGCTGAGGGATCTGAGAGCAGCACCATTCTAACAGAGGCAGAAGGTGCAACTCAAAGGTGCGGTCTCAAGTTTTACTGACCGGTAACTCGCCAGCCCTTTCAGGCAGAGGCACGCCCTTCTCTCCCTGTGTTTCCCCTTCGGCGCCTCCACTACTAGCCTTCCTTTTTCGGTTTTCCTGTTTAGCTTGGAAAGCTGCAATTCTGTGCCTCTGAGGCTGCCGTTTTGCCAATCCACCCTGCAAAAAGTCTCCAGGGTAACCTCCCTAAAGGATTCAGTTCTAGAGAATTCAATAGCTCCTCACTAGCTAATAAAACCTCAGCTCCTTGCCTTAGCAGTCCAGGCTGAATGAAGCCTAGTATCTGTCCCATCCCCACCTCTACTCTAAACTATTCACTTAGCAAACATTTATTTAGTACCCATTATATGTATGATATATTCATGTTACGTATGTGCTATTCTTAGTATCAAAGCACAGACATAGAAGAAAGATATTTGGATCTTCAAGGAGCTCACAATTTAAAATTTCAGGGCTTAAAATAGAGCCACAAAGATAATGCTATAGATGCACAAAGAAATAAATGATTAATTCTCTTCAGGACGAATCTTAACATAGCTACAATATATTATTAGTCAGCCATTAAAATTACATTATAGGATATTATTTATTAGAGAAATTTCACAATTGATTAAGTATGTTACGTTACAAAATATAATCCCATTTTTGTTACAATGTTTATATGAATAGGTTTGTGTGCATAGAAGAAAACACATTACATCTATGACTGCAAATTAGTATAACCACTTTAGAGAGTAATCTGGTAATACCTAGGAATTCTACTTCTAGATATATACATGTAAGTACAAGAAGATATTAACAAGAAGTTTCATTGTAATATTTATTTGTATTAATTGAAAGAAGCAACCCACATATCCATCAATGGATGAATGGATAAACAAATTGAGGTATAAACATAAATGGAATATTATTCAGCCAAAAAAGGGATGACATTCAAATACATGTTACCATATGGATGAACCCTAAAAAAATTACGCTAAGTGAAATAAGCCAGCCACAACGGACAAATACTGTATGATATCACCTATATGAGGAACCCAGAAAGTAGACTAGAGATAGAAAGTAGAACAGAGGTTACCAGGGACTGGGGGGAGCAAGAATGGGGGATTATTGATTAATGGGTACAGAGTTTCCATCTGGGATGATTAAAAAGTTTTGAAAATGCATGGTGGTGATGGTTGTGTAACATTATAAATATATTTAATGCCACCAAACTGCATACCTAAGTATAACTAAATGGTAAACTTTATATTATGTACAGTTTAACACACACACACACACACACACACACACACACACACACAGCTATTTCTGGAAAATATTTGGTCTGAATATCTAAGATAGTCATTTGCTCATGCTGTTAGTGTTGCCTGGAAAGTGCCTAAAATACTGAATCCCAAATCTGTCATAGCTTAGTTGCTTACCTGTATTAAGCCTGGCATAATCTCCGGTAAAAGCAGATTAAGAGTCTCCTTGGACACTCTCTCTATCACTTTTGTTTGCATTTTGATCGCAGCGAGGTTAATTGGGTAATCTGCAGTTTGGATGATAGGGCAAAGCACTTTGATGCACTGCTCTGGACTGATTGAAGTGGCCAACACTGACGCAGCTTCCTCAGCGGATCTCACCACCTGAAGCAAAGAGGAAATTAAGCAGAAAAGTAATTCAAAAAATTATCCTGTGTGCTGGAAGTACAGACCTCATGGAACAGGTATCAGGGCATGATATCTGGGATTTGCTTTGAAAACACTACACTGAGCAAATAAACATAAAAAGTCAAAGTACTGATAAAACAGGGTTGGCAAAATGTCAGTAACTGTGGAAGCTAGAAAATGGGTTCATGGGACTTTATTACACCATTTTTCCTTCTTTTGTGTTCTTTTAATGTTGGCTAAAGCAATTTTTAAATCATAATGTGGTCTGGCTGTGCAGGGAAGTGAAGGCTGTGTTCACCTGGACTACAATGTGGCGTTTCCTGCATCAGACACACTGTGACGCTGCTTATTCCCAGTGTTGTCAACTCAGGAGTGCTTCTGCCCTTTTTAATCACATTATTACAAAATAAAAGCGTTCAATATGTTATCAAGTTAACATGCTATTCCTCCTTCTGTTCATAATGATTTCCTTTCCTTCTGTATTGGGCTTGGGGTGGGGTCAGATACTGCTTTTACAATAAAGAGAAGAAATGGTTGTCTATTAGAATTTGTAATCTCTAAAGAAGGTCTTGAAAAGAAGTAAAAAGTATTGCTTTTGATGTGTCTCTGGTAGTGTCTCCCTTATGACCTCGATCTGCGAGAGGTGCCCAGAAAGGTACAGTGGAAAATACATTGCAAGTGAGAAACCCAGGGCTAATTCCAGTTTAAGAATGTCGACTTTACCATTTGTAAAAATAGGGATGTTACAGGCATTATTTGGGTCAGAAGGTGGGTAACTGAACTACAAATATTAGTTTTTCAGACCTTTAGCAAGATGCTACAGATGTATCATTACTAATACCAGCTGAATAAAAAAAACTGAATAAAAATACAGACAGATTTTAAAGTTATGACTCATTCTCCTATAAGGTTCACAGTCATACCTTCTGAATTGTGAATTACAGAAGGTTTCAATTTCTTCACATCCTCACCAACACTTCTTATTGCCTTTCTTCCTCATATGTGTGAAGTGCTATCTCACTGTGGTTTTCATTGCATTTTCCTAAGATTAATGATGTGAGCATCTTTTTGTGTGCTTATTGGCTATTTGTATATCTCTTAGCAGAAATGTTAATCCAAATCTTTTGTCCATTTTTTAAATTGGGTTTTTTTTGTTGTTGGTTTGCAAACGCTCTTCATATATTAAGGTTGTTAGCTGCTTATCAGATACGTGACTTACGAACATTTTCTCCTATACTGTGGGTTGCTTTTTCACATTCTTGACAGTCTCCTTTGAAGGACAAAGGTTTTTAATTTTGATGAAGTCCACTTATCTTTTTCTTATTGTTGTAAGTTACTTCTACTTCTGGCATTCTATCCAAGAAATTACTGCCACCCTGGCTGCTGTAGTTCAGTGGATTGAGTGCCAGACTGCAAACCGAGAGAGAGGTCGCCATTTCAATTCCCCGTCAGGTCACACGCCTGAGGTGTGGGCTGGGTCCCCAGTTGGGGGTGTGTGAGAGGCGACCTATCAATGTTTCTCTTGAACATCAATGTTTCTCCCCCCATCTCCCTCCCTCCATTCTCCCTCTCTAAAAAAAAAAATAAATAAAAATCTTTAAAAATAAGTAACTACTGCCTAATCCAAGGTAACAAAGATTTATACTTGTTTTCTTATGAGATTTTTATAGTTTTAGCTCTTGTATTTAGCTTTGATTCTGTCTCACTACAATTTTAACTTTCCTTTTTTGATTTTTGCTCATGTCTCGGTTTTACCAGAATAACTTAATGCTATCACTCAGGTGCTTTCTCTAAGGATGGTAGTCCCTATTTGAAATTCCATTTTCTAATTATTTCTGAGATTTTAAGAAAAATCCTCACAATTGTCTCATCAATGTCACTGGTGGTGGTGGTAATATCAGACTCTTTCAGGCAAACTGTCCTCATTATTTTATTTAATAAACTTTTATCAGATATCCAGCTCATATAGGCAATCTACCTCTTTAAAATAGTAATGATTCTTATCTTCATACTTATTTTAAAAAACCTAATTCTTATTGATAAGTGGAATGTAAAGTTAACATGAATGAACTCTTAAGTAAAAAACTGAAAGTAAAATGAAGAAGAAAATGAAATCAGATAATTTACTTCCTTAGAGCCAGTTTATTTTAGGTGAAAGGTGATGACATTACCATAATTCATTTAATAGAAAATAATATATGCTTGCATCTCAAGTGGACATTACCTTGAAAATCAAGGTTAAGTGTTCATCAAGGAAATGATCGATAAGGGTGCTTTTCAAGCAACATTTCTTTCATGCAATGCAGTAGTCCCCCTGGTATCTATGGGCTCAGTTACCTGAAGTCAATCAAGGTCTGAAAATATTAAACGGAAAATTCCAGAAAGAAACAGTTCACATGTTCTGAACTGCATGCTTACTGAGCTGCAGGATGAAAATCGCGCCACCTCACCTAGGACACGAGTCATCCCTTTGTCCAGTGTAGCCCATGCTACATATACTGCCACCTGCTAGTCGCTCAGGAGCCAGCTCGGTCATCACGTCCACCGTGGCAGTGTCACAGAGCTCATGTTCAAGCCCCCGTTACCCGACTTAATAATGACCCAAATGTGCGAGTGTTGTGAGGCTGGCAATTCAGATATGCCAGAGAGAAGCTATGAAGTGTTTCTTTTCAGTGAAAAGGTTAGTACAATAAAATATTTTGAGAGAGAAAGAACACATGCACTTAACTTTTATTGTAGTATATTGTTATAATTGTTCTATTTTATTATTATTGTTTTAATCTCTCATTCTGCCTAATTTATAAATTAAACTCTATCATAAGTATGCATATATAGGAAAAACCATAATATATAGAGGGGTAGGCACTATCTGCAGTTTCCCACTGGGGGTCTTGGAACATTTCCTGAAAATAAGAGGGGGGAGGGAGAATGCTGTAATATCAGAAGAACTAGGAATAAAATAATAATTTAGGTGTCGGGTAACTTACCTCCTTATGAGGATCTTTATGTGCTTCCAAAGTTTTCATGACAGTCAGTTCTGCATAGTTTTTAAATCTTGCTGGTTGATGCCTCAGGATTTCTTTTAAAACCTTTAATGCCAAAGCCCTGATTGTAGGCTAGGAAGAAACATTTTAATGTTTTTAATATTTTCAGTTGTAGAGTATCTTTTACATTTTCCATGCCTGAAAATATAGGGTCTTAATATTGGGGTAGGGTTTGGGAAATCATAGACAGCTGCATAAAGTATGTGGTGTATTGCACAATTAAGTTTTCACATCTGTAGTTGAAAATCTATCACACATCTTAAACGTGTAAAAAAACTGAGAACCAACTAATTCTATTAAAAAGGAATTTTTACTTACTTCTTTATCCCCAAGAGTTTCAAGCAGTAAAAGTAATATTGTTTTGAAGTGTTCATCCCAAACGCTAAAAGATTCTTCCTGTGTTAGTTTCATAAGTTCATAGAGGGCAATTTTTCTTTCTTCTACACGTTCATTATGGTTAGAGAGCTCCTTCAACAACTCTGCAACCAGGTCAGAATGGTCTAGGGAAAGATCTGTCAGAAGGACATGACATTTATTCTGTAACTTTACAGGTCACCTCTCCCAAGTATGAGGATAACAACTCCGTAACATGAAACAGAATGTTCATTATTAAAAAACCCCCCAAAAACTAAGTAATTTTTTTAATTCATCATCTCCAAAACATCAATACTAGTTTAAAAATTTTTATAATAAAAATTCATAAAAGAGAAAATATTATAATGATCCCAATCACCCATTACCCAGATTTAACAATTATAGTTTATCATTCTTACTTCATTTTCATGCTTCCTTCCATTTTTTTCTGAAATATTTCTCACAAAAGCCAAGTATTTCATTCTTGCATACTTAAGTACGCACTTATGGTCTCATCCCAGGAGGCAATGATCACTGGATTTAAATGGTAGCAACTTGATCCCACCACTGTAGCGGTCCCTGCCAACCTTTTAACTAACCGTTTCACCCACTGGTTGTTGCTGAATCAATTATTTTATTAGGTGTTAAAAAGGGGCTGGAATTCTTCTGTAGAGAGTAACTTTTATCAATTAGAGCTAACTGCCCTGACATATAGTTTGATAGAAGGAACAGAATACTTAATATATTTCCTTTTAAATTTCAGAGTCAAGAGTTGGGCCCAATGTTTTAAGTTTTCACTTGTTTTTGTTTTTTTAAAGTATACTTATGAGCTCATGAATTTTATGAATGGTAAAGGACACATTATTTTCATAACAGTCATTAGATAGTGCTTTGAATCATTTTTGTAGAAAGGGCAGTTAAATCCAAAAGTTCACTTTAGAATATTACAAAATAGCAGAGTTCTTCCTAAATTCTTTTGATGATAAAACACATGGTAAATTCAGGTTTTGAAGAACTTGGGCAGGCAGCCTGAACTTGTGCCATAGATAGACTCTTTTCTTTACTAACTCCTTCTCTGAAACATAAAGTAAAAAAATAACCACAGAATATAGAGCCTGGAAGGCCCACCTGGGGCCATTCCCTTATTGGGTCTCCAGGAAAGACTGGGGATGCCGTGGAGCTGTGTTCTCTGTCAGCCCACTTGGTACGAGCGAGCACGCTGGCCTTTTGTGGGAAAGGACGGCCATTCATGCTGATCCTATTAGACCAGAGGAGGCTTGTGAATCTGGCATTTGGGAGAGGGCTGCTGCCTGCATAAGAAAAGGCTCAAGAGGAAAGAGCACTCTTCCCCCAAACGCCTTAAGGTTGCACTTTGCCAACTGGCTCACTATTGATCATTGAAAACAAGCTATTGTGCCTTATCCTGCCAGCTGCTGAGCCTCTGACCTGGAGATACCAAAGACCTGACAATATAGGTCTCAGGGAACACACAACTACAAGAAGGAAAAGGAAAATTGTATTTCACTTAATGGGAGTCAGAAATCTGAGGAAAGGAAATCAAGGTCAACTAATAGAATATATAACTTCTACTGGAGCAAAACTAATAGATGATGGGAAAGGAAAATTGAACCAAAAATAATATTAATTGACTACTGAATGGAAGTTTGTTAGGGCAACTTTCATAGAATTACATTTAGAGCACTAAGAACATCTGGTCCCCAAATACTCATACATAGCACAAAATGTGATTACTGAATTTAAAATCTTGATATAATCTGGAAAGAATGATCAATGAGCAGAGCCAAATTAGGATTTTGGAAGATCAAGGAGAACTTATACAAAATGCAAAGCAAAACCATGAAAAAGAAAAAATTTGCATACAAAGACAAAAATTGTAACTTGGAGGTAAAAAAAGGTCTTATAATAATTTCACTTGTACAGACCAACACTAGAACAGTATTTCTGGTTTTGCCCTCTGGTGTGGCTCAGTGAACTGAGTGCTGGCCTGCGAACCAAAGTGTTTCACTCCCAGTCTAGGGCACATGCATGGGTTGTGGGCCAGGACCCTGGCAGGGGGCTTATGAGGCAACCACATATTGCTGTTTCTCTCCCTCTCTTTCTCCTTCCCCTCCTCCTTCTAAAAATAAATAAAATCTTAAAACAAACAAACAAACAAACATATATCACTATTACTGATTTAACAAGAACTACTATAGCAGGGTAAATGTATCCTCTAAACCCCATGAAAACGACCCCTGGAAAGTTACCAGACTTACACAGGTGTCAGAGAATCACTCTGATACAGGTGTTTTATTTCAGCTAAATAAATGGAATTACAAAAAATGCTTTTCAAAGGAACCCAGTTCTTTTTTCCATGAATATAAGCTTTGTAATTAATCTAGGGGATAAATTAGAAGTGACTTGACATATTGGGTTGGCCAAAAAGGTTGCTTAGTTTTTTCTGTACAATGGCTCTAATAATGCTTAGCTGTCTTTAACTTCATTCACAACATTTTTGTTAGACTGTATTGTGACAGCTATCATATCAGAGTGCATTTAAAAAAAAACACCAAAATTGATGCTTTTTTGTGTGCAGCCATTTTAATACTGAATATGGGAAAAAATACACAATACTTTTGGTATATTACGCTGTATTATTTCAAGAAAGGTAAAAAAATGCAAAAGAAAAAAAAGATTTGTTCAGTGTACAGACAAGGTGCTGTGACTGATCATCCATGTCAAAAGTGGTTTGCAAAGTTTCTTGGTACTACTGACATTTTCGCCAAATAATTCCTTTGCTGTGGGGCTGTCTTATGAATTGGAAGATGTTTAGCAGTACTCCTGGCCTCCACCCACTAGAAGCCAATAGCGGGCGACAGCCCACATACTCAGAATATCCAAATCAATAAAGTTATTGGTGAAATAGCCCTGGCTGGTGTGGCTCAGTGGATTGAGTGCCAGCCTGCCAACCAAAGGGTCACTGGTTTGATTCCCAGTCAAGGCACAAGCTTGGGTTGCAAGCCAGGTCCCCAGTACGGGGTGTGCAAGAGGCAACCCACACATTTCTGTTTCTGTCCTTTTCTCCCTTCCTCTCTGTCTAAAAAAATAAGTAAATTTAGGAAAAAAAGTTATTGGTGAAATAAAAAATGCATCTTTCATTTTATGTGAAAAACTAAATGGACTTTTTGGCCAGCCCAATGTAACGGTCTAGAGAGATGACAGATAGCAAAATAATTTCTGTCAAAGAAAGCACATGTATTATTTGTTACAAAGCTGAATTACTTATATCATAGATAAGCCTAGGTACTGAATTAATTAAGGTACAGTGTCATCAACAGAGAGGCACTGTGGTCATGTTAAAAACAGCCACAGGCTCTGGAGTCTTACCAAACCTCTGCCTCTTACCCTTTGTGTGACAGAGGCATGTTCTTAATTACCATGGAGGCTGTTTTCTTATTGTAAAATTGGAAAGTGGCTCCCTCCTCCTAGCGTCACAGTGAGGACTGGGGCTGGGAATACAATAAACTCACTAATAGCAATATGCCTCTGTCCTCATGACATGTGTTGGCACAATTACAAGTCTACTAATATTTTTGTTGCAGTGCTCAAAAAATATAGAATATTCTTTCAACTTGGCAATGATATGAGTCTCCTCTAAATACACTATCATCCTCAATAAAGGTAGTATTCTGGAATGTTATAGTCCCTAGTAAGCTTTACAAAGATCATTAATTAGACATGGACACTGGATATTAAAAAAAATTATTATTTTTGGGCAAGGGAGGGAGAAAAGGAGGAATAGAAACATTAATGTGAGAGAGAAACATCGACTGGCTGCCTTCGCATGCACCCCAATTGGGGATGAAACCTGCAACTCAACCATGTGCCCTGACTGGGAATGGAACCAGTGACCTCTCAGTTTGTGGATAATGCCCAACCTACTGAGTCACACTGACTGGGGCAGATATTTTTTTTGACTTTTTAAGTTTGATAAGTTTATCTACATTGTATCTGTCTGTCATGTATATAGAGATATCTGAGTGAGATATATTTCATCTCAGAATTTTAAAACAATTTCCTTTGCCTGACTTGAACAAAACAATTATCTCCTACCAAAAATTTTAGGTATTAAAAACAAATAAACAAAAAGGAGAAATTCTGCATATTAAGAGGGGGGGTCATGGTGGCTGAAAAGAATATCAAAACGGTAAGGAAGGTCAATATATTTTTTTGGAAAAGGATACTGTTAGCAATGTTTACAATAAAATAATAGCAAATTACATTTTCCCATCTCAAAATTAAAAATAAAAAATAGACAAGGAAAACAATTGCTATATGAAACTTGGAGTAACTATTTGGTTTAATTGAGGGCTTATCCATCTTCAAAAAGCATTCATGCAACCAAAAATGGCTGCCTATGTTTCAGCAACCAGGTATTATGTTGTGAAAAAATGAGATTTGCAATTCAAAAACATTCTACCCTATTTAGATTTCAGTTATATAATTTTCAGAGATGTCTTCCTTTAACAAATGGAAAAAATGTATATATATCCTTGGTAAAGGAGAAGAAAATTAGACAATATGGGGGTAATCTTGCTATGTTGTCGTAATTTTGATTTAACACGAGAAGTTGGTAAGAACATGACTCCTCAATCTCATAAAATATATTTTTCCACTTATCAAAATTACAAATGACCAGGCCTGGGAGCACTGATCCACAAGCAGGGTAAAGAAGATCTCTGCATTCGAAAGAGAAAGTATGGGGTTTCAAAGCTCAGCCAGGGTAAGAAGGGTGTCCAAATGGAGCGGTGACCAGGTGTGACCGGTCCAAGTCCGAGCAGAATGAGGACATCCATGGCACTGGGTGTGAGAGCCCAGGAGGCTGAGGGTGCCTACGTGGAAGGGCAGAGCCCAGCAGAGTGAGGGGTGCGCCTCTCTGCAAGTGAGGTGCTGGTGGTAGTGGAGATAGGAACTGGTTGCACAAAGGTGGCTTGATCAAGTAAGTAATATATTAAAGATAATGGAAGCCAGGTTTCTCACTGTCTAAAAAAGGGGGTTATCAATTTGGAAAGGGAGGAAACTAGAATTAATCTCATGGTACTAGATGACTGGAATTGGAGTTACAGTGTAAACACATAGCTTTGGATAGATAAAGAAATAAGCAGATGTAAATTAATGTGTCATACAGCTCTGGCCTCTAAGAGGTCATAGGGAGATATCTCACTAGCAGTAAGTACACCCTAGTGTATACCTTTTTTCTAGAAAAAAGAAACCAAGGACTGATCCTTGGAGAAATGGTTTCCAGGATTTCATCAGGGAAAGTATTACACTTTGCTGTGCCAGAATGCAAGGATGGAGACATGTTTCGAGGACACAAAGCCAGCTTGAATAGAATCCTGCTGGCCGAATCAGAGACAATTTCAGCAATAAAATAAATTACGATAGTTACAAATCGTAACCCATTGATAAAATAGGAAACCATGAGTCCATACAATTATAAATGTCAATCAATTTTTAAAAGATTTTATTTAGTTAGTCTTAGAGAGAGGAGACAGGAGGGAGAAAGAGGAGAGGAACATGCTGCGCCAGAGAAACAGCGATTGGTTGCCTCTTTTACATCCCCTGCTGGGGACCTGACCAGCAACCTGGGCATGTGCCCTGACTGGGAATCGAACCGGCAACCTTTCAGTCTACAGGCCAGTGCTCATTCCACTGAGCCACGCCAGCCAGGGCTGTAAATGAATTTTTAATGAATAAATTTTAAGTTTAATGTGGAGTAGGATATTTACACAGTTTTAAAGTATGTCTCCACAAAACACTGATTAGAAAAGAGTAACTTCACAGTGGTCAAGCCTCATAAGCACCACCATAACCAAACAGCCAAAGTTACTATCACCAGTCAGGGTGGAAAGTGAAATTGTTACTTGAAAAAATGCACTATCACATCTATGATACTGTTGCTGAGATACTGTAATCTGAGAAAACATCAGAAAAACCTAAACTGAGGGAAATGCTACAAAATAAGTGGGCTCTAACCTTCAAAAATTCAATGGTTATGAGAGCCAAGGACATACCCAATGCTGAAGGGGGCATGATGATTAAATACAACGTGAGATTATGAACTTAATTCTCTAGCTCTAAAATATTACTGGGACAACTGACAAAACTCTAATGGGGTTTAAAATAGGTGGTTATTAATGTACTGATGATAATTTCCTGATTCTGATGAATATATTGTGGTACGTAGGACAATGCCATTGTTTATAGAAAGTGCATCCTAAAGTATTTGGGATGATGGAGCATCAGTCTGGCAACTTACTTTCAAACTGTTCAAGAAAAAAAGTTCTTTGTACTATACCCCCGACTATTAGCTTTTGATTATTTTAAATTAAATATATATATTTCAGCGAAGGCGAGAAACGTCAGTTGACTCTGCTGGCTGGGTAGCTCAGTTGGTTAGAGCGTTGTCCCAATATGCCACAGCTGCGGATTCCATCCCTGGTCAGGGCACATTCAAGAGTTAACCAATGAATGCATGAATGGGTGGAACAACAAATCGATCTCTCTCTCAAATCAATAAATATAAATTAAAAAGAAAAAAGAAACGTCAGTAGACTCAATTTGGTCTGCCGGTTTGTGACCTCTGTGCAGAAGTAATTTTAATATCATTAAAGCTGCTCACACTACGTCTCAACTTACCAGGCTGTTGTTGCTACATGGGGTTCAAAGGACTTTTTGTGCTAGGTCCAATTTATTCACTACCGTTATGCTGCTATCGTGAATAAAACTCAGCAACATATTAACCATTTGTGACAGACTAAAACACACCTAAGTGAATAACTGGGGCAATTTTATAGATTCATATGTAATTTAAATTTACTTTGGTAAACTGTCATAATTTTGCCTTTGTCATATACTGAAGTCTCTTAACTGACATGTTTGTAAAAAACATAATTTGTCAACCTCATTAGTAATCAAAGAAATACAACTAATTTTTCTACTCATCATAATTACAAAAATTAAAAAAGATTTCTGATACCTAATCTCTCAATCATCCTAATAAATTAAGGAAATGCTTATCAGGATGACCTATTTTATACCCATCACAGTAACAAAAATTAAAAATATTTAAACATTCTGTGTTGGTCAGCAAATCAGCAGTACTTAAAATGGCCAACTGTTTTAAGCTTGTAACAAGGTAGTATATCTCTCAAAACTTAAATTTACACATCCCTTAATTGAGCAATTTTACCTCTAGAAATCTCTCAGGGTGAATTATGTATATGTATGTAAAAGTTTTTGACAAAATATGTTCACTGACAGCAACACTGAGGGAACAAAGTAAAATCAGAAACTATCTAAATATGGTGTCGAGAGGCAGACTTTCAACTTTATCTACAGGTAGGTATAGGTTAGCATACATGACTTGAGTGTTAAAAAAAAAAGGATCATGTCATTTGTAGAGGGAAATGTCATTATTATTAAAAATAACTAAAACATTTGTAGTGTTTTGCAATTTCTAATCAGTTTTTATACATCTTTTATGAACCTTACTGCATACTGTGATCAGAACGGCAAGTAGTACATCTCCATCCTCTTTTAGACTAAACAAGTAAGACCAATTTATTTGGCTACGGAGCTTAGTAATGTTGAGCTTAGACTTAAGCTCATTGTAAGCATAAGAGCTTAGACTAAAACGACTCTAAATCCTAATGGCAGATTTTTCCCATATATGGTTCTTGGATATATCTTATTAAAGATTTTGTTTATGGCTTCACACTTAAAAAGGTGATTGTAAAGAATGGGTATTCCTTCAAAGAGTTTTGTCATTCTGATAAAAAAATTAATGACTGAATGGTATCTGAAGATAATAATTGATTTCAGTTATTTCTGGGAGGCCATTAAGGTTTTCTTCTTTTCAAGGATGACCTTAGATGATTACTCTGTTTCTTGTTCTATGGGAGACAGCTACCAAACCATTAGAAATGAGCTCCTAGAGGATGAGAGATAACATTACCATTCCAAAGGTCCTTACTTTTTAGGTTATCAAAAAAGAGTATATATATTTCTTTTGCTTTGGTTGTTTACCAGTCCACCAAAACACAGGGAGAAGCAGCATTATGACACAGAACATACCATCTGGAAATTGGTCGGCATCATCATCAAACATGGCTTCCTTGAGGGCAGACTTATTGAAGGGACTGATGCTGTCTGAATAGTTATATGGGTTGTAGTCTCGAGAGCGTGGAGAGGAGTGAGCAGGCATGGAATGGAGCAGTGAAGCTTTATTATCAAGGGCTGCTTGGCTTGAATCAGTAGCATCACCTCCTGCTCTCGGGTCAGGCATCCCGGGACCACCACACAGCTATTAGTGAGAAGGGAAAGGCACAGCAAATTAACTCATATTCAAGTAACAATTTAAAATTCTAAAAAAATGTTTCCCTCCTGCTTAAAAGGCTATTTTAAAAAGGTAACAGTAACCAGCTAGGAAAAAATTACGTAATGAAAATCAACATAAAAGTTACATTCAATGTCAAAGTTTATAGTAAAAATGTGAAGAAACCTGTTGAGGGCAAATAAAAACCAAAAAAAACAATACTCTCTCTAAAGATGCTTACAGTGTCCTAGCCAATAACTTGACCAAAAAATATATACCATGTGATTAGCAACAGCTTCTCTATGACAGTTAAAGATACAAATGGACTTTCATTAGAAAAAGAACTAAAAGCTGCTGGATTCCATTAGTAAGGCAGTAAATTATACAATGACAGTATGTCAACAAACTGTAAGAAAACCAAATAAAAAAGCCTAGTTTAAGGAAAAGAAAAAGGCCTGAGAAACTGCATAACTTTTGGAAAGATGCCTGATGGTAGTTTGTGTACATTAATATACTTATTTAAATAGCAATATTAACATCAATACTAAGAACAGTATCAAAATCATTCCCACCAACTTCAGGTACAAATGGCAGCATAGTTAAAGGAGGTACCCGTGTCCTCCTTCAACCACATCACAATGACAAATCAACAACAAGACAACCATCATTCAGAACTGCCTGAAATCTGGCTGAACTGAAGTCCTACAATTAAGGATATAAAGAAGCTGTCACATCGAGACTGGTAGGAGGGTCAGAGGTATGGGTGGGCTGGTCCCACACCCACATGCAATGGATAAAAATTAGAAAGGATATCTTGGCTGTGGAGGTCCACCCCTGAGGACTGAGAGGTCCCAGTCCTACACCAAATTCCCAGCCCAGGGTTCTAGTACCAGGAAAAAAAGTCCCCATAACTTCTGGCTGTAAAAACCATCCAGGATTGTGGCTGAGTAAGACTTAGGGCTTTCAGAGTCCCAGGCAGTTCCTCCTAAAGGGCCCATGTACAAACTCACTTGGATTCACTTACTCTGAGGTCCAGTGCAGGTGTAGCAGCTCCAAGGGCACCAGGGACACACAGGGAAGAACTGAATTGTGTGGCATCAGGGCAAAAGCTGGAGGGGCAGCTTTCTCCCAGACAGAAGTGCTAGCAGAGGCTACTGTTCTTTTGATGAGTCCCCCCTCCTACCCTGGGCAGGTGGGCACCTCTTTGTCTCCATCAACCTGGCTAACACTGTTCACCCTGCCTTGGTGACTAGCTGAGATAGCACACCACCCAACTTGGCAGTCCCACTCAAAATGTTTCCAATAGCTTTTCCATATGAATAGACTTAACTTGGCTCATGCTTCATTCAGACTTTCCTAAATTTTCTCAAACAAGCAGCATCTGGCCTCAGCGTGCTCCCAACCTCTTGCTAAGTGACCCCAGACCCAGCACTAGAGACAGCTGGCTTTGGTTCACATCTTGGCCTCTTCTGGACACCTCCAAGCCCAGAACAAGTAACAGGGATCTGCAGATGGCTTTGTAACTCATGTCAGATGGCCACCGGCAGAATACAGGCAGTGGCTGACCTTGGACTGCACTTTCAGGGAGGCCCCAGTGGCAGTGCACTGAGTGGACAGCTTCAGACCACAGTGAAGCGTCACTACCCACCCATCTCCACAAGTGGCACACTCAAGGGACAGACTCAGTGGGCACCAGAGCCCACTGAAGTAAGTCCTGTTCTGTGGGGTGAGTCCCTAGACAGGTGATCTCTACAGTGGTTGAAACCAGTCTTGCAACTGATTGGCCTGGGGATAAATCCCATCCCTTTGATGTGCCAACAGCAAGCAAGGCTCAACTACAACAGGTGGGTGTACAGAGCCCACATGGGGAGGTGCACCTAATGTTCCCAACTCAGGTGAATGGGGAGGCTGTGCCACTGGACCCTACAGAACGCTTACTAATTAGGCCACTCTATTAAGCCCAGGAGATGTAGGGGTTCTACTTAATACACAGAAGCAAACACAGGAAGGCTGCCAAAATGAGGGGACAAAGAAACACGGCCCAAATGAAAGAACAGAACAAAACTCCAGAAAAAGAACTAAACAAAATGGAGACAAGCAATCGACCAGGTGTAGTGTTTAAAGCACTGTTATAATGATGCTGAAGGAACTCAGTGAGAACTTCAACAACATAAAAAATAACATGGGAGCCCTTAAAAAAATAGTCAGAAATGAAGGATACACTAACTGAAATGAAGAATAATTTACAGGGAATCAGATGAAGCCAAGAATTAAATCAGTGACTTGGAATATAAGTAAGCAAAAAACACCCAATTAGAACAGCAGGAAGAAAAAAGAATTCAAATAGAGAACAGTGTAAAGAGCCTCTGGACAACTTCAAGTGTATACCAACATTTGCATCATGGGGTTGCCGCAAAGAGAAGAGAGAGAGCAAGAAATTGAAAATCTGTTTGAAAAAATAATGACTGATAACTTTCCTAACCTGGCGAATGAAACAGACATACAAGTCCAGGAAGTGTTGTAGAGTCCCAAACAAGATGAACCCAAAGAGGCCCACACCAAGAAACATCATAATTAAAATTCAAAGGGCAAAGAGAGAATCTTAAAAGCAGCAAGAGAAAAGCAGTTAGTTACCTGCAAGGGAGATCCCACAAGACTCAGCTGATTTCTCCACAGAAACTTTGCAGGCCAGAAGGGATTGGCAAGAATATTCAAAGTGATGAAAAGGACCTACAACCAAGATTACTCTACCCAGCAAAGCTATCATTTAGAATTGAAGGACATATAAAAAGATTCCTAGACAAGAAAAAGCTAACGGAGTTCATCACCACCAAACCAGTATTACATGAAATGTTAAAGGGTCTTCTTTAAGAAAAAGAAAAAAATGATTAAAAAATATAATAAAATGGTAATAAATACATATCTACCATCAACTGAATCTTAAAACCAAAATGAACAAGTAGAACAGAAACAGACTTATAGATAAAGAGAACATATTGAGGGTTGCCAGATGGGAGGGAGGCTGCGGAGAGAGGAGAAAAAGGTAAAGGAATTAAGAAGTACAAATTGGTATTTACAGAGTAGTCATGGGGGTGTACAGGGAATATAGTCAATAATATTCTAATAACTATGTATGGTGTCAGATGAGTATGAGATTTATTGGGATGATCACTTAATAAGTTACATGTCTAATCATCGGGGTGTTCATCTGAAACTCATAGAACATTGTATGTTAACTGTAGTTAAAAAATAAAAAATGATTAAAAACAAGAACACTGTAAAAAAGTCATTACCATCATCACTATCACCACCATTTATTAAGCAAATATGCACCAAGCCATTAGCTAGGTACTTTACAAATATTCTCCAAATATTTACTGTCCATCTATTACACGCCAGGCACCGTTCTTGGCATTGAGGATGTAGTAGTTAACAAAAGAGGGAATGATGTCTACCCTAAAGGAGTTTATATTCTAGTGGAAGGACAGAAACATTACAAAACCCCAATGAATGAGTAAAGTATATGGTGTGGCAGAAGGTGCATGGGAAGCAGTGCAGCATTAAAGGAAACATGAATAGAGAGGTTGCATATTAAATAGGATAGTTGGAGTAGGATTTGCTAAGAAACCATTTGAACAAAGACTTGAAGGAAGTGGGGAAATTAGCCAAGGGACTGTCTGCAGGAATCATGTTTAAGGCAGAGGGAATAGCCAAGACAAAGGCCCTGAGGCAAGAGCATGACCAGTATGTTCAAGAAACAGCGAAGTGGTAGTGTGACTGAGGAGGAGTGAACAGGGAGGAGAGTAGCAGGAGATGAAATTGGAGAAGTAACAAGGGAACAGGGTCTACTGTGGAGACTTTGGCTTTTACTCTGAGATAGGGATCTCTGAGTTTTGAGTAGATGAGGCAGAACAGACTACAAGAGACGAAGGGCAAAATCAAGGAGGCCAGTTAGGTGCCTATTTTAATAATTCAGGTGAAAACCTGATGATGATGAGGGCTGGAAACAGAAAGGCAGTGGTGAGAAGTGGCTGGATTTTAGATATATTCTGAAGATACAGCTGACAGATATCCCAGAGACTGAGTATGGAGGACGGGAAAGAGAAAGGAGATAAAAGCAGCTCTTTTGTCCTAGGTTTTTGGCTAAGTAAGCAGTGTTGCTATCAAGATAGAAGAGAGCAGTTTTAGAGGGAAAGATGAGTTCAAACAGGCAGCTTAATGTATGAATCTGGAGCTCAGGAGAGTTCAGGTCTGGGCTGGATGACATCACGTGATTTATTATACTCACAATAACTTTGAAAATATGCAGTAATACCCCAATTTTGCTAATGAAGACACCGAGTCTTAGAAGTGACAATATGACTAGCTAATAATTGCCAGGAACCAGGATTCAGACTCATGCCAGAACCCACCACTTGAGCCCCCCACAATGTGTCTATCTTGGGGGGAAAACATCTCAATTAAGCAGTGAGTTACTAACCTGTTATTACTACCACATGCAGCTTTTGGCATAGGAAGCCTTACATGAGTGGTAAGCTGGTTTTCAGCATCCAGTTTACCAGACCCATCTGCCAGATAGGTATGAGGAGAAAAACAACAACAGGAGAGAAGCCAGGAAGGCTGAGGAGGGAGCCCTTCAGAGATGTGCTGAAGCACTGCAAAGTTCTACAATTTTGCAAACCCTGAGAAACCACAGATTCCTTAAGAAAGAGTGGGATGGTTTGTTTTGAGAAAAGTTAAACTGTCAGAGAAAAGTCTTAGTAGAGTAAAAAATAACTGTTCTTTGTGTAAGAGCAAAAGCAACAAACTGCACAGTAATTCTTATATAAGATAATATTCTTATTGGAATCACACAAAAAAGTGATAACGCAAATCATTATCACTACACTTAACAGAAAAAAAAATCTAAACGTCTTATTTTGTCTTACAACATCCATGTAATCTAACCCATGTGCTATTCCCTCACCTTTTTTTTTTGTATCCTCACCTGAGGACATGCTTACTGATTTTAGAGAGAGGAGAAGGGAGCAGCGAGGGGAGAGGGAGAGAAACATCGATCGATTGGTTGCCTTTTATATGTGCCGCGATCAGGGTCCCAACCCGCATCCTAGGCATGTGACCTGACCAGGAATCAAACCTGCAACCTTTGGTTTATGGGATGACACTCCAACCAACTCAGCCACAACCGGCCAGGGCCCCCTACTTTTTCATAATGCTCCAACTACAATGACTATTGTCCTGGCTGTCAACTACACATAACTTATTCTCATCTAATTGTCTTTGCACTTGCTATTTGTTTTAAGGAATTCTCCTCTCCTGTATTTAGGTCTCAAGGCAAATGTCACCTTCTCACGAGAGTCCTTTCCTGACCACATAATCTAAAATACATTCACTTTACAATTTTAACCTAAAACTCGACAGTACTCAGCTCTTTCTGAAAATCTACAAGGAATTTGAGGGCATAAACTTGCTTTCTAAATCTAAGACCCATGGTAGATACACAGTAAATATTTGTGATTGACCCCTAAAAAATTATGTTTCAAATGACAGAAAGCAAAGTTAAAAAAAACAAAACAAAACAAAAAATTCTTCATGAAAAAGTCTGCAATGTAAGAATATTCAAATACTCACTGAATCGCCATCCTCTTTTTTCAAATCCCTTTTCAATGGCTCGTTCATATCTTCTTGACTACGGTAGCTGAAATTCTGAATTGCTTCAGTGACACCTCTAAGAGAGCTATAGATATCTTCAGAGTTCATATTTTCTGTGTCATAATCAAATGCACTATAAAAAAAGAACAATTTTTTATCAATGTACAGTTTTAAAATACAAACCCATTTGAGGAGATTATGTAGGGTACTTATAAAGATGGGATTAGAGAACATATATTACCCAAAGAAAACAAAACCCAATAGCTATAAATGGTTAAAGAACATGTCCCTTTGTCCACTCATTAAGGGCAGCTTACACTGACTCTAACAATATAACAACTGATTTGTCTTTTCACCTTTAAAAATATTCTGATTAGCCCTGGCTGGTGTGGCTCAGTGGATTGAGCACCAGCCTGCAAGCTAAAAGGTCACAGGTCGATTCCTAGTCAGGGTACATGCCCGGGGTTGCAGGCGAGGTCCTTAGAAGGGGGCACGTAAGAGGCAACCACACGCTGATGTTTCTCTCCCTTTCTGTCTCCCTCTATTCCCCTCTCTCTAAAAGTAAAATAAATAAAATCTTATAAAAATACTTATTAAAAAAATTCTGATTAACAAGGGAGTCAGCAAACTATGACCCCTGAAATCTAATAATTTTTTTTACATATTTTTTTAATCCTCACCCAAGGACATAATGGATTTTAGAGAGAGGGGGAAGGGAGGGAGAGCGAAAGGAAGAGAAACATTGATGTGAGAGAGAAACATTGGCTGGCTGCCTCTTGTACAAGCCCCAAGTAGGGACCGAACTTGCAACCTAGGCATGTGCCCTGACAGGGAATTGAACCCAAGATCTTTCAGTCCATAGGATAATGCTCCAACCAACTGAGCCATACCAGCCAGAGCTATATTTTAAATTGTTGAAAAACTCAGAATAATATTTTATGACACATGAAAATTATATGAAATCCAAATTTTAGTGCGCATAAATAAAAGCGTATTAGAACACAGTAATGCTAATTTACTTAGGTATTGTCTGTGGCTATTTTCACCCTGTAACATCAGCGTTGAGTAGAGATCACAAAGACTGCATGACCCACAAAGCCTAAAATATTTACCACATGGCCCTTTACAGAAAGTTTGATAATTTCTGTGATTCACATAAAAAACAGCGCTTGAACAGGAGATAAATATATTTTACACAGTTTGTAAGAAAGCAAAGAATTTTTTACACTGAACATATTATTGACATGAATTCTATAATAAACTTCTAAAATTCAACTGAGGCTGGAATGTAGCTATTAAAATTATTACATTTATATAAATGGAAGAAACAGGCTGGATGTTAAGTTTGCAATATGTTTTTCTTCCTTAGATGTTGATGATTACAAGTATCATAATTGTAATGAATATAATGAAACATTCTATGGTATACACAGCTAATAACAAAAACAATCAAGCTAATAATTATAGATATGAACTACTATGCAAACTATTTTTTAAAAGACCAGGAAAAAGGGGAAACAGTTCATTAATGAGTCAAAAACTTCATTTGAAATACTTGAACCGCAAAAGTGTGTGAAAATTATACATTTCTCAAATTTTATATTAGGGACCAATTTCACAGTTACATTTTTTCCTAAGAAGTATTTATAATGCCATTTTATATTTATTCCTTTTCCCTTTTTTCTTCTCTATATTTATGTTTGTCTATATGCTTATTTTTTTAGAAGTGGTTGGTCAGTATTAGAGCAATATCCATCACTGTAACCTGACCTCACCATTTTTACCAAGTAGTATAACTAAAAGACAGAATTTGTAATTTATTGAATTTGTACAGCATATCTGAGAAACATAACTATGCTATTCAATGTAATAAGCAGTAATTTACGAAACGTGTGTCAGTAAGTTTCCTTTTGGCTTATTAAAAAGATTCCATACCATATGCATTATTATAATTTAAAGGATTACTTCTGGAATAAATGTATTTTTTTGAATATACTAAGTTTCTGTGTGTTTAAGACCTTTCAAGTCAAGTGGAAATCAGCTGGAATTACACTGATTTTTCTAATAATGGGAATTTGCAATAACAAACCATCATGGAAAATTACCCTTTTATTACCTTGGAGATAAAGTATTCTGTGATGTATTGGTAGGAGAAGTAAGAGGACTGGACCAGTTGGCTGGTGAACGTGGTGTTGGCCTTGTTAAAGGGCTCCCCATGGAACTCTGATGGAGGGAGTCAAATAAATATTAACATACGACAGTTACATAAAGTTCAACCAAAAGGCTCTTAGGAAGACATACATCAAGAGGCTGAATAACAGGAAAGCCATATTTATAGATTGATATTTTAATTATTCATGTACTTATCTCTGATTTCTGTAGGGGAAAAAACTTTCTTGCCATTCAAAAATCTAACTCTTCATTCTTTTTTTTTTTTTGTTCTCCTTGCCCACTTCTGACTCTCAAATATTATCAATATCTTTCCTCAAAGATTCAACAGACCTCAAATTAATAATTTTAAATTAGCTTCCTGTTCTAAGCCAATTTCCTTTCTTCAAACATTAATATTGCTCATATTTTATTCCTTCTTGAATTTGCTTTATAAATGCTTTTCATAGACACCAAAGACATAAAAATCTGGTCATATTATAAGTTTCCCCTGTCTCTTAAGATGTGCAGAATAATCCCTTCTCATTTGAAAAAGATAACTAAGTCTGGTCCTAGGAAATTGTTCTTAGATTGAATTTAACCCTCATATTTTTACCTTACGCCTGCCATGAGTAAATCTATTTTCTGCTTTACCCATTATCAAAAGTCTGTCTGTCTTTTAAAGACAAGCTCAATTCTTTTGGCATATTATGTGAATAATCCTGTGCAATTCAGTGATTTAACCCTGGAATGTTTCATTTACTCAAACTTTATTTCCCCAAAACAAAATCCAGTATATCCAAACATCTTTGGACCTACAAGCCTGTACTTACTAAATGTGAACATATCTTTTTAAGCACTACCCTATATGGACTTGTTAACCCTGAACAAGTCATCCTTCTAGTCCTCAAATAAGAATAGGTTCATCTAAAAAGCAAGTTCTAATTCTAATGGCTTGCAAAGCTGATGCCTTCGTCTAAGTTCTTGCTCACATTTCGCTTTCCTTGTTCATACTCTGGCTATCATTCACCGCCACCCTAATGCACACCAATTATAATATAAACATGGCAGGCCTAATGACTCTATTCTTTCCAGGACAAGATTTGTTTAGGCTCAGGAAATGCTATCCAATGTAGATGCAAAATTCCTAACCAGGGTCAAAAGTTTACTTCATGTAAAAGAAAGTAGTTATTGTTAAAACAATCATCGTATTATACAATAGCCAAGAAAAATGACTGAAAAATACCGGAGTTCCATTGCCAGTGTTTCGAAGATGATTATAAAGAAGTTTGGTAGCACCATCTTGAAAAGTTTTTGGTAAAGCTCCTAATAACATTGTAAACTCTGGGGTATTGAGTTCAAACAGGGAAATCAGCACTGACTGGGCTGCCTAGAAAACAAAGACACACAAAGAAGTAGATGAATATGTTTTGGTTACTCAAAGAAGATAATTTTCTTTATTAACATTTTTGTTCAATAGCACAAGGCTATCTTTCCAATTAAAAAAAGGTGTTCTTAGATGCTTTAAAATTTCTTTGTTGAAAGAAAGGGAAGATGAAAAGTACAACAAATGCAAACTAAACAAATCAACAGCAGAGGTTAACTGGACAGTTCCAGGGTTACTCTATTAATATACAATACTACTTCAGTTTCCCAAAAAATGATTGCAAGAAGATGGACAAAAATAAGGATGCATATCCCTAAGCTATACAAAGTCCATCCAGAGAAACTTGGTCATTTAAATTTCATTTTCCCAGTATGTGATTCTTAAATTAACTGGCCAGATCTAGTCTTCTTTCGAGCAGCTAATCCAATAAATCTACAATCCGAAGCTAATCTAGTCTAATGTTTATGTGAAAAAAGGGAAAAAACAGAACTTCTTTGGATTAGGTAAGAAAACTTACAAATTTCTTTTCTTCCTCTAAAGTAATCAACTGAGTTATTAAAAGCCACACTTTGAAATTCAGATTATGCAGAAGCTTAATTGAGGGAAGAAAGAAACTCAAATGATTCAGGATCTTTACTTGTATCCAAATGTATGCATCTTGTTCAGACCTTTTCCAGCCCCACTCTATTAAAACCTAAGCACTCTATGTTTATGGCATTAGAACATACAATACTTAGGGAATGGTTCCACTATGCTACATTGTAGCAATGGTATACTACACAACATAGCCTTGAAAGATGATGTAGCTCAATACATGAAGAAATGAGGAGAAAATTATGTACTGTTGAAGGAAAAACAATAGCTGTAACAAATTCATTTTGTTAAAAACAACAAAATATACAATGGGTAGGTATATACTCTAAATATATCACTAGTGCTTAAATAAAGTGATTTGCACTTTGAAACCAAACTTTATGATCCTGTGTCTCTTTTGGAACCACAGCATTGAGAGAACCTCAAGTTAACTGGAGCAAGCGAATTAATGATTGTTACAGTGTATGTTCCTCCATCTAGACCTTATATTGGTGTAGGAGATTCAGCTTTATTTTCCCCTTGGAGACAGACAGACCAGCTGTTCCCCAAACAGTTTACCAATGAGTGTATCCTTTCCTCATGACTTGAAGTAACATACTTATCAAAAACTAATCTATATAAAACTGTCTCTGGACTCTCCTTTATGTTCAATCAACTTGTATTTCTGCATTAAACAACACAGGCTTAAATTGCATGATTTAAATTACAATCCTTTTAGTATATTAAGATGAAATCCCTCATTTCTGTTAGCTTATACATTAATGTCTTATTTACTTCACTGGATACATTTTATATTTATTTAAAAATAATTCTTCAAGTCTTCAAATGAAAGTAATACATAGTTATGAATTTTAAAAATCCAAACTATTTTTAGAAAAGGTTTTGAAATTCTTAATTCCCCCTTTCAGCTCTCCAGAGAGTTCTTCTTTGTAATGCTTGCCTTTCCTCTGTTAGGCATTCATAGGCTTATACAATTATTTCTTGATCAGATTGAGACATTTTCTAGTGATGTTCTTGGTACAATGGATTAAAGTAGATGCCTTTCATCAGCACTACATTGCCTACTGTCTTCTCCTTTACAAACATAGCCATATCCTATTTTTGTCACATTAGCCAGTGCAATCTTTAAATACATAAATCAGATCATGTAACTCCCTTACTTAAATATATGCCAATGGTTCCTACAGTCATATCAGTATTCTTGTACTTGGAACATCCCTAATTCTTAATTCTGATGAAATACAATTTATCTTTTTCCTTTTGTTGTGTTTTTGGTAGCATTCTAGTACAACTGTAAGAGCAGATATCCTTGTCTTGTTCTTGATTTTAGGAAGAAAGCATCCAGTCTTTCTTCATTCAGTATGATGTCAGCTGTGGATTTTGTAGGTGCCCTTTATTGAACTGAGAAAGTTCTCTTCCTTTGGTAGTTTTTCTTTTACTTTTTACAATCATGAAAGGACGTTAAATTTTGCCAGATGCTGTTTCTACTGACATGATCATGTGGTTTTTGTATTTTTACTATTGATATTATATATCACATTAATAAATGTGTGACTGTTAATTCAACCTTGCACTCACAGGACATATCTCACTTGGTCATGATGTGTAATTCTCCTGTATATCAGGGATCCATAACCTGCGGGCTGCGGACTGCTACCAGTTTGGGCCTGGTAGGAACCAGGCCATACAGCAGGAGGTGAGCTTGAATGTAATGCACTTGAATCATCCCGAAACCATCTCCCCACCTCCTGTCCGTGGAAAAATTGTCTTCCATGAAACCAGTCCCTGGTGCCAAAAAGGTTGGGGACCGTTGCTTTCTATGTCGCAGAGCTTGGTTTGCCAGTATTTTCTTGAGGATTAAAAGCATCCACATTCCTAAGGGATACTCATCTATAGTTTTTCTTTTTTGTGGTGTCTTTGGTTTGGTATCAAAGTTAAACTGCCCTCACAGAATGAGTCGGAAGGTGTTCCTCCCCCCCGCCTTTTTTTTGGAAGAGTTTTTTGGTACTGATGTTTGATAGAATTCACCAGTGAAGCCATCTAAACCTGGGCTTCTCTCCGTGGACAGTTCCCCCGCCCCCCACAACGTCAATCTCTTTAGCTATTCTATTCAGGTCTGTTTCTTCTTGAGTCAGTTTTGGTGGTTTGTCTTTCTACAAGTTTGTCCATTTCGTCTAAGTTATCTAATTTACTAGCATAGTATTCCTTTACAATCTTTTTTATTTCTATGAAGTTAGTAGTAAGATTCCCTCTTTCATTTCTGATATAGTTATTTGAGTCTTCTTTTTTTCCTTGGTCAATCTAGTAAAAGTTTGTCAATTTTATCAATCTTTTCCAAGAATCAACTTTTGGTTTCACTGCTTTTTCTCTATTGCTTTCCTATTCTTCATTTCATTTATTTCAGTTTTAATTTTGATTATTTTAAGTTTAGTTTGCTCCTCTTTTTTCCAGTGTTGTAAGGTGGTAAGTTAGGCTACTGATTTGAGATCTTTCTTCTTTTTCATTATAGGCATTATCAGCTATAAATTTCCATCTAAGCATAATCTCCTAAGGTTTGGTATGTCATGTCTTCATTTCCATTCACTTCAATGTATTTTCTGATTTCCATTTTGATTTTGTCTTTGATATACTGGTGATTTAGGAATATGTTAATTTCCATATATTTGTGAGTTCCCCAAGTTTCTTTCTCTTATTGATTTTTAATTTAATTCCACTGTGATCAAAGAACATACTTTGTATTATTTTTATCTTTTAAAAGAATTTACTGAGGTTTGCTTCAGAGCCTAGCATATGGCTTATCCTGGAGAACGTCCATATGCACTTGAGAAAAATGTATATTGTCTACTGTTGTTGGGTGAAGTGTTCATCATTAGTAATAAAGGTTACAAAATTCATATTCTATGTGCTATTTTGCAGCAAATATTGAAGAAAATAATTTATCAAAGGAGGAAGTAAACAGTGTTCGCTATAGGACATAAGACATAAGTGATTAGGGGTGAACAGAGGTCTCGGGAAGATGGTGAAAAGAACGGAGGGTCTAGGAAGGAGCTTCCCAGAAAATAAATTATCTCTACTTTTGAGCATATGGAAAATATCAGCCATATATATGTGGCAGGGATGTGGAAAATACTGACAGATACTTCAAAAACATTAGAAAGGTGTCATTCATGTGATACAGGAGTGAATACTTCCAAAGTCAAAAGGTAAGGTCCACTTTTCCATTGGTAACCAACACCAATGGAAAGGATATGGGAATAATACGAGAAAGCTAAATCGTAATTTACCAAGGCAGATAGATACATAATGACTAAATTCATCAACAGCTCAAATAGATAATGCCTAAATTAATAAGTCAAGAAAAGTGTAACCTCTTATTTGAAATACATAAGTAAAACACAAGGGGGAAGATTTGGAATACTGTGAATGATTATAAGATTAGAGGTTGAGAGGATTATGGCAAGGATGATTTTTTTATCCTAAGTTTGAGAATTATACTCATAGTAAGTGGATAAAACTTAACATAATTTAAAAGACAAGATTTTTTAGAAAGGTCTTCATATCAATGCTAACTGGTAATGTACCAAAAATATGAGCTTCCTTCACTGGCAATCCAAAATTACTGACTTGCTCTTCTAATTTATTTTCTAAACCTTGTATTAAAACATACCTTCCGAACATCAGAACTCTTGGGTTCTGTTGTCCAAGTGATAACCCGAGAGACTGCTAAGCGAGTTTCACTGGAATTTATAAAATCTCCTGGATCCATCTGTTTGGCCAGAGTTTCTATATATTTGAGAATAGCAACCTTCACCTGCAGAGGTAAGCACAACGAGAGAGGACAATCAGACGGTCACTGAGGGATACTGAGAGCATTTCAAAAACAATTAGGCGATGATTTTTTGACGAATAAAAAGGAAAACAACAACAACAAAGAATTAAACAACCACCTACCTACCTGACATACAAGTATATGATAATGTGGATTTTTGTTTTTCACACATAGAACGTTTATGTCCCGGATATTTAATTGCTCATGTTTGAACTGCAGAAGACTCTCTTGACAAAATTACACACCTCTCCTTGAGTTTGCCTTTGGAGCTTATAGCTGACTCTTGTCTAGACTCCCTGACAGCCAGTTTTTATCAACTGAGTGCAGTTGGGCTTTTGGGGAAATGAACCAAAGTATTTTGAAAAGAAGGCCTTACATATCAAGTGAGTAATTAAGCTGGGCAATATAGGGTTTTTGTCAAATATACAGTAATACTCACACAATGAGAGCAGGTTCTTTAATAGGTCCATCAAGTGCTAGAACAACCTTCCACAAGAACTGTCACAAAAAAGTTTTACACAACTACCACTGGAGAAAAGACAATACTTATTTGTACAGGAGTTATATGTAGGTTTAAAAAGTCTTATTCTTCCATGAATTCCTGATGTGTGGCTGCAGGCTATGAAATCAGCAGGAGGTGGCACACAGCATTCTTCTTCCTTAGAATGAGCCCTTTTTATCCTTATAAAAAGCCATGGTTAACTTATCTCCCTTCTTTCATGTATGTTGGGGCAAAAAAATAGGTTGAAAACCACTATATTTGAAGTCCATCTTCAAACATTCCAGGGTTTCTAAATAATGGCTCCCTAAGACTCTACCAAATACACTTTGGAAATGGCACCTGGCATAGCACAGTCCTTAGAGACAGAAGATGCCAAACACATACTACATGCTGATTTCCTGACTTAGAAAAGAGAAGGTTTAAATATATGATTAAGACAGGAACTTGGAAAATACATTGCCAAAGATTAAGGTAATCAGTTTGTCTATGCTCTTTCTCCCCTTATTACTGATATTAATGTGTCATTTCTTTCACTCGATCCAAAATAAGGTCTTCGGAGAGTACCAAGCTAATATATAGGAAATAAAATATTAAAATAAGTTTCTGATGCTTATGTACTTTCCATTTTCTGCTTCCAGAAAAACAAACAAGACAGAAGGGATCGAATTACATTCTTCATTTCCTAATGAATAATTTTAAGAAGTACTTTATAATTTTACAAAATGGATTGAACATACCAAGAGTTCACCTATCAGCCACCCTGGGTAAAATGCACAGTGGAAAGGAAAACAGACTCAGGGCTAGCTGTGCAGTTGCAAGCTGCACTCAATTATGGCGGCACCTAAGATTCTGCATTCTTCAAGCCGTATCATCTTCTATCAGTTGTTAATACCTGAAAGCTGCCACAGTAAATTAAAAAATGAACATCAATGTATTTTGTTTTCAATTTGCCTCCATTATTTGCAAGATGAGATTCAATTTGTGCAGTGTCTCGGTAATTTATAGAGGTGTGTAAAGTTTTAAAAGGGTTTCACAGACTAGGTGTTTACCAAATGGGCAAAATAACCACAAATATACATATAATCATTTGACAGTTTACATTTTAGTTGCATATTTACAAGGTTATATACATAGTCTATAATTTTCATAAGACAAACATGAATTCTTCTTGAGAGAATAAAAAATAATCTAATTGCTAAGGTGTGTATAATTCTACAATGTGTTTGTGAAACCCAGAAAAAGAGGTCAACAAATTACATTTATTTTTTAAAATATTACTCAAATAAAATCACTCTGTATTACAATTTCTCCCTATATTATTACTTTCTGAGATTTAATCATGACACACCATGAAAGATAAAATTTTATAGATATATCCATCTTTCATCTGAAAGATCCATCATTTTCAAAAATTTTTTAGAGATCTCATGCTCATTATTTGTATTTTTCTGTAAACTGTTAAGTTTTTTATCCTTAATCCTGTCATCAATCTGAACAGTACTTTTATTTTTGGCATAAGATATGGATGGCTCCAATAAAACTTCTCCTTGCTGTCCTAAAATACCAATTTAAGAGTTGAAGAGTGATTTTCCCCCACAGCTTTGCAGGTGTGTATATATAAAATATAGAATAAAAAAGCTATAGAGTCTATGATTCCAGTCTTCAGTATGTTTTCCAACTGGAAAGCTAATTTAAGTTGTTCATTTCCCATTTCCCTCCTCCCTTTGTGTCGTTTTCTTCAGACCTTAGAAACTTTATTCTCTCCTTAACTCACCTTTCACCCTAATGGTTTAGACCTTGAGTTTCCACTGGCCCATGAAACATTTCTACATACATTTTCATCACCTGAATATCTACAACCAGTGCCTAAATCATAATAATCCTTATTACAGTTTACAGTTTATCAGTTATTATAGATAATAATGATAAATGAATTATAAAGTTCTGCCCTAGCTGGTGTGGCTCAGTGGACTGAGTGCCAGTCTGTGAAGCAAAGGGTCACTGGTTCGATTCCCAGTCAGGGCACATGCCTAGGTTGCAGGCCAGGTCTCCAGTAGGGGGTGTGTGAGAGGCAATCACACATGGATATTTCTCTCCCTCTCTTCCTCCCTTCCTTCCCCTGTGTCTAAAAATAAATAAATTCTTTTTAAAAAAGATATTAAAAAAAAGAAAACTAAGCAAAAATTTTAAAGAATTATAAAGTCCCGTATGTCATTATAACTTTACACTGCCTAGCACCATGCCTTGGACAAAAGATGAGTTCCGCCCTGGCTGCTGTGGCTCAGTGGATTGAGTGCCAGCCTATAAATCAAAAGGTCGCAGGTTAGATTCCCCATCAGGGCACATGCCTGGGCTGCAGGCCTGATCCCCAGTGGGGGCTTGGGAGAGGCAAGTGATCACACATCGATGTTTCTTTCCCTCTTTCTCCCTCTCTTCTTCCTCTCCAAAAAATAAATAAAACTTTAAAAAAAAGGGGAATGAGTTCTAAAAATATCAATAATATCAAGTAAATTATTCTCTTCTTCAGGTCACTTTTCAGAATTAAAAGAGATGGAATCTCCCTGACAAAGCAGCTCTGAGAAAATAATATTATGTTGAGTGTAAGTCAACCCTGGTAAAAAACATAATTGTGATTTTAAGGCAAAATCATATTCAGAAATTTAAACAAAATCAGTCCTGGGCAGAAATGCTTGTGGAAATGTATTTCGTGCAAAACAGAGCAGAAAAATATAAGGATTGTAAATGTACATATGCTTGTTATTTCCCTGACTTTGAATCTCATTTAATAATACTCACTGAGAAACATTTTTAGTAAAAACTTTAGTTCCTCTTTTATATTATTTTTTAATTTAAATTTAATGATTTTTATAACAAATTGTAATCCACCTAGTTTTCGCATAAATTTATTGGAAAATGTGTGCTAATAACAATTGAGGAAGTTAATCCAGATTCTAAATTTTATGCACACATCAGAAATATCACATTGAAAAAAGAAAAAAAAGTATTACTATTTCAGTTAAGGAGAATAGCACTGAGATTGAACTTAAAATTTTTTGTTTCCTAAAATAAATATAGGTAAAACTGACATTTTGCCCAAAATACTTATTCAGAATCTAACTTTTTAAAAAATGTATTGGGAAATCACAAACATAAAATTAGATAAGACTTTATAGAGCAAGTTTGCATTACGAGCTTAGGGTTAGATTGCCATACTTGTGTTGCCTTCTAAATGTGTACCCCCAGGAAGCTTCTCCAAAGAACAGCCTGGCATTTGGATAACATTTGAAATTAAATTATGTGCATGCTTACAAGGCTTACAAAGGTTAGTAGTTGAACGCAGATGCATACAAACATTATCTGAAACACTGCAGAATTTGTAAAGAGAGTTAAGAAAAGAAATGCAGATTAAAACAAAAAAAAAACCTTGGAGCTCCAAAAAGAGTGAAGCTGGTCCCGAAGTGCTGGCTTGACTGTCTGAAAGTTTATAAAAACAAAATCCACTGATTGAACAGCTTCTCATGTGATAGAAATACACAAATTAATATAACTTTATTAATAAAACATTTCAATTCCTTATAATGTCTTCAAAAGACTTCAATTTTTACCTTCAAACTTGGTGTTTGAGTCTGATCAACTGTAAATCTCATTAGAATATTGAACTGAAGATCATTTGGAAAAGACTCTCTAAAATAAGGGAAAAAAAGATTAACAACAAGTAAGCATTTAGCAAATTAACAGAAAATTATGCTTAATACCAAAACATAATGTTATTCAAAAAGTATACACGAAGTACTAAGTATTTGTATGTGGTATAGACTATGTGATACAATACACAATCAAAGCTATTCTCAGAAAAATCTGGAAATTTGAATTTACATCCTGTGGGGGTTAAAAATAACATAACAGTAAACAATGGTCTATTTTGCCTCAACTTGGATTTAATCAAAAAGCTGTATTTGGGCCCTGGCTGGGTGGCTCAGCGGGTTGGAATGTCATCCTGTACACCAAAATGTTGAGGGGTCGATTCCCCATCAGGGCATATACCTAAGTTGTGGGTCCAATCCCAGGTTGGGGGATGTATAAGAGACAATCAGACAATGCTTCCTTCTCCCCAACTCCCTACCTTCCTCTCTCTCTCAAAATCATATTCAGAAAAAGTTCATTATCAGAGATGTTTCTCCATACCTAATAACTAAATTCTACATTCCAACTTCATAAATGGATATTTGAAATAAGTCACTTCAACATTCTACACAAGAAAGTAAAAAATATATCATTGGTTCAAAATCTATTTTTTTAAAAAGATTTTAGTTATTTAATTTTTTAGAGAGGGGGAAGGGAGGGAGAAGGAGAGGGAAAGAAACATCAATGTGCCCTCAGCCAGGGACTTATTAGCCCACAGCCCAGGCATGTGCCCTGACTGGAAATTGAACCGGTGACTTTTCACTTTGCAGGATGACGCCCAACCCACTGAGCCACAGCAGTCAGGGCCAAAACTTTCTTTAAAAAGATTCTAAGTATTTCAATGCATAATGAAACATTCTTTTAAACTTAGAAAATATTTTATTTTTACATTAAACTTAATTAAATCTTTAACTCAACTTAGCAGATACAGCTTAATTATGATAAATAAATGTCACCTTAAATTAATCCACAAATGTTAGACATTTTTATAAAAGAAAGTAGTGTATGATCTAAGGACCAGTGTTGCATGAAATATACCATGTGAATGGGCATCATTAACAATTTTAAAATGGAGCCTATGTAATTCAAATAGTTTGAAAAGACTCAGATACCTAAACTTCTAACACAGAGACTAAATATTCCTGATTATCATCAGTTAAATTTGAAATATATAAGACAATTACCTTGTAACATCAAGGGCTTTCTGAACTTTTGCCTGAACAGACCCAAGCAAATCAGCACCCATTTTTTTTAGTAGTTGTGTCAGCAGTACAAACAACCAATCTTGAAGATCGTCTTTGTGGACTTGTATGAAGTCCACTAAAGTCTCCAAAAACATGCTGAACACCTACAGGTGATAAACAGGGGAGGAAGGAGAAAAAGGAGGAAATATTCACCTTTATGATCAATGCAAACTGAAGTAGAAAGGAATATAGGAATCAGAGGCACAGCGATTGGCAGCCAAGCAGAAAAACAATCTCTCTTGCCTTTCATTGGACTCTGTGATACAAGAGTACATTTGAAACGTTATCCAACTTCTGCTGAAGTTCGACAATTAGCTATTCCATGCAGCATCACTTGGTAAAGAAACTTTGGCCATAATGACTGGCACACCTACAACTTAAACTGGTTAAACTGAAATCCATTTCTTCTGAACTTTAGGGCAAGGAACTACCTACAGGTTTCACTGGTGCTCAGCTTGCACCAAGTTAATCAGAAGATGACTCTGCTGACAGCTACCTTAAAGTGTGAGATCATTCTGACATAATGGGTGAAATAGAGAGGCTCCTTAGATTTCTCAAAATGTCAGTTGTCACATTTTTTAAAGATATATTACATACTAAAACTGCCCCAAAAGTAATTATAATTGATCTGAAATAACTATAACTGTAACTAAAATAAATTCAGAATACAAATTTACATGTAAATTTTAATAATTTATAAAATGTCTGAGATGGCATGCTATTAGTCTTCATTTCTATTGATGAGTTTTATACTTGGTTCCAATATTAATCCATTGATTTAAAACATTTTGTAAGATAAAAAACATTTCAAGGGAAAGGATGCTAATTTCATAAGTGATGTATGTTATTAAAATACTTATGGAAAGTAACTTAATGTGTATTATATCTCTACAAGAGTAAATTCCACAGCATACTAGAAAATTTGTTTCTAGGTAAATAGGAAATAACTCTGAAGACAATGTCAGGCATGTTGTATTGAGATAATTCATAATCACAATAGAGTTATAAAAACTATGGTTTAAAAAAATTAATATGAAAGTGACTTTTAATTTGCTAATAAAGTTTTGTTCTCAGTACCTATTTTATTTCTTGAATTTCCTCTATACAATTATATATGAATTCCCATTTTTCTCATGTTAGAAATTAGAAAAATACACTTTCATTGTTTGCTGAAGATGCTCTGTATTTGTAAAAGCAGAAAGCATGGCTGCTTTACATTTTCCAGTACTCTCTGATCCCCAGGCAGCGCCTACTTCAACACTGTTCTTATTCATGACGCAGAGTCACTACCTTGGGTCCCACCCCCAAGCCACAGCCATGGCCACAGCCAAAAAACCTGGCTTATATTAGACTCAAACTTGGCCAATTGCTTGACTAAAACTGTCTTTGGACCTCAATTCGGCCCAGAATACTGTTGAACTTCATTAGACCTACTCTATGACAAATGCATGAATCTAATCTAGTACTCACTTTTACTGGTACCTGGCAAATCTATTCAGCTAGGTGTGCTGGAGTCAGTCAGCACCTGCCTAAAAAGTTGAATGTCAAATATTTAGACATTTGAAAGCCAGCTGTGGAAACCTTGGCAAGTCATTTTTCTGACCAACAATACAAAGATGCAAGGAAAATAAGACCAGCAACACTGAAAGGAAAAGAAACCAACAGAGACAAGAGGGAAGGAGGGAGAGGGGGCGGGGGAAAAGGAAGGGAAGGGGAAAGTCAAGGAACATATAGCAAGGACTCATGGACAAAACCAAAGGGGAAGAGTCGAGGGAGGGGGCAAGGGAAAGTGGTGGGGGGTAGGCAGAGACAAATGTATTTGAAAAAGTAAATTAATTAATTAAAAAAATAAATAAAAAAATATTTAGAAATTTTGTGAGCTACTTGGTGACTTGAAATAAGTCATTGTGGGAGTGTTTACACTTCTCAAATTACAGCAAACACTACAAACTACTTTCCTGCCTTTCTGTTAAACCTGGTTTACCAGCACACCACTCTCAAACGCTTGCCTGTGCTCCTGAAGATTCCAAGTTTAAGCTTTCACTATATCAAAATCAATTCTGAAAACCATTCACAATAGAATGCCTATGTCAACTCTCACATTTTCTCTGGTTCTTAGGAAACAGAACCAGAAAAACGACTTGCCAAAGTTTCTACAGCTGGTTTCCACAGCTGGCTTTCAGCTGTGTTCCATTCGCTCTATTGCTAGATAACTTAGCTTATCTACTTTACTGTCATTCAACATCAAAGTCTCCAATGACTTTTCTTCTACTTTGAATTTGTTTATAGTTATCTTTCCAATAACTGTTTCACCAAAAAAGAGCCATTTCCTGTTTGAGAGTAATGTAGCTTGACACTGCTTGACTCTTACTATTTCCCTCCTTTCTTCCATTCTTGTTGCCACCCATTTTCCTTTTGCATCCCGAGTGTGGGGTGATTTAGGAGCCAGTCTTCACTCTGATTTTTTTCATAGGAAGTGCAGCCTCTTTGAAAGGGCCTCTCTGATCTAGCCTACTATGTCCCACGACCTCTAGAATAGCTAGCTCTCTGTTGATCACACCATCATTGAAGGCACCAGCCTCCCTGGACTCAGGTCCGGATTTCTGTAGTAGCCTGACTTTAGTTGTTCAACTTCCTGTATACCAGAGATGAGAAGAGCATTTCTGTAACAGGCTGGACAGTACATGTTCTAAGCTTTGCAGGCCATGTAGTGGTTTCTGTCATAACTATTTAATTCTGCTGTTGTAGCACTGCCACAGTATGCAAACAAGTGAACAGAGCTGTGTTCCAATATAACTTGATTTACAAAATGGGAAGCCAGCCAGCACAGGCTTCTTTCTCACTATCAAATTATGGTATCATTCTTTTGATAGAAACAAAATACTTTAAGGTCCCTTCACTGTCTATAGAATAATGTCTCAAGTGCTTAGAGAAGTTTCTAACTCTCCAAATTAATCTTGGACTATCTGGCAACATAAATTCGTTGTCCTTGCACACATATCACACAAATTCTTGATTTCCTTCCATACTCTCCACTCACTCTATTTACACACAGTATGTGACTTACTATCACCACTTAAGTCCCAGCCTAGAAGCTTCTTGGATAATAGTCACTGATCCTCCCTGATGAAACTTGTGGTGGGACTAGCTTTATGGTACTATTTAACTTTTTCTGTATTTACGTATCTTCCCATCTAAAACATACAACATTTGAGAATAAAGACTATATTTTCATACAGCCTTCTATCACATAGTAGAAGCAAGTTCAAAGTCATTAGAGGCTGAGGACTGAATATAAAGTTGTTCAATGAATGTGTAGGAAAAGTTCCTTAAAGAGTTAAGAATTTTCTCTTAAGTGAAACCCTGTAATTAAATGGTAGCCAACCCTTTTCCCCCAAAGCAAAGGAAGATGTGTAAGTCACTCTTTATCCCAGCCAAATTTAACTTCTTTTTCTTTCCTATAAACTTTCTGAATCTCCCACTTCTCTGGATTCGGGCTAGTCATTCCCATGTCTTTCTTCTCATGCTTACATATCCTAAATTGATGTTCCTGTCAAACTCCGAATTGCTATTTCCTTCTAGAAGACTTCTTTGAGTCTCCTAAATAGAAATTTCTTTTGAGTAGATATAATGTGAGGATAGCTAAATAAAAATGTAAATATGCTTTTATAGTATTCTACATACAGAACTGTTATTATTATTTTTCAAAATATTTGTATCTTATCAATAGCATTTACTAAATGATAATACAGCTGTTTACATGTATCTATCTAAAATATATATTGGGAATTTCACATAATAGTTCTTACTTGATTGCCCTATCACAGTTTACTGGCAGATGTTAGTATTCTCCCATTTCCTTATGATTAAATGAGAAAATAAAAAGTGAGAATGCTAATATAATACTATTGCAAAATTTTGAAGAAAATGTTGAAAATCACTGATCTGTTAACTGCTCTGTTTGCTTTTAAGGAATGACATTAACAGAATATTAGGAAGTACATATGGGGAGGCTGGACCTAAATTTTTAAAAAATAATTGTGAAACTTGGGTATCATGTTTTTAATAATTCAATGGAATCAAACTTCAATGGAATCAATTTATGCTCCCACATATCTCACAACTGTAATCTACTGCAAATGAATTATAATATTTGATCATTATAATATTAATATAATAAAATAAGAATTATAAGAATTACAATTGAGGCAGCCTTTTACTTAACCTTGCTCATATCTTAGGTGTGCCAGTCATCAAATACAGAACAGAAGAACATAATCAAATTAGATTAATTAGTAGATTAAAAAGCACATCTCCAAACAGAATGACAGTTTGCATAACTGCGGATAGCATTTCGTGGATTGCAAAGGGTCCAACACTGCATGAACTCTTCGGGAGAGAAAATAGAGAAAAAGGGTTAATTGCACAGTCATGCAGTAAAGTTAGGTTTCCAACAAATATTGAACCAACTTACTCTCTATTGAGAGTTCCAACACAGGGGACAGCATGCAAAAAGAAAAAAAGAAAAAAAAGAAAAACACACAAATTAGTCGCCATCAATGCAAAGTTCCTATATGGAAGAAAACACTTAGAAAATAAAAGTGACAAATGCTTTTCAGTTTTATGATAAACTCAAAATAGTTTTTAAAACAAGAATTAAATGAATAGTATGGGAAAAGAGCATGTGATTTTCCTGTCTATCTCCCTCACCTCTTTACCAAGAAAATTAAAAATTAAAATAACCTTCTCTTCCAGGTCTCCACATCCTTGAGGCTCAAATTTTGGAAAGAACCTAAGACTAAAAGACATCTGGCCCCCACTTCCGGACAGTGCCAACGTGTGCTTCCAAAGCATGGTATCTACAATTTTTACGTATTCTTTTCCTCCTCAGAAGCAACAGATTTACAAATTATTTTTGTGAAGGCTTGAAACAATTACTATTGTTTGGAGGTAAAAATTAAGTGTTTATATCACAACTTTTACTTTTCCCCAGATAAGATGTGCATCATGGTCTCCTGATCTTAGGACTGTAGGCAGCTCAGATGCCTAGTACTCTCTCCAGGAAACCAGATGTGACCTTCTAGGGCACTCAACTGCATGCATCCCACTTTAGTAGTTACAGACTAAATTCTTACCCTAGCTGTTCGAGACTCAAGAGCATGGCTTCAAAAGGTAGAAAGGACTACTGAGGTCATAAAATGCCAATTCAAAGCATGCACCTCATGAAGGTGGCTCTTTTCAGCTAGTTCTTTCACAGTCAAATGCTAGAACACAGGACAGCTTTTGGTATGACACTCCTTACATTTGAGCGAGAAAATGGGTCTAGAACAGTCAAAATAAAAATCATTCCTGAACTCTGTAGTTTTTCAAACTTTCTTAGTTTTTAAAAACTCACATAATGCTTAGTATATCCTCAAGGCTTTATATATGTTAATTCATTAATCATCATCACAATCTTATGAGGTGGGAATTACTATCAACTCTATTTTACAGAATAGGAAACCAAGGCACACACTGCAAATAAGAGCTGGAGGTTGAATTTGAAACAAAGCAAGCTAGCTCCACTATCCATACTTGGTACAATGTTTTGCACTGCTTCTCATAAATTTATTAAGTTGCTTTAAATTACACATTTGAAGCTTCATGATCTAAATTACTGCCATATGTATATTGTGGTTGGATCACTTACTCCCATATTGGTATCTGAAGGGAAAAAAAAGTTTATTCATCAAGTTATAGATATTAAATCATTTCAGCCTGCAAACTATATTTGCCAAACACATTATTCCTGTACCAGGAAAGAAATCCAGCATCTACGTCAACTGTATTCAGGAAAAGCTCTTTTCTAACCCTTCCTTTCTGAGATGTCTGGACTGTGTACTGGAGATTGCCTGATCACTAGCTGGAGATACATATATATATATGTGTGTCTGTGTGAGAGTGTGTGTGTGTGTGTGTGTGTGTGTGTGTGTATAAATAAAAAATATTCTGGGGGCTGGATGTGTGTGTGTGTGTGTGTGTGTGCAAAAATAAAATATTTTGGGGGCTGGAGAAGGTGATGGAAGGATGAGGGGAGATGGGGCTCTTATGGATGCTCATAACCTGGTTCTCTTAAGTATCCTCTTTCTGCTGGGGACAGCAGGTGGTCTCAGTCATGTTGGGGAGAACAACTTTCAGTAATCATGGAAGCTGGCTACTATCCAGAAGCTGATAACATGGAAACTGGTATGATGACTTCAACCTCCAAACGCTGTGGTCCATTCTGGTGACAAGGCTTCAGATTATTTCTGTCCCATGAACTTTCAGAGAAGTGCTTTCAATTCAGAGTAAAGAACTAACCAAGGCTTGAAAAAGAAAGCAAAGTGTCCCTGATAGCATACTTTAAGGCCATAGGGAAAAGTGCAGGGCACATTTGGGGAAATGAACATAATTCTGGCGGGCCTGAGAAGGAAGAGTCAATAAGGAGCCAAAATGACAGGTTTTGTTTGAACATTTTCTTGAGGTGAATGAGTAGTCACTGAAGTGCTTTAAGCTTGTGGGAAAGATTTACTTTTTAGAAAGATTGCTAAAGAATGCAGTATGGAGCCTTGACAGAGTAGCTCAGTTGGTTAGAACATTGTTCCAAATGCCAAGGTTGCCAGTTCAATTCCCCGTCACAGCACATACAAGTGTCAACCAGTGAATGCATGAATGGGTGGAACAACAAGTCAATATTTCTCCTTCTGTCTCTGTCTTTCTCCCTTACTATGTCTCTAAAAATCAATCAATAAAAATTTAAAAAAAAATACAGTGTGGAGAATTTAGAGATGGAAGGTAAGGAGGAGGTACAATAGGCAAAAGACGATTGTGCCCTGAATTAGCAGTGAGAATAGAGATATTTAAAAGGCTGAATCAATTAAGATTGAGTGAAGCTTCTAGAATAATGTCCAAATTCTTCACTTAAGCAACGAAGGGATGGTGGCTTCATCTTATGAGAAAAAGCAATGCATGAGAAAGAGCAGTTTTGAAGTTGAAGATGGCTTGTGACTAAAGTGCAGGAGGGAAAATAAGGGTTTTAAGGACATATTTGAGAGTCATTAGAATGAAGTGGGTAGATTATTTTCCAGAGAAGGTATTAAGTGAAAGAAGAGGGCCTAGTATAAGACTTTAGACAAGACCAACATTAGTAAAACAGAGAGATAAGTGCCTGAAAATAAGAACAAAACAAATGGTGTGAAAGAGGCTGAGTCAGACACAACAGAAAACAGTTGTCCTCATCTCTCACTGCACATCCCTTAAAATGATAGAAATGCATACTGAATAAACTCACAACAAAGTTCATAAACAAAAGGGGATGTCAAATATCCATAGTTTATGAAATTATCATAAATTCCAAAAAGAGATGTCAAATATCCATAATTTATGAAATTATCATAAATTCCTGACCAAGCCAATTAAACCATATTAGCAAGAAATAGGATATATATATTTATGTAGCCAAACAACAACTTCAAGGTGAGCCCTGCTTCCATTTCAATAGGAGAAGCTTTACGGAGAATGGGTTTAGGTGTGGTTAAGTTGGCTGGTGTGAAGGCAGGAAATGCAGTTTCTGCTTGATGGCTTCTATATTTTTAGTAGGCTAAGAGGCCAGGACATGTACTTGGGGAGTGAGGTGGGACTGGGAGGTGAACAGGGCAGGAGTTTTGAGGACAGACTATTTGACACAGTCTCTACAGAGGACAGAGGAGAAAGATGAGAGGGAGAGGATTACCAGGCAGCACTGGGCACTCAGACAAAAACCACAGATGGGAAATGGAGAATGGCCAGAATATACAGGAATGCACAGGAGTGGTTTCACCCAGCAGGAGCCAGAGTACATGGCTTCCCTTCAGCAGTCTTAACCTCCAACCAGTAGCACAAGCTCCTCTAGCAGAGGGTCTTAACCATGTTTCTCTTTTAGTGCCCATAACCAAGAGTTGCTATAGAACAGGTGTCAGCCAACTATCGCCTGCAAGCTAAGAATGGTTTTTACATTTTAATTTTTTTAATCAAAAGACTATTTAGTGGCACAAGAAAATTATATGAGAGTTTAAATTTCAATGTGTATAAATAAAGTTTTATTGCAAGGCAGCCACATTCATTTGTATGCACATTGTCAGGTTTTATACATTATAACACGAAGCAGGGTGTCTTCATGTTATACTGCCAGAACTGAGTAGTTGTGACCAAGATCGTTTGGCCCGCAGAGCCTCAGTTACTATCAGGTCCTTTATAGAGACCCTCGATAATGAACCAAACTGTATTTGAAAAAAAAAAAAAAAAAAGTTTCAAAAACAGTTACTTGATACTGAAGATCCAACTCTTGGTACTTTATAAAGTTACACTTTAAAAGTGAGTGGGGAAATATCTGCTATTTTAATAATATCAGGATGTAATTCAAAAACTCAAGTGAAACTCTTACATTTAAAAATCAGTATATGGTGGTATATCCTGTTTATTCTAAATAAATTACATTAGTAGTAGCACTTCTGATGAGCAATCACCAAACAAAAGCCAAACGAGTTAAACAAAAATATTCCTATTACATTTCTCTTCGCTGAACTAAGAAAAACAAAAATCAAATCAAACAATCAAAACCAGATGGGTCACTAAGAACTGTTCTAAAATTCTACAAGGAAAAACTAAAAAGTCACCTTCCTGACAATTCTAGGGAGGATTGTAGCTGGTTCTCCACATCTATTAAGAGAGTCCGTACAGATCCTAATTGTCTTGTCCTTCAGCTTATATTGCCAACAAAGTATATCAACAGTTAATTTGTTCAGAATTAATAAAATTTTTGCATTAAAGTAAGTCCTACAGCTGTAATTAGTGGTAGCAATGTCAGTATAAAATGGTTGACCTACCTACATGCTCAGTTTGAAAGTTATAAATTTTTAAAAGTTTTAGTAAACAAACTGCTTACTAATCTGTACTTTAATCTTTGTTTTTGATAGGATTTTTATATTCTTGGGTAAAATAAATATACCCTCTGATAGAGGATGATCTTTAAAAATTATTGTTTTAAAGTATAGGAATTTATCATCTTTAGCTGTATTTTAGATTATATATAAAGTGGGATTATGATATTTTTAACTAGTGTTGTAAGTAATGAAAATATCAAAAAAAGAAAAGAATGAGAAAATGATATGTGCAACAATAAAAAATAAAGACAATAAAAAAGAAACAGTAAAGTGAAATTCAGTAATATTTTTCTTATAATTTCCCTTCCACATCTCCCTCTCACTTAGGTTAGAAATTCTCATGTAGACACCCGGTGTCTGTCCTAAAGAAAGGTACATAATGAAGTTTCACAATTGTCAAACACATTGCTAAAAACAAAATAAATGAACACATTTTACAACAGTACTATCCATCAAAGTAAAACAAAATTTCACAATAGACATGCAGATTATGCAGAAGTACTCAAATATATTTTAATCAATATTAGAAATTGAACAACATTCTGAAATTGTTATGGACTATTTCAATATACAAAACGCTTCTTTCATATTAGTACCAAACTATGGCTAAAGCCATATGCTTTTGTGTATGTAATCACAACTCTTTTCTACAAAGCTGATCTTTTAAGATAGTACAGATTTACATTTATGTTGTAATAATTACTGAAGGAAATTGAATAAGAAGGTGCAAACTTACCCCCCAATTATTTCCTTTAAAAACAGTAACACATTTTTAATAATACAAATACATACACTCACCCTTACTAATTATATAAGAGTCCTACTTGCTACTATATCCTTCAGTTTATAGTCTCAGAAAATCACCCCTCCAAGAAGCTTAAATGATTACCAGAGAGCAACTTCTAAATTAGGTATGATATAAAATATTTAATTTCAATTATGTTTGAAAAGTTTATTACTTTTCTAGGGCAATAATAAAACAAAAATAGCTTACAGGCTTTTTTTGCTATTGATTTGTTTTTTTTTTTGGGGGGGGGGCAATACACAAATGACACCTACAGCACTAAATAATCTTAAATCCAAAAACATACCTTGCCATGAGGATCAGCAAACATTCTTGTGAAAATTTCACATAATCTTTTCAGTTCAACTCGACTGTCAAAATAATAAAGTGGCTCATTAATGTCTAGCTGTAGGAAGAAGTCACTTACATATAATTGGGCTTCTTAAAAAATAAGCCCTCAAAATCAAGAAGTTTGTGGGATTTACTAGTTAGGCTAAGCACAAATTTTAGCAAATACAACAATAATTCTGTTGCAACCTACACTACTTTAAACGTTAAAAGTTATTAAGAAAAGAAATAGAATTTTATTTCATTAATGTAGCATGACAAGGAAAACTGTACAAGTGTCACTGCTAGCACATGAATCTTATCCTTTCAAATGCCAACAGGTCTCCCTGCTTTGTTACCTGAGTGTGGAAATCCTCCTAAACTCTGCCTACTTCCTTGACACTTCAAATGTTATACTGAATCTAATATTAACCGAATCTTAATGGGGCTGGGGACAATATTATAATGACTTAGTGCAGTGACTGAAGAACTATGATATGCAAACATTAAAATATATTAGGTAGTACATACTTTTTTATTTTTAAATTATATAGTGCTAATATTTCCTAAAATACATACACACAGTTGGTAAGTCAAACCCTGATTTTAGGTATCAAGTCAGGAGGTAAACCAGTATTTTCCACCACACACAAACTTATGAATTAACTGAAACTAGGTTCTTAAAGGGGTAGAGTATAGAGGTTTAAGACATCACTCAGATAAAAATAAAAAATTTAGGGAGGAAAAGCATGCAAAAGCTAAATAAACTAAATAAACCTTAAAAAACCCCCTAAAAACCCATATAAACTTCTCTCCTTAGAGAAATTCATTCCAATTCCATTTCATATCACTCTAGGATTCACGTATTGCTTGAACACTAAGAATATACCTTCATTTTCAAGTGAACATAAATATTCTTTACTCTCACTGAAAAACTTACCAGGAATAAATTTTAATAAACCAATCAGCTTTAATATTATGTGCATCTTATTATTTAATCTTAAAAATTAGTAACACTTTTCATTTAGTATCTATTTGTGAATAAAAAGTTGCCTTTTAAAATGTTTCTTTAAATAGAGCAAGTGAATTTGAAAAACTTTCAGTAATAGTAGTACAGATGGTCCTAACCGACTGAAGATTAGGAAAATACTAATGTCACCTTCTAAATTCAGGACAATTCTGTTCCTATACTAGTACCTCTAAAGAGTTACAGAAACAAAGTAAAGTGAAAAAGTGCTAAATGGGACAATTATTTTAAGACAACACAACTCACCTCAGCGTTCTCTGATTTTTTAATAAGTTCTGCAGACCCAAAAGGCCTTCTTTCCTTTCTGACCAGTTGGAACTAGCACACCTATTGAGGACTTCTGCCACATCTTCGGTCTGCCTCATGTACGTAGGGATACTACCATTTCGAGAACTATAGGAGCGCTCCGAACAAGCGCTAGACGCATCGCTGTTTGCATCATCATCTGAATGCATTCCATATGACTCATATCTTCTTCGAGCAGGTTTTTTCTGTTATATACACAGAGACTCTTATTAGCAGTAGCTAAAATAATACTGATATTTCACAATTTCCACTGACAAAAAGGATTACTTTTTGTTTTAAAATCAGTGCAAAGCATGCTGCTAATCATTGTAATACTAAAAAGTCAATTTTAGTTTTTCTTCAAAAAACATGTTTTAGACATTAGTAGAAGATGAAATACTCTTTTAACGATGGGAAGTGGCAGAAACAGAGGAATATTCTAGGGAAGTTCAGAGATGTAAATGGGAAATGATAAAAAAAAATACAAATTTTTCCTTCTCTTTCTCCTTTTTATGCAAAATCAAAAATTACCAGATTATAAATGAGCAGAAACTGTACTGGAATTCTGAGTTAGTAAGAGAAAAATATTACCTTTCTAAATGATGAGAATGGATCAGGAAATGGGCAACGGATGAAGGAAAAACTCATGTTTTCTTGTATGCACCGTGCTATTTTTCCTGTCTACATTCTCTTCCTTCTCTTCTCCTTTTACCTCCACTATCATTTCTCTTGCTACTCCTTTCTTTATACCCAACCCTCTTATCTTCTTGAGAAGTAAAATACAAAAAGTGATGAGAACCTGTTTTGTTTACTATTACTTTTAGGAGGCAAGCTCCTTGAGGGTCCTCCAAGTTTTTTCTCAATATGAGTATACCACTTATTTAAATAAATATGCGAAAGCATATTTAGAGTCCTTTAACTTCTTTACATCTGAAGTTCATTATTTAATACATGTTATTTATTTATCCATTCATTTATTTATTTATTTCTAGAGAGAGGGGGAGGGAGGGAGAAACAGAGGGAGAGAAATATCAATGTGTGGTTGTTTCTCTTGTGCCCCCTACTGGAGACCTTGCCTGCAACCCAAGCATGTGCCCTGACTGGGAATCGAACAGGCGACCCTTTAGTTCGCAGGCTGGCACTCAATCCACAGAGCCACACCAGCCAGGGCTAATATAGGTAATTTCTAATTATACCTTACATATCAAAAGTGAAATAAGAGAGAGTAAATAGCTTACTTGAGATTTCCTTGGGATAATTAGAAATAAATCTTTATGTAATCTAATATTTGAATATAGGCTGGTGAGAGGTGAAGACATTGCTATAAAACAGGTTAAACACAATAACTTAAAACAGTTCCAGGTGGTCAAAAATTTTCCAAATTCTAAAATTTAATAGAAATTTGAATAAAATTCAATAACATTTCCATCACTAAATGCCTCATAATGATTTAGAGATACCAACTTAATTTAGAACAGCAGTAATGTGACATTTTCTGTGTTGGCCTCCAGGGTCAGTTTGTTAAAGACATCAGTGCAAATGACATCATCTCATTTGTAAGAAGTACTCAAGCTTAAAGGATGAGAATCCTCATATCTACCTATTAATAATTACATGTATTAAAAAACAGGATGTATGTCTAAGGACTTTATTATTTCCACTTGAAGTTTTTACTGAAGACTAATAAAGCAAAGAAAAACAGTTATGGTATTATAAGATTTCAGAAAATAGCAAAGTCTATACCTTAGTCCGCATGTCTCCTAAGAGCTGAGAGCAGTGAATTTTTAAAGAGAAAAATTGAAAATGAAGAACATTTTGCTAAATAGCACAATGAAGTAGGCATAAAGAATGCCCATCATCAGAAACATTAATATTTTTAACATACAGATACATAAGAACAGCTTACAAGCAGCCTACATCTTTAATTTTGCCAAAATCCTTCAGTCCAAATAAATGTATCTAAGCTACAAAAATATTCCCTTATATTTTTCCCAATTCCTATTTGGATCCTTTTGTTGTTTCCAAAGTTAACTTTAATTCTATGATTTTTCTCAAGGTCCAAATTAGTTTCGGAAAGTCTTTTCCTAAAAATTGGTAGTTATGACTAGAATACCTAAGCTATGCAAATAATGGAAGTAGATATAATCAATTTATTGGGATTCAGCATTTAGCCCTGGTGGTTAAGTATTCCCTATGTAATTCAAATGCAACATCTCAACATCTTAGAATTGTAAGTAATATTTAAAGAATACGCCATTCAATTCATAAAATTTATGTGAGCTGAATTTAACTGGTAAATCATCCACTAAAAAGAAACTAGAGAGTATGAATTGAAAAATACGTTGATGGAAAGTAGTAAATTTAAAACATCCGACTGATTTAGTATCATCAGAACAAGACATGATCAATATATCCCATGCCCAAGAGAACAAAGTTTCTTAGTTATATCAATTAATTAAAAAATAATCAAATGGCTGAGGTAAAAGGAAAAATTAAACACACAGACTGTCACAGCAGAATCACGCATATCATTAAATATATACTACAGTTAGACCAATGAATAATTTTTTGAACTTATTTTTCAAATTTTTGTGACAAAACTATATTACATCAACACTGGTTAAAATTGAACCATAGTTTTAAAAGGCACAATGTATTCTTTTATTTCAAAACGAACATAAGGCCTTTATAAATTCTGGGTAAGAAACGGAGAAAATGTTTCTTGAACACAGGATTAATATAATTTGAAAGAGGAAGTGTCATACTGAATTGATCTGGGAAACTGGCAAAAAGCCCATCATATTCATTGTTTCAAATGACACTTCCTTCATAACTGTAAATGAGAGAAACAGCAACGATATATGTACCACACTCTTCTGAAAAAGTTTCATGGATCTGTAGATTGTTTTTAAAGCTCACTGTTAAAAGTGTCAGGCATAAAAAGCCAAGAAAATATCTTAATTATGATGTGTCTTGAAGCTGTACTTTCTTTCAGCTCTGAAATACAAATAAGTGAAAGACTAAACAAAATCCTACGCCAAACTAAAACAACCCCTAAATACTCAAAGTTAAGCTAGCCTTGAAATTGTATGCTTATAAATTTATATGCTAATCTACTTGTCCTGACTCTCATTGTGCTATATAGTACATAAAACACATCACTGGATTAAAGATATCAATGTTTATATTTTTGATATCCCATCAATTACTATTGGCCATCATTTAAATTTCTGACCAATTAAAAATGATCAAGAATTAATTATACTGCTATCGACATGGACCATATTTGATCTTCCCAGATTAAGTCCAGAAGAATTTTCTGCAAGAATTTTCTACCTCCCTCCCAAATCTGATAGACTGGCTTACTCATACATTAGTTTCATAATTAGAGCACCTACAAAAATAAGGAAATAAAGAAGATTACCAAGGCATCTGCTACTGCCTCCTCCACATCAGAACCTGTGTTCAGGACCCGCATGGCGCTGACAGAAGATGACAGTCGACTTGACTGGCTGATCCCGTACCCTGGACCTAATTCATCAGAAGAAGAAAAACGGCTTTGAAAAAGTCATAAATGTAACAGTCTCAGGTTAGAGACTCTAAGATCCTTAAAGGGAGGAAAAAAAAAAAAAAAACCAATGGGGAAAGCATTTTAAAAGCAATACTGTATTTTCTGGGTACATAGAGTTTTTGGTAAAAAAAAAAAAAGGGTTAAGGCAATTAAAATTACTGACAATGTGTGGAAACTTAATTTAAAAAACAGGAGCTACAATACATTTACAACCAGAAGATAGAAGAAAGCATGGCTGGCTGACTAAGAGCTTGCAAGTCAGTAGTGCTGTAATTAATCCAGCTCTGTCAGTCAGGCAAATCTCATCCATGCTGGTGAGACTAGAACAAATTTAAATCCTCAAACCAATAATGATTAGAAAGTTCACTGAAGCCACACTAGGAATTTACAAGAGAAAAACCCTCTATTTATTATCTCTTCTCCTTCAAGATAGGCTGATTTCATTCTGTAAATAACACATATCATTTGATATTTGTTAAGCACCTACTAAGTGCCCAATACTCTAAGGTATGTGAAGACAAACCAGATGGGTTCTCCCCCTTAACTACTTTCTATACCATTATGTACAATTAAAACACTTCATCCACCATTTTGGTTTTTTTTTTTTTTTATGTACAAAGATGAGGCACATAACTGAGAACATAAAACAATTCTATATTTTAAAATGACATAACTCAGGTTATACAAAGAAAAATGTCCGTCTGCTAGTGGGGAAAAAAAATGTTCAAATAAGGTTGGTGAAAGGGAAGAAGTTGCTTGGGGGAAAACAAAATTACCGCAAATGATTTACTTTCTAACAAATTAAATTTAAATTAAAAAAATCAATTTTAAAACATGAATATTATTTAATGGAAACAGAAAAGGACAAAAATCTGAGATGAATGCACAGATGATAGTGAAAATGTACTCATCCTTCACCTGAGGCCCCATACACATCGGGGGCGTAGAGGGCACCAGTAGATCTGGAATGGTGTCTGGAGGCTGGAATAACAGGACCATACAAACCTCATCTATTACCACAGAAACAAGGAATAGTGGCAGCACTACAGTCAGGCAAGGAGAGGTAGTTAACAATGGTATTACTTCTAATAACTAAGGACCAGAATATTGCCAAATAGGGCAATTGAACACTAGCATTGCAACATCATCTTTGACACACAACAGATCTTACACCTAGGGGGACAGACAAGCCCACAGGAGACAAAAAATTAAGTATTCAAATGGAAGGAAATGTCAAAAATACAAGTGTGAAACAAAAAAATGAATACTGTAGTTAAAAAAAAAACCACTATGGTAACTAGTAATCAATAATAACCCTGTCTCCTTCAATCCTAAACCCAATGAAACAGTTATTACTATTTCATATTATAAATAGGTAAATTAAAGCATAGAGGTTAGTTAACTTGATCAAAGCCAACTACTAGTAAGTGATATACCTCAATATCTTACCCTTTCAAGTCCTTTGCTCTTAAATATCTTACACTCATCTTCACATTTTTCAGAAAGTAACATACCTCATTTATGTTAACATTTTCCACGTAGTTCATAGAAGTTCTATATTCAGTAGAAGATTATTTAAATTATCAAAGTACATTTGAACATCAAAAAAATAGTATTACTAATTTAATTTAAAAACCTGGAAATGTGAGACCTGCATTTATGACATGTTTCTCTAAATCTAAACTTACCATATTTAAAATTTCAGAATTTGATATCTGTAAGAACACCATAAAATCAATCTATTTCTTACTTACATAAACAAGCCAGGAAAAATATATTTTAACAGCTAACAAAATATATTACTCTTATTCTAAAAGTTACTCTTCTTTAGATATATTAATTAGAGCTATTAAAATACTTTTATTACATGAATCACTCTTTTGCCCCAGGGCCTTAATGAACAAGAGAAATCATCAAAAGATTGAGAAAAAGGATTAAACAGAAACAATACTGCACAAAATGTTTTATCAGACCTTGGATGATGACTGATATTGTTAGAAAAACATACTAATAGAATAGTTTTAATTTTACCCAATAGAAATAATTTCTAAAATGGTGAGAAAGAGTCGAACCAATATGGCAAAACCTAATAGATGAAAATCTCTGCAAAACTTAAAGGGAATCAGTAGTTATCCGTGGCTGACAATAACAGGTTAAGAGGCACCACTCATGTGCTTATCATGATGGAAGTCTTTTTTTCAATCTCAGTCCTGGAAATAAATGGAAACTAAGGGTGCAAGTTCCAGAGAAGTTCCGCCTTGCTCAGCTCTATTTCTGATGTTTTGGGGCCCTCCCATTGGCCTTGTGCTACCACTGAACAACTGGCAAACTATGGAATTGCCCTGCTAAATGGCAATATTCAAGTCAGAGGCAACCAAAGGATTCATCAAGTGACCAAGTCAGGACAGCAGAAAACAGGCAAATGGCAGCAGGGAGGACATACTGACAGGGAAGGTTGCTCTCATTCCCTATGTAAGACACAGGGCCAATGTGCTACCTTTACTAGGCAGTATCCATGTGTAAATAAAAGGGCTATAAAAATAACTTCTTCTAAAGCTACAGTATATAATTAAAGACTTAATCATTCTTCACCCAAAGAGGGTATTTCATTAAAATCAGGAAAACTGCTTCCTTTAGTAATAAAATTTCAGTGATTTAAGTTGTCGAATGGAAGCTCTGAGATGACTCCAGAAAAATAATGGCTCTTAAAAAAGACACATTAACAATGTTTATTTTTAAATAATTGTTGGTTATAAATTTCCTCTCATCTCTGTTGTACAGATGTAAAAGGGACAGACACACATTTTGGCTTCTTCTTGATGTCTCACTTTTCTAGCAATTCTGCAGTATTATCATGCTACAAATATAGGTGTTAAGAGCATGAAAAAAATCTAAGATCCTATCGACTGAAGTATAAGAAAACGATTTCTAGGTTAGCAATGTGAGCTTCAGGGGGAAGAGGTGGGGGAGCAGTAGCAGCCGCGGTGGTGGCAGTGATGCGGGCTGAGCACTGCTCTGAGGGGTTTTTTCATACATTCTCTCATTTACAGCATCTTCAAAACAATCCTAAGAAGTACATACTATTGTTATCCTACTTTTATAGGTGAGGAAACCCAGGCATAGGAAAGTACAGAGCTGGGGTACAAACCCAGGCCACTTGACCCTAGAATATATGCTCTTAAGCAACCACACACCCTCTCTACTTCCTTTAATTCTTGAAGGAGGCACACTTATTTTATACAAATGTGTAATATATTTCATTTCTTAATGTATGTGTACACACATGTGCATAACCAAAGACTCTCCACAGACTAATTATATATGAATTAAAAATACCTCTGGCAAAAGAGAAAGGCAAACTCTTTGGCACCTGGGACACATGGCTCAACAACAAGGGTCGAGGCTATCCCTCTCTGTGTCCTTAGCTCAGTGGGGTTTTCTAGGCCAGGACAGGACAGCCTAGTGAAATATTTGAGCCAAATGACCCAGGGAACAAGAAGTCAATCTCTAGAAATTCTATACTAGCATGTCTATTGAAGAACATAATAATGCCAAAAGACAGTGAGTAGAACTATGTTCTTACTGAAGTGTCACAAAGTCTGAAGAACAACTTAAGTATTACAGTTACCTAAATTTTATAAAATTAAAAATCTACAATTTCTACATGTTTGTGCACATAAACAAAGTACGAGTTAAAATGTTAAAGGACCATGCAGAAGTTCTAAAGATTTTCAATGTAAAAAATTCTGCCTCTTTAATTATTCTGAAATACTAAAAGCTTAAAAAAATTTAATATTTTTATAACTGAGATAAATATAGTATTATAATCAAGGCTCTGATACAATCTCTATAATCAAGGACGGAGGTTTTGCAGCAGTGACATGATGTGAACTACATAATATATGGGAAATGACAAACTATAAAAATACTATAAAAATGTTAATTCCTCCCATTTTTAATAAGTAGTTTATATATTATAATGCAGCACTAGTTTTCTAAGTTAAATGTCTAAAGTAAAATGTTAATAGTTGTACCGAAAAGGGAAAATATTGATGAAACAGTTCATATTTTACTTGACAGTAAATATCTAAATGTTATATTTAATTTTTATAGATTTATTTGTTAAGAAAAATAATGACTTCAATATTTGGAGTTTAAATCTGTGTGATATTTACTTGATTCTAAAGGCAGTTTGTTGCCCCAGCTGGTGTGGCTCAGTAGACTGAGCGCTGGCCTGTGAACTGAAAGGTCACCTGTTTGATCCCCAGTCAGGACCCCTGCCTGGGCTGCCGGCCAGGTCCCCAGTTGGGGGTGCATGAGAGGCAACCAATTGATGTATCTCTCATACATCCATGTTTCTCTCCCTCTCTTTTGCCCTCCCTTCCCCTTTCTATCTCCCTTTCTTTCCTTCTCTCTGAAAAATAAATAAAATCTTAAAAAAAAAAAGACATTTGTTTGTAAAATATCTAACTTGCTCATTTAAGGTAAAGGAATGTCCTAAACAAAATTTCCTTCTGACTCTTTCCTCAAAAAGGCAGAAAAGCGATAGGGGCAAAGACAGTCAATAAAAAAGCTAAACTCTGGGTACCTTCAGGTTATCAGGTGGTGCTAACACAAGGGGAAGGCAATGTACTTCACACCGGCCCAATACTTACCGAGGGGCTGAAAAGAGCGGACAGGGCTTGTATCTCGGCTGCTCTCGCGACTGGCTTCTCGGCTGCACCCTTGACTCACACTTGGTCGAGGAATACGACTGCTTCGGGCTGGAACAAAGCATTGGCAGCATTAAAAAAGGGAGAAAAATGAAGACAGAATCTGCATTTTTGAGATTCTGGTTTCATTTTTCTTTCTTAAAAATTAATAACTTAAGTTTTTCTAAAGTTGGGGAGAAATTGCTCTCCCCAGAAATGAAGAATTACCAGGAACATGGTTCAATTTCTTGAATCAGGTCACTAATCTGTGTCAGATTAAAGGGTGAAATAGCAGTTTACTAAAATAAAAAGGCTGCAAATAAAAGATTTAAAATAAAAATGAATTATACTTTTAAGATAAGCTAATTCAATTTATAACCTTTATTTCGATTTCCGTGAATTTTAAGTTGTTTTTCTTTAACTTGTAAGTGCCTAACGAAAGTCTTTAATGCCACCAAAGCCTGAAACATAAAACGTCCCAAGTCTCACAAGGAAAATCTTACCCACGGAGAGCCTAGAGGGACTAGCCTCTCTGCTACAGCCCTGGCTCCGTGGTATCTTGCTTCTCTTCTGTGCTGAGGCTGAATTGACCAGGACTCTCTGAACGCCAGAGCTCACAGTGGAGAGGGCTGTTGTGGTCAGAACTCTTCCTGGAGACCCAGACCGGCTGCCAGCTGAACACCAAACACACAAACAAACGTTAAGATATGAATTCCTGAAGAAATTGTTGAAAGGATAAAAATTCAAGAAATACATCTGTGAAAACTGTGCAAGTATATAGAAAGTTCTAAGTTCAAAGGAAATGGAATGAAATAATTTATATATTATCACAACCTGGGGGATAAAGGAAATACTACAAATACTAAAACTGAGTGGTAAATCATGTGAAATATATTTTCAGTTTTGGGAGGATACAAAATACTATGTTTAATAAGGACAACACTATTATAATTTTCAGAACACAAAGAGTATAAAAGATTTCCAAAGAAATAACCTTCTGACAATATATTTAATAGAGCTAAAGCCACATATTTAAAAGGAAAAAATTAGTAATTCTGTCACTGCTATTATTTTTGTTAAAAATATAATGAAAATTTGCTTTAAGTTTGCCCTCTGAGAATGCCTCTGATGGGTAGAACAAAGTTATTTTTTAAATTTTTTACAAAATTAAATTTTAAATATTTAAAAAATTGGCCAGCTGAAAAAGATACTTGCTTTTTGGTATTTGCCTTCAAATAGCAAAGGGATCTTGCATGGCCAGAGTCTGAAATGTAGATGCAGAAGTAATGAGGACAGAAGAGAACTAACAGGCAAGTGTCAAAAAATTCAGACCCTTCACAAACTCGTGATACTCAGTATTGAAAAAAAGAGGATATATGGCAGGGAAGATAGAGAAGGAGCTGGACAAAATCTCAGAGATTAGGGCAAGGGTTAAGAAAATTAAGAAGCATAGTTTAAAACTAGAATTGTGTGGGTTAACTTTTAAGGGGATGAGCTTCTTGTCAAAAACACTTTATATCTCAATTGAATGGGAAAGTGGACTGGATAACGCCAAATATAATCTAAGTCTACATTCTGAGTGGTAGGTTGCACCTTAGAAAAGTTAAACCTGCACTCAAATCTTCATGAAAGCAAATTTTCCCCTTTGTTGGTGTTACTCCTTCTAACCAAAAGGGCAGACCCTGCTCATCTTGTGTAATCTTACCCAGTCACACCTCATTTGTACAGAGCGAACGTTAAAGACTCGAATGCCAACTGAGACAAGCAGGGCATGTCAATGAGGGCCCAGTATTGAGTATAAGGCAGGGAGTGGTGACTTTTAAGTTCCAGTCAGCTCTACCTTAAGGTAACACTGGCCAGGTTTGGGAATTTTTTAAAAAATGAAAGTTTTAAAGTTTCCTGATTTTTATCATATTGTATAGACCAAATACTACATGAATGGAGACAGGCTGGAACATGGTCCATGGGCTGTTGATCTGTCACTCTTGCTATAGTTTTCTTGGCATTGTCTTACTAAATACAATTTAAATTCATGCTTAATTCCTAAACTTTACCAGCACACAAAATGAAACTTAACTTCCACTTGTTATAGCAATACTGTAAAACAAAGCAGTGTTTCTAATGAAATTAACAACTTACTATTTGAGTAGAAGAAATTCTAAACTATTGTAGGGAAATTATTCAAGTCTCCTTTACAGTGATGGCTCATATGAATTGTTTCATGATGTTTCAGTTAAAGAATCTTTAAATCAGGTTTCTTTATGTTATAACCTTAAGAACACTCACAAGGCACCTATTTCTTCATGCAGGGTCTAAACTAAACATACATACCAAAACATCCAAACACCCAACATGCCACAAACTCACAATGCAAGATAAGCTGATGGAATATTTAATGGGAACACTTGCAACAATATAAAAAGTGTGAATAATGAACTGAACATGTACAATATGGTATTCAGTTAAAACCAATATAAATTTAGGGAGTGGAGGTATTGATAGAGACTAGAGAATTCCTTGAAATTTGGGTCTATTCAGCAGACAGGAAACATGCAGTATAGAAGGAGACTAACTACTCTACCTATTCTAGATTTATTGAATTTATCAAAATAATACAAGCTCTCTACCAACAGTGTAATAATTGTAGTACCTATGACTTATTTGAATTATTTGTATTTAGAAGAAAATATCAAGGCTCTTTCCCCGGGAAGAACTACCAAGGCTAATTGTTTCTTCTAAGAAAACCACAGAGTTGATGAAAAAGAGCATGATGTACCTAGGAAATAGCATGCTACCAGAAAACACTCTAATTTGTAAAACTTAAAAATGGATGCCTAATCTCTCTTGTTCTGCCTAAAGTTTTCACACTATCGTTTTATATTTTTATAAGGTATTTTAAAGGCATTACTAAAGCTCCTTTGCTTTTGAATATTTACACCTGTGAGGTTAACTTGGATAATTTTAAAAATCCAGGGTTTTGGTAATAAAAAGCCAAGGAAACCTCATAATTGGCAATATGGCTAAAAAAGGATGGACTATTATATGTTAGGAATTTCTGCTGAATAGAACCCATTCTTCATTATGAAAGTAAGTGATCAAACAATAGATGCACACATAGAGTCTATAGATTCTTACCACCAATGGTATTAGCAGATTGTGATCCTGAACAAGTGTAAAGGCAGAATTAGGGTAAGGGTTATAATCCATGTAGAGGGGAGGAGCAGATTTAAAATGGATGGCAGATGGAAATAAGAAAGCTTTAGTCAGTTCTTAAAAAATAAAAAACCCTAAAGCAAAAAGAAAAAAAAAAACAAAAAAAAAATCTCAAAACCATAGATGTCTGTAACAAAAGCAGTACATTTAGTAGTTTTTACAACTGGTAAGCTGAAACCAGACACTCATGTACAAAGCAGATGAAATGAAGTTACAAAAATAAATGTAAATTCTTCAGCTTTTCTTCTGATGGCCTAAAATCTAAATAATTAAATGTTTAAGTTCTCATTATTTAAACATTTAATTTTAAACTACAGGTAAGGCAGAACTACAACATCTTACAGCTGAAGAAAAATTACATGAAAAAGCTACACATTTTAACTTTCTTAAGACACACAGGAAAAAACAAATGGCAGAGGGTGGGTTGGGGTGGCAAGACAAAGTTTCTGACAGGCTGTACAATCATTTGTACACAACCAGTCACTACCAACATCAACAACAAAAAGACACAATCATTACGTAAATATAAATCTGGAAGTCTCTCCACTTGGTCTGTGTTTATTTATTTTGGTTATCCATCAGAACACACCTGCCTTGATCCAAGGTCCCCCCCCCGCCCCGCCCTACCAAATGGTGACATAAAACTATGGAACGACCATGCAAACCCTAATGAATTACTCAACAACAAAGTGAAGATGGATATCACAACAATAATTCTGTAAATATATTATAAAGAAACTTGCATCAAATTCTATGGGGCCATAATATCTTTTTTCAAGAAAAATTTGGAATGGAACATATAAATCATTCAAATAAGTAAGCAAGCAAACAAAAACCTCTCTAATACAATTTAAAACTTAAGTACAGTGAAGATATCTTCTATTATTAAAATCCTACTTAGGTCTAAAAGCCTATCATATGTTCTCACTCTTTAGGAAAAGTTTTGAAGTATTGTGATTGGGCGAACTAAAAAAATCACATGTAAAAAAAAAATTATGCTATATTCTACTGAAGTGACCAGGAGTTTTAATATATGTAAAAGAGAGCTGCTTTAAGTAATAATTAAAAAACAATACACAAAGCACTTTGAATCTTTAATGAGTTGTGTTTATGCTTTAATTTTTCTAACTTCACCAATATTTCTTTCGTTGTTTTTTAAAGGCCACAGAATAGCGCAGTATAGAAGGACATAACTGGAGTATAAAATTCAGTTGAAATTAGGTTATGAGTAACTAAAAGAACAATTTTATCAGTTTAAATACTTAGCGCTTACTCTGGGCCCAGGTACTGCCGTAAGTGTATTAAATATACTACATCATTTAATCCTCACAACAGCCCTATGAGATTATCCTCTTTATTTTATAGGTGAGTATACAAAAATACAACTTAAAAAGATCTGGAAAAGCCATGATTCAAATCTGGGCAGTATGGCTCTAGGGTCTGCAATTTAAATCAATGATTCTCAAACTTTTTTTGTAACACAAATCACTTGGTGATATTGTTTTAGACTGAATTCAGTAGATCTGTGGTGGCATGAGACTGTGCATTCCTAAGTAGCCCCTGGGTAATGCTGACACCATCTGGGCAGACAATCAGAGTAGCAAGGCTCTAAATTACTATGCTATGCTGCTAAAGATTAAGTTACTTAAAAAATAATTATTCTAAGAAAATACACAGGATTAGGGAAGAATGTGATATGATCTATTCAAAATTTGGTCTGTAGTAGAGCCCTTACCCAGGAGGCATTTGCCAGTTTTCCCATTTGTAAAATTTGTAATTTTACTGAGCATTTCTGCTTATTTTTAGGACTCTTGCCAAGTGCTCCCACTGTTACTCTGCCTGGATTTTTTGGCTTTGGAGAGAGAATCTGCTAGGGCGGACTTGTATCATCCACCCTGGCCTTTTCCAAGCCCAGCTGTCTTTTCTTTGATTCCAAGATTCAGGAATCAGGTTCAAAAAGAGACAAGTAGGGCTTCTATACTTGATAAATCATCTAAACAACACTGGAAGACAGTTAAGTCTATTTCTTTCCAAAACAGCCAGTATGTACAAGGGGGAGCCCCGAAAAAACCAGAACTTAATTATTAAAAATTTTGTATTTATTCTAACATGTTTAAACTTTAGTCATCTTGAAAGTTCTGTCCATTTGAAGTAACACACCTATCAAGATGTTTTTTCCCCCACTGCTCTGAACAGTTTTTGAACTGTTGATTTTGATGCCTTTAAGTGCTTCTGCCGTTTTTTGTTTCACCTCTTCCACATCAGTGAAACATTTCCCTTTGAGGACTTTTTTCATCCAGGAAAACAAAAAAAAGTTGCTCAGGTTGAAAGTGGTGAATAGCAAGGGTAGGGCACGGGGATCATGTTTTTTTTTTGGTCAGAAACTGCTGAACACTCAGCACAGCACAGTGTGGGTAGGTGTGCTCGTAAATCACCCATCGTGAAATGGGCAAATGTGTTGAAAGTGTTCATAAAAAAAAAATTCAGTGATGTCCAGCACAGCCTCTCACAACAACGCCAGCTGGTACACTGCTACAGATGGGTTCCTAGACACTCACCTAGCACAGAAAGCCTGTACTACAAGGGGCCCGCCCCTAGATAATTCTTGATAGCAGAACAGATAATTCTGTTTTTTGGGGGATCCCTCCTCATATAACAACCTCAGAATGACTTCCCTAGAAAAAAATTTCTATTTTTAGAGATAAGTGCTAATGAAAATCTTTTGATAAAGAAGGAATGGGAACAAACTCTTTTAAATTAATAACACCGTAAGTGTATTCTGGAACATGTAGAAATGAATCATTCATTTTACCTAGGCCTCAAAATTTGTTTTTTAATAATTGGGCTTATGGAAAAACTCAGCTTCCAATGAAATAAGGAATATAACAGAACTGATCATTTTAATTTATTTCTTCACTATCAATCATATATAACTGCCAAAAATGCTAACTGTAATCTAATAGATTTTGGGAAGAATCTGAAGATACCATGTATCTGTCCTTGAATAATATTAGGTAGATGCAACCAGATTAGATGTTAATATATGGGAATTATTTTGCCTCTAAAAAGCACAATTTTCCACATTTGCAAGTTTCTGAGTAGACTGCCAAAACCTTAATGCTAAGAGATCTGTGCTGTTTAAAATACCTCCATGCAAAAGTTATACAGCAGATGAAGTTTTTCTTTCTAAGTGGCAGATATCAAAGATGCAGCCCTAATAACACACCAAAGACAAGACAACACCCACTCAAAAAAATTCCAAAACATGCACAACAACTGACCCAAAACATTGAAAAAATATACCTTCATTTTTGTCAGGTGATGATGAACCTAAAGTATAGAACAAGAACTCAGTATGTGGCTTGTCTTTTTGAAATTAGCTTTGTCTTTATCCACTGCTCAATCTCCTAATACAGTGATATATAAGTAACACACTTATCCTAACATATTACAAACATAAGAGAAGTGATAGGCAATACATACGCTGTGACTGAGACACCATTTTTGTTCGACTTCTTCCTCTAGAATCTGGCTTGGCATTTCCCATGCCAGCAAGTGGTGCTGAAAGCTTTGCTCTCACTCGACCTAAAGAATAAAATTTTATATGTAAATAAAGATATTTTTCTATAATAACATTTAGTAATGAGGGGGGAAAAAAATCTCACTCTCATTTCTAATTGGGTGTGCTTTTCAAGTATGGTTAAAGTCTGTAATAATATAGCCATCACTTACAGATTGTATTTCTCTTAAAATTTTAAAAACACATACTGCTTTTATATGTTGCACCATAAACTAACTTTCCATTAAGGATAAGAGTAAAGTCAAATGAAAAGATTTCCATTCTTAGTTTGATTAGTCTAGCAGAGTCATAATTAAGACATTAGCCATCGGCATTTCACTTTTTTCTTAATTTGGTAGTTCCAATTCTAAAATTTCAGTACTCATGAAATTTACTTTCAAATCCAGCGAATAGTTCTGAATATAAGCCTAATCCTAGGAACAACAGACCAAACAATCCTTTTGACTAAACTTACATGTCTTCTGGGAATTTGTAAGAATGTTTTTTACAAGGTAAAATATTTAACCTTTTTATGCTGTGCTAAACATCCAATCACTACAGACGTATATGGACATGGTCACCATTCTCTTTGTCCAAACACCCAATTTAATTTATAAAATGATTTGAGAAGTAACTATCGCACAAAACTTGGCACATTTCTCACTACACTTCCTTCTATACCTCCCAGTTGTACTCGGTTCTCCTCTACCACTGACTCATTCCCCTCTTCAAAACCAAGCCACCCAGAGCTATTTCTAGAGTTCTTAGACCAAAGGAGATAATGCTTATCATAGTACTTAAGTAAACTATCGTTTGCAAAAAATGAAACTATATCACTAGCAGGTACTTTGGTGTTCTTAAGCAACAGTCTCAACCACTATCAACTCAGAACCACTACCAAACAATAATAAAGAAGGGCTCAGAACCTTTTTTATTAAAAGGTACAATTTGTAGGACAATCACAATATATTGCCTAGCCTGATAGGACTATATTAGGAAAAAAAAGTAGCCTGAATAGTAAGGAAAAACTACAAAATTAAGATAAGAGCATAAGAACTGGGAATAAAATAAATGCAAGATGAGAAGTAAAATTGGTAGAGTCCTGCATTCTATCAACTTCTTCAAGGCCCCATAACAAGCCCCCCATTCAGGCCTTTCACCCTTTTAGAGTACGCTACAATGTTCTCCTGACTAAGAAATGAAACAGAAAGGTAAAATTATTATTTTTGAAATAGAGAATTTACCCAATATAAGAAAGAAATTAAGTATTTTGATACCACCATTCTAAAGTACAATGACACAGTGCCAGAAACCATTTTTAGAGAGAATTCCAATTTAAAACCTAAAATATGAAAAGATTTTGAATATATCAAAGTAAATATGAGACAAAAACAAGGCAAATTAAATCTATTTGGTTTTGTATCACAAGAAGGTGTCACATCCACTTCAGGCTTAGGAAAATGAAAATGTGTATTCATTCAATCAGAGGTTTAATAAGATAGCCTTCAGATAGGAAAAATATAAAAACTGAATTTTTCCCTCTCTACAAATTCAAAAGCAATAAATAATTTTTAAGTAAACTGGCTTAGTAAAATAAAATATTGTATCTAGAAGTTGCTTTGTACTTTAAAATTCAAATCACATAGGCAATTCCCCAGTAAATAATTCAAAAACAAAGATACATTTAAGAGTTGACTAATGCATTTAAAAGCTGATGATATTTAAACTCCAGTAAAGCAATGGCACATGCTTCCCCAAAGTATAAATGAATCGGCACACATCAAAAAACATAAACACAAAAGAAAAGCATTAATGTCACTATGAAAGCCAAATGAAACTGTGTGCTAACTTTATACTAGATGTTATTAAACATGTTAAGAAATTATGTTTTTCTAGCATGAGATGATCCAAGATACAAGGCAAAAACGCCAGGATGAAGAATTAAAAAAAAAAAAATTCCACACACATAGCTAACACAACCAAACATAAAATGAAGAAGCTACCATGGCTGGCAAATTATACAAATTTAAAAAGAAATTAGCCTATTTTAGTTTTTAATATTTAATTCCTACTAATAAAAATATTAACGTAGAGGCATTTGTGTTACTAGCAAAATGTATAATTCTTACCATCTTCAGATGCTGTTCCTAAATAAGAGAAATAAAACAATAACATTTCAACAAATTCTGCCAATGCTAATGTTAAGACCTACTTTATGACTCCCACCCAAAACTAAAATGAAAGTAAAATTAAGACCTCCTAGTCTAATAGCCTTAAATTAAGGTTCATTTGGAGGGGAAAAAAATTTCAGGTAACCTAATGACTCACAGCACAAAAATGGTTAAAAGTGGACAACTGAAAATGGCAGCTTTTCATAATGTAAACTTTCTTCCTGCAGTATTTCATACTTAAAATTTGAAGTGAAGAAAATTAGAAAAATTACTCACTCAAGAGAGATGAAACTCTGTCATTACTTCTCTTTGAAATGAAGATTTTTATAGATCTTTCCAAAGTAAGAATACTTTCTGTGCATTTTCAAAGTTAGTCCATAAAAGAACTAGAAAAGCTAATTGACAAACATGGGAATCAAATCCACGACCTAGGCCTCATTAACCCAGTATTTGTCATTGACGCATTATAAAGATCTATATCCATCCATCAGCTATTTACTCAACATTTATGTGCGCTCCCTAAGATGTCAACAAAAATGAGCAAAAATGACCAAGTACAAGTATCATGACTCACTACTAGTAAAGGACAATAATAGATATGTCTCTCTGTGTATATAGATATTTTTTAAAATATAGGATTAAGCATCAATGAGAGTAACACATCACTTAACAAAGTTCTTCAAATAGGCCAATATTTCTGACCCAAACAAGAAAATATTTTGATCTGAAAAGTGAGAATAATTTGTTTTTAAAGGATCCAAAATTTCATTCTTAGAAGTCATATTGAACGGTCTGGTGAGCTTTCATTTCATTCAATAATTTTTTAAATTTATGAAACACATTAAACATCACAGAAGCACAGAGGCTAATATGAGTAACACTTAGGTACCCAACCCATGATTACATGTTCCATTTCATGAGAATGGATGATATATAAATTTCAGAGTTCATGTCAAAATTGACAGAAAAACATACTCTTCTCCATTTTTCCTAGATCTCATACTGTGACTTACAGATTCAGTATCTTCTTACAAGTTCTTTTATAAAGTTCAAATTCCTAGTTAACATTAAGGCACCTAATGAAGTGAAGGGAAAGTATAGACAATATGCCGTCTAGTATCAGACAAAATATACCACACAGATAAAAAAAAACTATATTAAACCAAGCAACTACAGATAAACTATAATCATTAGAATAATGAAATTAAAAAAGGCAAAGCTTCAAGTTAAGTTTTGAATAAATGTTAAATTTAAAAGTCACTCTTAAAAAGAGAGCATCTGTAACTTGCATTTCATATTCAAAAATAACCATATGAATCTGAAAAACATGTCATTTGTTTATCAGAGTTAGTAAATGAAAAGAGTAAAATCAAATGACTTAGATTCCTTTCTACTCTTCTGAGTCTGATATTTCAGAGAAAGACTCTAGAAATCAAGATTATTTCTAAGAGCTCAGGTAAAAAAAATTAAGATAATTGATTTAACTTACAACAAACAGTAACCTAGTGTTTGAGTACACTGGGAAACCCAAAAATGGATACGCCTAAACTAAAAAAAAAAAAAAATCAGAGCATTATGTAGTCATTTTCACATTAAGAGTGCTGCTAAGTAAGTAGTCTTTTTTCAGAAATTAAGACGATAAACAAAGATAATTGAATAGAATCCAAGAGGCATAAACATCTTTAGTAATAAAATTAGGAAGTTCTTACCATCCATCTTGTCAGAAGTATCCTCTTTGATGAAAAAGCAAGTAAAGAACAGAGGAAAACTTAGTATATTAGAAAAAACGATTTTATAAAATGCAGAAAACAGTACTTAAGTAGACAGAATTCATAGCATAGACACATATATGAAGCTTGTTTCCAAGTAGAACATATTAGACAAAATGAGCTTCCTATGTCGGATAAAGACAGTAACAACAACAACAAAACCGATTGCATGCCTGATGTTCACTAGCCTAGAGATGGAAGTTAGTAAAGTCCATGTCCTAATCCTGGACCCTTGCCATTGCCAGGCAAACCCCCACACTTTGGTCAGCCTCCCCGCTTTGGTCAGCTGAGTTTCTCCTAATCAGTCACAAATTGCCTTGCTGCTTCTTTTCCTCTGTAACCTACATGATACCCCAAAATTCCACTCTTGAGCTCTCTCATCATTATCCTGTCTAGGGCCTTGTTGCTTCCCCACCCCATCCTTAGAACTCTCAGTCCCTATAAAACCTTACGTATGGATAAATCTACTCAATTTTTCTACTCCACTACCTGAAGTGCCCAATAGAGAAAATTACAAAACCATGAAATCATGCAGACTTGGCACTACCAAAAACCGGGATAATTATCAGGCTTTGCCTTTAGCACCTGTGCAGGAAAGTATTAACATTCCAGGTTTGAGTGGATCTTGAGGACCTACTTATGGGGCTGGTTCTTGGCTGGCCTTGGGAAGTTAGTTTTGGATGCTTCCTATGTCAATAAGGTTATTTTGTGTGGGAGGTAAGGGGCGGGAGAGAGGGTACTGACCTCAGCCATACCAACCTGCCTAGACTGTTTTTGCAAACAATGTGATTTATGGTGAACACTCTAGTAATTGAGGCTGATTGTGTGGCAAAGTGCTTATATAACTAACCCCCCTTCCACCATTACCTGGGACTGAGTCTTACGCAAACTTCCCTCGGCAGAAACAAGGTACTTCTGTTCCTGCCTCCCACTGCTGGAGGAAGGAGCACATTCTGTGCGGTCAGCCCCTCGTTCTCTCCTCTGGGAGAACTTTGAAAGGCTGTGCCTAGACTCCTCTCCACTCCCTGATGAGTTTCTTTTCCCTTGCTGAGCTTGCTATGTGTCCTTTTGTTAATAAAAACCTCCGCCACAAATACAATTGTCGCTGAGTCCTGTGAATCCTTCTATCAAGTGCTCCAACTGTAGAAGCCCAGAAGAACGCCCCACCTCTGTGCTCACTCAATGTCTATTCCAAACCTCAAGCCACTTCTTGGACACCCTGCTTTTTGTCAGCACATGACCCTGACTCTCTCAACCACCAGTCCCTGATGACACCTTTCTTAATGTCCACCACTCCCCCAAATATATGTGAATCTACCTCCTTCATTTCCTTCCCTTCTATCACAGTGAAACTGGTGACCCTTCCACATCCAAGACAGACTCCCCAGCTGGGCTCTATATTCTCATTCCTCGTGCCTGTCATGAAACTTTGATCATAAATGATCTCTTCTCATCCTTGCACTTTTAACTTTGACTCTACCACATTAGTATACAAACACATTTAACTCCTCTAATCTTTAAAAACAAAAAGTTCATTAACCTTTAACTACAGAAAATTCCTACAATGTTCTCTCAGCTCTTTTCTTGGTCATCAAGCACAACAAAAATTTACAGATTCTTTTCCAACTTCTTCCACAATGAACTGAAATCTTACTTCTGTCCACATGACACTAATAAAACCATTTATTTTTCTCTTCCATTTAAGCAATTCCACAAACCCAGTTGTTGAGAACAAATATTCATAAATATGTATATACAAAGTCTGTCCTGAAGTATCCAGCCACATACTATGCAAAATAGAGACACTTACTGAAGAAGATAAAAGAAACATTGTACCTAGGACAATGATACCTCAGTCCCCTTCAAAGTAGGCCCCTTAGGACCTCACACAGTTCTCCCAGTCCCCATCAGCTGCCCCACTGTATTTTCCTGAATCTCATCAACAGTCTGATATCTCTTCCCTTTCAAAGGTGATTTTAGTTAGGAAAAGCCAAAGTCGCAGGACGCCAAATCTGGACTGTTGAGAGCTGAGTCACCCGCGTGATTTGATGTTTTGCCAAAAAAATCTGCATCAGGTGTGATGCACAAGCAGGTGTGTTGTAATGAAGCTGTCAATCACCAGGTGCCCACAGCTCTGGCCTTCTGCATTATCTGAATAGTTCCGTGGAGGAAAAAGTCAAGCTTAACGCAAGATTTGATGCAGATTTGTTGCTATACTCGCTCAGTCATTTTAAATGTGATGGCCACGCAGTACCCATGCTCACTCAATGGCATCTACCGCCCCCACTGACTAGTACAGTGAAGTCGTCATTGTTCACACATGCACATTCCAGTCTACTCTCCTTGGCTGCCAGGTTACATCGATGTGGTGCAAACCGTTCTCATATAATAACAATGGCTGGACTTTTTCCAGACAGAACTCATATATACCAACGTTTCCTTAACACAAATTCCTGTCTCCCATAACACCAAACTTTCTCTTCAAGATAAAATTTTAAAGAGTAAACTTGAAAACACTCATGATATTCCTTTCCTCTAAGGATTTGGTAATTAAGTGGGAAAAAAAACCCCAGTGACCATTGCTTTAAGGAATGTACTGAGTTATATATTGAAAGATTACAATAAAAACAACTCTCGAATGACTTCCAAATCTAATCTCAAGCATAGATCTCGCATAAATTCTATACCATTATATCTTAATGCCTCTAATGTGTATATGTGCGTATACATCTGTGTGTATCTCACTATACCAATATGCCTCCTGAACACTTCCAGTTTATGTCTCACAAGCACTTAAAACTCAAATGCATGAAACTCACCAAAACTAAGAGGCTCTTGGAGTATAGAGGCACATATCTCTGGATCTTGGCTACCTAGCAGGGTGCCTGGCAAAAACTAGATGCTCATTAAAGTGCTTCCTGAAAAACAATGAATAACTCCTTCTGACCCAATAATTTTCAGCATAATAAGTGTGGCTCAAAGTAGAAGAAAATAAGAGACTGCACACCAGTCACTTGTATATAAGAAAGCTGAGGTGGAAAGAAATGGAAGGGGGAGGGAGGAGAAAGGAAGGGGGAAGAGAGAAGGAAGGAGGAAAGGAAAGAAGAGAAAGTTAAAGACAGAAAGAAACAGAAAAAGGGGGAAAAATTAAGAAAATCCATTATCTAAGACCTAGAAGGAGCCACAGGAAACTAGCTTCATTGTCCCTGACTGTGAACCTGGGCCAGATGAAGAAAAGAGGATAAAGGGACACCCTTCCCTTCTGCAGTGAAGCAAACATGCAATTCAAATCTTAAACAACCAAAAGAAACAAATTAAGTCAATCTCACAGCATTATTAAAGGTTTTCGTATGGGAAAAAAATAAAAGAGATTAAATGCATTTTATTTTTAGACTTGGGATAAATGTTTTACTTTTATTTATTTTCCAGTTTTCCTCACTTAAAAAATTAAGATCTAACTCATATACCATAAAATCCGTACTATTATAGTATATAATTCAGTGTTTTTAATATATTCACAAGGTTACAAACCCTCATTACTATCTAATTCCAGAACATTTTCATCACTCCAAAAAGAAATCATGTACCCATTAGGATTCATTCCCTATTCCCCAGGCTCACAGCCCCTGGCAACAACTAATTCACTTTCTGTTTCTGTGGATTTACTTATATTAGGCATTTCATATAAACGGAATCATACAATATATGGCTGTGTGTATCTGACTTCATAACATTTTCAAGATGTACCCATCCTGTAAGCATGCATTAACAGTATCATTTTTATGTGCAGTAGTCCCCCATTAACTACAGTTTCACTTTCCGTGGTTTCAGTTACCTGAGGGCAACAGCAGTCTGAAAATATTACATGGAAAAGTCCAGAAATATACAATATATAAGTTTTTAATTGTGCACTGTTTTGCTCTGTCCTGGCCAGGACATAACACATCGTCTTGAACAGTGTATCCACTGCACATGCTACCTGTTAGTAGCTGTCCTGGTTATCAGATCAACTGTCTCAGTATCACAGTACTTGTGTTCAAGTAACCCTTATTTTACTTAGTATTGACCCCAAAGCACCAGACTAGTATTGTTGGCAATTCAGAAGTGCCAAAGAGAAGCCATAAAGTGATCCCTTTAATAAAAAGGTATGTCTATATAGGACAAAACAATATATATAGGGTTTGGTATTATCCATGATTTAAGGCATCTACTGGGGGTCTTAGAACATACCCTCTTTGGATAAGGAAGCAATATTGTAATGTATTCCTTTTTATGACCAAATAATATTCTACTCTATTGTATGGGCATACCTATTTAAACATTCACCAATTGATGGACATTTGGGTTGTGCTCACTTTTTGGCCATTTTGAATAATGTTGCTATGAACATTCATGTACCCATTTTTATGAGAACATATGTTTCATATGTCTTGGGAATACAGCCAGGAGTGGAACTGCTCGGTCACATAATAACTCTATGTTTAACTTTTTGAGAAACTGCCATACTGTTTCTGGAGTGGGTCCACCATTTATGTTCCCATCAGCACTGTGCGAGGGTTCTAATTTCTCCATATCCTTGCCAGCATTTGCTATTATCCATCTTTTGGATAACAGCCATCCTAGAGGACATAAATTGATATCTTACTGTGTTTTTGGTTTGCATTTCCCTAATGACTAATGATGCTGAGCATCTCTGAATGAGCTATCTTTGCATTTGCAATGGCGTACGCTGTCTTTAGAGAAATGTCTACTCAAATCTTTTGCCCATTTTTGCATTAAATTGCCTTTTTGTTATTGAATTGTAATAGTTCTTTATATATTTGGGACACAAGTCCAAGATCAGATGTGATTTACAACTGTTTTCTTTCATTATGTGTGCTGTCTTTTCACTTTCTTGATGGTGCTCTTTTAAGCATAAATGTTAATAATTTTGACGAAGTCCAATTTATTTATCTTCTCTTTGGATGCTTGTATGTTTAGCACAGTACCTAAGAAAACATTACCTAATCCAAAGTCACAAAGAGTTACACCTATTTTTTTAAATAGTTTTAGCTCTTACATTTGGGGCTTTTTTCCATTTTGAGTCTATTTTTTGGATATGGTATGAGATAGGGCTCCAAATTAATACCTTGGCAAGTGGCTATCCAGTTTTCTAGCACCCTTTGTTGAAAAAACAATTCTTTCTCCACTGACTGGTCTTAATACCCTTGCTGAAAATCAATGAACTATAAACATAAGAGGTTATATCTGTGCTCTTAATTCTATTACACTGGTCTATTTCAGTACCACACAGATTTGACTACTGTAGATCTGAAGTAAGTTTTGAAATTAGAAAGTGCAAATCTAACTTCATTCTTTTTTCAAGGTTGTTTCACCTGTTCTGAATCCCTTGCATTTTCACATGGATTTTGGTATCAGATTGTCAATTTCCATAAAAGAGTAGCTAAACTTTCTGTAGGAATTGCATTGAATACACAGGTCAACTTGCCATCTTAACAATACAAAGTCTTTAAGAAACTGGGAGTCTTTCCATTTATTTAGATCTTCTTTAATTTCTTTTAACAATGTTTGGTTTTCAGTGTGTAAGTGTGAAATAAAATATATGTTTATACACACACACACACACACACACACACACACACACATACATATATATACATATACACATAAAAAAAGTATCCTCTGGCCCTGGTACTGGCACAGGGCTCCTAAGACCCTTGTCATTTCCTAATGGATAAAGAGCTCTAGGAGTATCTTTTGTTCTACTGTTTGGTCTTTGGCTCTGGTATCTGACACAGAATTCCTAAATCCCTTGGAATTTTCTGTGTAGTAGGACTTCTAATGAGGTGATTCCTGGTTGGGTCCTATACAGCTTCAGCATGGGGCTGGTCACTGGAAAGATGAAGCCAGGATTAGAGGCCTGGAATGTTCAGTCCCACTCTCCATTCTCTGAGAAAGAGAAGGAAAGGACTGGAAACAAAGTTAATGATCTATCATGCCTATGTGATGAAGCCTCCATAAAAACCTAACAGTACAGGTTTAGAGAATTTCTGGTTTGGTGAACACATCCACATGCCAAGAGGCTGGCATAGTCTAACTCCACGGGGACAGATGCTCTCACTTGGGACATTTCTGGACCTCACCTCATGTATCTCTTCACTTGACTGTTCACTCATGTATCCTTCAATATAATTTGTAATAAAACAGTAACTAGTAAGTAGACTGCTTTCCCTGAGTTTGTGAACTGCTCTAACAATAATTGCAGGGGTTATGGGAACCTTGATTTATAGCCAGTTTGCAAAAGCACAGGTAACAACCTGGACTTGCAATTCATGTTTGAAATGAAAGCCAGGGCAGTCTTATGGGACTGAGCCCTTAACCTGTGAGGTCTGTGTTACCTACAGTTAGAATTGAATTGAATTATAGGAAACCTATCTGGTGTAGGAGACTTGCTTGGTGTGGAAAACTCTTGCATCTAGAGTCAGTAGTATTAAAGGATGAGAGTAAAGAATAAACAGGAGTCTTAAAGAAGTCTTACACTACTTTTGTCATATTGATTCCTAAGTATTTTATTCTTTTTTGATGCTATTATAATTGCAATTGTTTTCTCACTTTCATTTTTTGATTGTTTATTGCTACCATTTTGAAATCAACCAATTTTTGTATCTTGATCTTGCATTGTGCAACCTTGCTGAACACATTAATAAGCTCTCACAGCTTTTTTGTGGATACCTTGGGATTTTCTACATATTGGAATCATGTAAATAAAAACAGTTTTCCTTCTTTTCCAATCTGGATACCTTTTATTTCTTTTTCTTGCTTAATTGTCCTGTCCAGAAGCCCCATGATAATGTGGTTAGGAAGGACAAGAGCAGATATCATGCTCCTGACCTTGGGAGGGAGCATCCAGCCTTTCACTATTACACGCCATGCCAGCTATTTTCATGGATACTCTATCTGGTTCAGAAAATTCTTTTATTCCTAGTTTGTCAAATATTTTTATCATGAAAAGATGCTGGATTTTGTCAAGTTGCCTTTTCTGCAGCTACTGATATAATCATGTGGTTTTTGTCCTTTATTCTATTAATATGGTATATGATGTTGATTGGTTTTCATATATTGAAAGAACACTGCAGTTCTAGCAATGTGATATCTGTAATACAGGAAAATTTTAAAAAGAGAAAGAACTCACAGACAGACAACAGTCTGGTGATTGTAGGGGGGAGGAAGTAGAGGTGGAAGAGGGTATGGGGGATAAGTAGTAATGAAAAATACAGTAAAAAATAAGAAAAGTTTTATGAAAATTAAAAGCATTGATCAACCTATTGTTGATACCTTTGTTAAATCTTTATTAAAACCCTGGTCCAGTCCTTCATCTACGTATAATTTTACATAAAATGATGGTATCACACATTGCTTGGTAGTCCATATCATTTGATATTTGTTGACAATATGACTTGTTAATTAATGGTTGTATAATATATATATAGGGATATACCATAACTTAATCATTCCTCCTTGATTATATATCAAGTTTGACTTTAATAACACCTGTTAATAAAAAATGAGTATTTTATTTCTTGACATAATTATATATAAATATTGGATTATTAGATCAAAATGCTGAACATTTAAAGCTTCATGTGTATTACTAAATTCCCACTCAGAAAAGAGTTCCATGATTAATTCACATCAGCACTTTTTAACAATTTTCTTTATTAGTGGAAGGCACTAATCTTAACTTTCTTATAATATTTAAAGGTCTTTCAATTTGCATTTGTTTAATTACAGGTGAGGTGCAACATCTGGTGTTTTAGGGGCTATTTTGATACATGCAGAATATTTTTCTATAAAAATAAATTCATGTTTCTCATAGACACTTCAACATTTTTTTGTAGTGTGTGGCAAAACATTCTCCCTTTTGGTTTTTCAGCCACTTGACTTTGTTTTTACACTTAAGATTTAAATCTGAGGAACTCTTCCCTCACGGGTTTTTGCCTTTTATGTTTACCAATTCCTTTTTCTATCTGAGCTTAGATGAATACTCAACTACTATGTTTTCATCGAGTTGCTTTATGTTTCTGTCCAACACTATAGTCTATCTGGAATAAGTTTTTGTTTTTGTTTTAAATGTCTGCTTAAAAGAAAAGATTTTATTATTTATTTATTTTTAGAGAGAGAGAGAGAGACGGTAGGGAGGGAGAGAGGGAGAGAAACATTGATGTGCGAGAGACACATCTATCAGATGCCTCTCGCACTCTCCAAACAGGGGACTAGCCTGCAACCCTGGCATGTGCCCTGACTGAAAATCGAACCAATGACCTTCTGATTCGCAGGCCAGCACTCAATCCACTGAACTATACCAGCCAGGGCTGGAATAAGTTTTCATATGGAGTAAAACATGGTTCTAACTTAATTTTGTAGCAAATTGTAAGCCATGTATCTAAACACCATTTATTGAATAATTATCCTTTCTTTATTGAATGCAATTGTGCCAATTTTACCATGTACTACCTACAATCATGCTGAAATCTCTCCACTTCCTACTGTTTTCCAATGATCTGTCTGCCTAGTGTTCTACCACTACTACTCAAGAGAAAGAAAAATGAGGCAGAAAACAGAGATAAGCAATGTCAAACTTTAAAGCTGATGGGCATAAAAAACAAACTCTGAATACCTTTAGAAAATAAAAGTTTAAGCTTTGATTATGATTAAGTTTTGCAGTTTTTCTAGGCCCTCAAAATGCCTTAATTTCTTGGGAAGGGTCTAAGTAAAAGAAAGAGGACAGAGAAGCTGGATACAAAGCCAATGCTCTTTCTAAACTTCCTTAGTGACCAGCGGTTAGACGTGGCAGCAATGTGGAGCTATTACAATTTTATAGGAAAATTATGGAATCAAGAATTGTTCCTTTGATTGAGATGATTAGAAAGGCAACAAGAGGGAAAAGAGGAATCATGGCAGCTTATACAGTTCAGAGCTATGTCCCAAGTATAGAATCATATTAAAGCATATGAACTATCCTTAACTGGCAAGGATAAAATAGAAATAATTATGATAGCACCACCATTCTGACTCCACTGAGACCAGGGGGAAAACACTGTTTAATCTCCCAGAATTAGCTCTCTTACCTAGTGATGCATAGGATCCTGGATTCAGAGCACCTGCACCTAACCGCGCACTCCGCATAGACTGCCCAGCGGCATGATGGGCCTTGGCACCAGCGGCAGCATTCACATCAATGTCGCTTCGTGAACGCTGCAGGCTTCCTGGAAGGGAACTGGCTTTGCTGCTGCCTGCTGTTACTATAGAAAACAAAGCAAAGGTAGCCTGTATTATTTAAATCACTGCAAAAAGTATAAAACTTATATAAACTTGAAATCACAATGAGCTAATCCATGACGACAAATGGTCAAAATGTGAGCAGTGGCCACATGGACACCAGAAAGTACTTCATAGTATTATAAAGTCAGAATACCTGTTTCCATCCTGCCACAACTAACTCTTCTTGAACAATACTCTCAATATTTCCCTGTTTCATTTTCATCTTCCATAAAATGGGAAAAGTAACTATACTTTCCAAAATTCTTAGGACTGTTTCACAAAGAGATGATACTTATGACTGATTCATGAAAATGAAGCAATGCACAAGGTAAACAGATGGCAGCAGTGCTGTTTTTTTACTATCAAAAAACCCCAAAGAGGACTAGTTTGGGAGTGGGGTTACTCAGAAAATAATGCAAGTTCTGCCACCCTTAGGCAATGCAAATTAGGTTATTAAATTTCTGACCTTTAGTTTTTCAGTTTTAAAAATGAAGTTTTACAGCCCTGGCTGGTGTGGCTCGGTGGATTGGGTGCTGGGTGCTGGTTGTTGGTTCGATTCCCAGTCAGGGCACATGCCTGGGTTGCAGGCCAGGCCCTCAATTGGGGGTACGTGAGAAACAACCACACACTGATGTTTCTGTCCCTCTCTTTCTCCCTCCTTTCCCCTCTCTATAAAAATAAATAAATAAAATCTTTGAAAAAAATTTTTCAAACTCTGAGCTGTGACTCATTAATAGGCTGTGAAAACAACATAGTGGATCATGATAGGCATTTTACAGAAATGAATCAGTAGAAAACAAAGTCCATCACAACTAAGGTAAGTAGTGTGCCATGAAACTTTAGATTATACTGTATAGGCACACACATATACAATATACACAAAACATATATATAGTATTTATATAATGTATATACATTGTATATATTGTATATGCATATAGTATATAAATATAGGTACAGTGTATATGTGTGGTATTAGGTTACTATATAAAATGATTTTCTCACTATAGGTCAGATCAAAGGTTTAAATTTTCAGAATAGTTTAAAAGCTACACTTTAAAAGCACATCAAAAACAGTTTTTAAAAGCTAAACAGTTTAAAGCAGTAGTTTTAAAACTGTTTTAATGTGACCCATAGTGAGAAAATAATTTTACACAGTAACTTTTACCTTATTTATAAAGTAGCTTTTACTTTATTAAGTAAAATATGTCATGACTCTTACTTAAAAGGGCAATTTACCTCTTCCAGCCACAGTTGATGGGTTTGCTGTAGACCATTTAGAAGAAAACGGGCGACTGCAAGGTAAAGGAAATACTTTTAGTAAGAAGATGTAATTATCACTCCTCTGATAACAATTAGTGAAACAGCACTGAGCTTTCTAAAAAGTTGAGAAGTATTTCTAATTTTAATTTCCCTTTTACAAATCACCATACAATACTTGTTATATAGCAGTGGTATCTTAATTAGCTGTGAAGCAAAGATGAAATCAGTAAAAATGAGTAAGAATGTAAACCCTACAGAGACAGAGACCAGTTTGCTGTAGTTCACTCTGGTCCTCAGCACACAGATACAATGCTCACCACAGAGGACTCAGTAGCCCTGAAACACTTGTATTCCGAGATATTTTACTTACAGGGAGAGAAGAGGTGTTATTATTAGTACACAGGGAATTCAGAATAACTAAAATCTTGCTTGTCTAAGTCACAAGGGCTGTGGCCACAGGTGATCCCCATGCAGACATCGCACTGCCTGCAGCAGTGCTACTACCTGTTAGTGTGTGGGGCCAAGAAAAAAGGCTAAGAAGGACTGCTGAGGACAACATGTGCCATCAGAAAGCAAAACCTCCAATCATCCATCATCTCTCTTAGTAGCTTTTTTTTTTTTTTAACGAACTCTCAACTTTTTATTGGCATCCTGCCTTGCCAAGGGATGCCCCACTTTTGCTGCCTTTAATGCCTCAAAACTTTGGTGTCGTTGACCTCAGATACCACTTTGCCGTCCACAATCTTGTGGGTCGTAGTCTTCTGGATGGTTTGTAAGGAGTGGCTCTTGTCCAGGGCGCCAACAAGATTGAAGTCCTCCCTTTTTCCAGTAGGTGGCGGCAGGTGGCAATCTCAGCCTCCAGCTTGACCTTGATGTGCAGCAGGGCCTCATACTCCTGGGCCTGGCGCTGCCCCCCTGCCCGGGTCTGGGTCAGCTCTGCCTCCAGGTGCAGTAGGATCCCATTGAGTTGGTCCATCTGCATGGCATAGCGCATCTCCACCTCCCTCAGACTGTTCTCCAAACTGACCTTCAGATTTCCCATTGAGCCCAGGTCAGTCTCCAAGGACTGGACCGTACGTCTCAGCTCGGTGAGTGTCGTCTCAGCAGTGCCCATCTCAGCAGTCTGTGGGGTGACCACAGTGCTGCTCTCTTCAATCTGAGGGGAGCAGTACTTGTCTAGTTCCTCTCGGTTCTTCTGAGCCAGCTCTTCATACTGGGCCCAGCCTGGAGTTACACCATGATTTTGCCCAGGTCCTGAGATTTGGGGGCACCCAAATCCACGGTCAACCCAGAGTTGGCAATCCGGTTTTGCAGACCGTTTACTTCCTCCTTATGGTTCTTCTTCATGAAGAGCAGCTCCTCCTTGAAAGCCTCGATCTCTGTCTCCAGCTGCATGTCAGTGATACTGCTGTCATTTTCCACAGACTGGCGCATGGCCAGCTCTGTCTCATACTCGACTCTGAAGTCATCAGCAGCAAGACGGGCATTGTCAATCTGCAGAATGATGTGGGCATTGTCCACAGAATGTGCAAAGATCTGAACTCTCAGGTCCTTGATGGTCTTGAAATAATGCCCTCAGTCTTTGACCTGGGGCCCCTTCTTCTCTAGGTGTTCCTGGATTTTGATCTCCAGTCTCTGATTATCAGCCTCTAGACTTCTCACCCTCTCTAGGTAGGAGGCGAAGAGGTCATTCAGGCATTGCATGGTCTCCTTCTTGCTCTGGATGCCCGCTATGCCCACCAGACCCCCCCGCCATCCCTGCAGCCAGGCCTCCAGATCCCCAGCCACCCGGCACACTGGTCGAAGCGGGACACTGAGATCCAGGAGCCTGAGCCCCTGGCGCCTGCATAGACGCTGGCTGCACTGCTGACCAGCCGGACCCGGTAGCTGGGCGAGTGCATGGAGCCCGGGGTCCGGTAGCTCATGGAGAAGCTAGAGCGTGTGCTGAAGCTCATGCTGTTCAGGGAGGAAGGCGAGAAGCCAATACTCAGGAGGAAGGCGACTAGTGGAGACTCAAGTTGAAGCTGCCTCTTAGTAGCTCTTTTGATTAATTATCTTTATGCAATGGTATTGTGCAGCCCACAGATAAAAAATTTAAGTACGTAAAGGAGATCTGAAAAGCCTATCTATAAATTTTAAAGGTGGGGGAAAGAGAGAAGCAAAAGCCTCAGATTAAAGTCAGTCTACTGAAAAATATTCTTTGAGCTATTATTATTAAATAATAAATTTGGTAGTTGATTATTAAACACAGTATTATATTATTTTTATAGCTGTCCCCTAAAACTGTTACTTTATTAGATTGAGGCATACAACTTTAAGGTTCACAGGATTTAAAGTTGTTTATGTTTAAAGATGTTATACTAAAGTAAGATAAAATATCTTGTTTAGATCGTTGCTACTCAAAGTACGATCCATGGACAAAAAGTACTGACTGACATTATCCAGAAGTATGTAAAAAACGCAAAGCCTTAGGCCCCACTCCAGATCTATTAATCAGATTCTGCATTTCAACAAGACATTCAGGTGATGCATATGCACTTTTAAGTTTCAGCACTGTAAATAAAAGTAAACAGGAAAAAGCAACAATGCTCATTGGAAGTAAAGAATTTATCACAAATTTTAACAGAGTTTAGAAAGATAATTATTCCCACTGTACTTCTTTTTTGAAATCATATCCTGCATTTATTCTGAAAACTCATAAGTCACTCAACTTTAGTACAGTACTCATAAGACCCTGTCAGTGCTTCCTGGAATTTTGCACCCCAGGTGCCTCATTTGCCTCACCCTGGTCTGCCTTCTGCATCAGAGGGCTGCTAAGGCAACCAGCAACCTTCATGGGACCAAGGTCCAAAGAGACAGACATGCAGAGAGGCAAGCTCACATTCTGTGAACTGTTCTTCCCTGGGGAAACCTGCAGGTATTTGCACCCACTGCTAGTGAGTGCAGGAGGCATCTGAGACTTTAGCAGTCCCATAGAGTCAGAAAGCCAGAACGCAGGGGTAAGGCTGCCAAGGCAGTAGGGTTTGCGGCAGTCAACTCAATGATGAGAATGGAGTTACAGAGAAGTGAGTCAGATACTAATTTTACCCCTTGAGGGATGTGCTGAAATCTGAAGCTGTACAAGAGATGAGGAAGGAAAGCAGTGGAGTTTTTACTAGTTACATAGTGCTGCTGAACAGTTCTGAAGACAACTTTTAAGTTTCTATAACAATTCCTCCATTACAATGCCGTAGAAGCAGCTACCGTTTAACCTATTTTGTGAGTATTTAAAAAATGTATATAAATCAACGCTTTCCAGTCTTTTTCACAGACATAAACATACAGAAACAAAATCTGAATCACTAACCCTTTATCCAAAGAGAAGAAGTTATATACTAGCATGTATCCAACACTTGAGATAGTAGATCAAAGAAAATGAGTACTTCAAATCATCATTCTTTCAAGGCTTTATGGGAAAGCAAGCAGATATTCAAGTATCCAACTTAAGGAACTCTGGGGAGTTGGGAGAGGAAGAAATCAATAATTATCATTTATATGATCTTACTTGAGACTTTCTTGTGAGCTAGACGAAGATCTGTCAGATTGAGGAAGAGATGCTACACTGCCAGAGCTTTTTAAGTAAGTTTGAAGACTCTTCTGATAAGATGGCTCAAGGGAATTATACAATGTTTCAGCTTCACCAGGAAAGTGGTTTCTAAGACCCATATATGTCCTGTAAAACAAATGAACAAATACAGAGAAAAAGAAAGCACAAAGTTATAGCTTTACATTACTAGACATTACAGTAAAATATGTACATTCAAGAATGAAGATAAGCATTCAGGTTTTTAATACATCTACTGAATGTCAAGTGAATGTTTTCTAAGATTACAAAGTTTTGGTGGATAAAAGGCAGGCTTTTGAAGAAACGAAATCTCAGTTCAAAACCTGGCTGTAACCCTTGCAGTTTGTATAGCCTGGATAAACTCCCAATCTCCAAACTTCAGTTGCCAACCTATGGAGATACTGCCTACGCATTTTCAATATTAGAAAAGAATGAATACCAACTGCCTTACATAGTATCAGGTTTGTAACACATGCTCAGTAAATGACATTTATATTCACAATGAAACCGAGTATGTTACGATGGACTAGGAATACTGATGATTATACAAATGACAGTGTGAGGTAAGCTGGTAAGCCATCCAGTGCAAATTTAATGGGAGAAAAATCAATCTCAATATTACTACACAGCTAATCAAAAGTTGACTAATTGGGACATTTGTGATATTTTCATTCTCCCAATATAATTCCTTTCAATGAAAAGACCACAGTATGTTTAAATTGTCATGAAAACACATTGTGGACTTACTTCCTTGCTTCCACTCTGGCCTCAGCATCAGCATCATGAATTCCCTTTTTAATAGTTTCAACCAAGACAGCTGCATGTCTATAAAATAAAACATCTTTAGAGTCATGTGTAAAACTATATATTTCACTACAAATAATACCTAATGCCTATGTGTTAATACATCAATCACAAAGGAAAAGGAGAGGTTAAAAGATTAATTGGTGTACAATAATAAATCTAAGACTGCCAGATTTTCTAATAATCCGCCTCATACATTTTATTCATACATATTTGCTTCTGACAAGTTAAACATTATCAACCTGAAAATAATTTTTATATGAAATCCAAATAATGTATAAATATATAACACTCAAATTTGAAACTTTTAATGAATACAAAATAATTTTCTGTGTGGTTGCTCACCAATGTAGAAAATGATTTGCTAATAGTATATGATCAGTTTTAATACGACTAAATTGAATAGTAACTGCTACTAATGAACTTAAAGAAAACGTGGAATTGTATTATGCTTACATTGAACAACAAATTCTGTTTCTTTTTAAAAAAAGGAGGCTGTGAACAAATTTAATGTTTTCCATTAAAATGAAACAAATCAGTTTTCATTTTTAACACAAATACAGGTACATCCCAAGCTTCAAACTCAAAATAAGAAACACAGCCATGCAAATAGCCAGTCACCACCTAGCTGTCCACATTTTCCTCTTTTTCATTTTAGAACTACGTTAAACACCACCCAGTATATTACCTGACCAATGACACCTGCCAGCAGGTATGGAGAAACTTTTTAAAACCTTTCTCCTCTAAAAGGCAGTGCCTTCCTTCTATCTTAAATAATTCATTACTTGATTAATTGTACCTCGGTAAACCTATCTCATATGATTAGAGATACATTTTAAAACTTTTTCCCAATTTAACCTGGAGCATCTTATAGGATTCATTCTACTTAAGAGACTTTCACTTACCCCAAAACAAGAAAATCATACTACTCACAGCTGCAACAAATAAAAGGAGCACCACACCACAGCTTTAAAGGAAAACCAGTACAAATAACTTTTAAAATAAAATGAGAAATAATGCAAAACCAATACCATCAACTTCTAAAGAAATAGTAACAATGGAGAGAGGAGGAGGGAGAAGAAACGATGATGCATACCTTTCTAATGAATGAGTCTGCCACTCTTGTAACAATAAATCTAAAAACTCAAAAGAACGCCTGAAAAACAAAAAGTTAATTCTAACTAAATGTTATAACATTGTAATAATTTATAACTTAATACTAAGCAACACTTTCCTCTATAATATTGTACTTTGTTCCCTTAATTAAAGTACAATCAGCCCTCCATATCTGTGGGTTTTATATACGTAGATACAACCAACTGGGGATTGAAAATATTGAGGAAAAAAATCCCAGAAAATTCTAAAAAGCAAATCTTGAATTTGCCACACACCAACCACTATGCTAAATTGTTATGAATGAAGTGATGTGTAGGCACACCCTGCTGTAGACTATCTGCAAATATAGGTTATACGCAACTACTACTCCATTTTATATAAAGGGCTTGAGCATCTGCATATTCTGGTATCCAAGGTGGGTCCTGGAACCAATCTCCCACAGATTCTCACAGGTGACTGTATGAGACATGTTTTTGGATATCTTAATTGTCAAATACTTAACTTACTTTAAGGTTCCAATTATTTTTATACTAAATAGTTCAAAAAGACTTTAAGAGTTCCCTGTAAATTTAACTTAAAATACTTGTCAAATGTAAAATTAATACTTATTAAATATCTACTAGGCACTAGAAATTCAAGGTGTACAATAGTGACCAAGAAGGATGTGATGGATCTTCTATTTCTACAATGTTCCCTTAAAAATATATGTATTTGATTTTTTTCATCAAGTATTTGTGTATTTTTCTCCTAAGCTCCTTAGTTCTCAACTTCTTCACCTGTCTCATTCTTGAGTTTCTCTTCTTTCTTGGCATCTAATGACAGTTCTACCCTGTTTTTCTTCCTTAATATATTAACACTTTTTCTCCGCCTACCCTTAAACAGGCGCTCACCTGGTTTGTGCTGATCTCAGCCCACTTGCCTTTTAGAGTCAACTTGGGCAACAGCATGTGTTCCCTGACACTTGACTATCAGCTGCGCTTCTCACATCTAGGCCCATATTGCCAGCATTGGTTCAGTTCAACATCTCTACATAAGCAGCGAAAGTCAACTCAAACACTACATATAAATCCACTGTTTCAGCCCATATTATACAGATTAGGAAATGAGACTTAGGAAGGTTAAATTAAGTTGCCCAACATGATAGAGCTGGGACTTAACCCCTGGCATGCTGACTCCAGAGTTCCCAGTCTGAAATGCTTGACATTACCTCCCTCACCCTTACCCAATTACCAGGTGTCGTTTCTACACTTGAAATCTCTTAAATTTATTGGAAAAAAATCCCTCAATCAATTATCATCAATACAGCTCTAGTTCAGACCCTGTCTCTCTCTTCAGTGAGTTATAAAAATCCCCACTTATTTAAACCACTGTGCCTTCTTAATCACTGTTCATAGACAGAATGAAAACTATGATGGATGACATTACCTCCTCGCCAAGAACTGTCAAAAGAATGGCAAAACATCAAAATTTCTCATGACATTCCAATCCTCTACACAGACTTCAACCTACTCCTGGCCCTTCCTCCTCTACCCTGTTAGGCACCCTTCCTACTCAAACCTTCCATTTATCATGTGCCCTGGCCTCAGCGGCCTATCGGAAGGCTCTGCAGCATGTGGCAAAGTTTTATATCTGTGTTTAGGTTATACCCCTCACTCCTCCCATTTTCAAGTTAGTTCTCTGATATATTTCCTGACTCCCTCTTCTCGTTCCATTCCTACCTAATTACCATATTCCTCAATGTAAGACAAAGACTGGTAAACATTTTCTGTAAAGGGTCAGAACAGAAAATATTTCAGGCTTTTGGAACCACGTATCATTTCTATCTCATATTCTTCATTTGCCCTTTCGATCACCCTTCAAAAATGTTAGAAATAATCTTAGCTTGTGGGTTGCACGAAACTATAGTGTTGGCTGGATTTGGCCAGCAAGCTGTCATCTGTTAACCCCCAACATGAGAGAGAGGTAAGTGAACAACTGTGGCCAAAACTCCAAAACACTTAAAGGAAATAATGATGTCATATGCAGCTTCTTCCTAACAGTCAAAGTATTTAAATAAATACGTATTTATCAAATTTAAATGAGAAACAGCTCTTTAAACATCAAATGCACAAATCTTGCTTTTGCTGTCCTTATTGATGGTGATTATTAAAAACTGTAGAAATCATAAGGAGACTGATTGATTAACCTGATGATATGGCTGTTTACTCTGTTCCAAACTCTAAGTTCAGTTCTACTAATGCTACCTCATTTAATCCTCAGAATCCTTCCTATAGGGCTGATATCATTAGCCCTACTAACATATGCAAACACTGCGGTTCAGAGTGCTTAAGTAATTGCCCAAGGCTGGAGAGTCAATCAGTGGCAGTTGCAGATATCTAGCAAGAGGCCTGACTCTACACTCCATGCTTTCTAAAAATCCAAACAACCTGTGGCCCAAATAAACCAAAGCTTAATATGAGAAACTGAGAAATGTGGGTGGTCATCATAATTGTTTTATTCACTTTCCCTTATATGATGTAAGATAAAAAATTTTATTAAGGTTTCTAGAAGGCAAGAAATTAATAACTACTAATTTTTGCACCAGACTAAGAATGAAACATAATGCAATATTAAAGCCATACTAAAAATTTTTTTGGTCAAAACTTACCTTCTCACAGGAACTGATTTTGATGTGCAATTGCTTGTTATTAAAGGTATAAGTCTGGGTACATGAGTATGCTGAAAAAGATGTTACAGATAAGGCTGAAAAATACACATAATCCCTTCTAATTCTCTTATATTCACATATTTAGTTATATTAATACAGGACAAAAAGATCATAAAATCTGATTCTGAAAGGAATTAAGACCAAAGTTTTCCCAAAATAGTTAGTTATGATGACAGTTTCAAAAGGACAGGTATGGCTGTGATATAAAATAAAGACAAGCTACTTGTATAACTGCAGAGAACTCCTAGGATGGTGTACTTTGAGGGGAAGAAGCACTAAGAGAAACTGGGCATGTATATGGATCATATTTTCTGAAGTATCATGGCTCCTGCTGGTAGAAGGTAATAACTGCTATGTAATCATAGGTAATCAATGTGAACTACAAACTTTACTGAGAATGTACTGTGAAATGGTAATTTAACTGAACTTTCATTCTGGTTGAATCATAGCTCTCTAGAATTCAGGTAAAGTTCAACAGGTATAATCTTCTTACTTCTATTAGTAATTCTTATGCTCTTCTTCAGTGAAGCACACACTACGAAGTTCAACATAAACATAATAAAATAGTAACCAAAGTATGTATTTTTGATGCTTTACATCTTTATTTTTCTTCTGAGTTCATGGTATAAGTTGGGTTACCTATGAAGTAGACTGTGAGATGGAGTAGTATGAAGGATATTAGGAAGTGCCCTTGGGATCAATACCCGTGGAAAGTATGAAAAGGAAGCAGAAGTGGGGAGAGGAAGAAACTGATCTGTAATATGGCCCAAGGGTATCTTACCCAAGGCCATTAGAATGCTATGGACTTAAATGGCCCTTCAGAGGAGTCTTGAATTGGTCCAGGGCAGCCAAACCTTTACACTTCCACCTCAATCAGTTACTCAGTAAGGGCATACTGGGAAGGGGCAAGACCTTGGGAAGGGCAGCCCTCTACAGCTGAGGCCCTCAGCCCTCGGAGAGGCTGGCATATGAAAGCTTCCTGCCCCAAGTGCTTCAACTAAAAGCCATCACTGAAGGAGAATGTGTGTGGCACACCAGCATCTGCCACAATTAACTCAACCAAAATAAGAGAAAACTTTTTTCAGCTACTACAGAAAGAAACCACCCACGGACCTAAAGTTTTCAAGAGAAAAATGCAAGAGAGTGCTGACTGCTTGTTATTCAACTGCTACATTCAGTATGGAAGGGCTCTGCGGACGTGCTCCCTTAGAAGACCCAGAACTCATTCCCCAAACATGATTACTATGGAGTTAAGGCCCAAGGTGAGCCTCTAGCCACAACACATTACCATCTCTTGCCTACCATCTTCCTCCTCTCTCATAGTCTCCCCAAGATTTTACTGCTAGTTAGCCCACATCCAACACAATGGCAGGCATGGGGAGAGCCTAACTATTGCCAACACCATATTCAGGGGGAGCAGGACCAAAAGAAAATTAACAGTGACCCTCAAAGTGACAGACAAAGCATTCTACCAAATACCATGTCAGAACAATTTAGACCTAAAGTTGACAATTTTAAGAAAAGATTCTCTAGAACTAAAAAGAGAATCAAGAATCAAATACAGCACTCTAAGGAAGTAGTTCCCTAGGATATAAACAAAATATACAAAGTAGTAGATAACATAAACAAACATATAAAAAATCCCACCTAGTTTGTATTTTCAATGAGATGATAGAATAGTGTATTAATAAGATGACAAGCTCATGAAAAATGAGCAATACAAAAACAATGTATAAAGTGTAAAGCCTAAGAATAGGAAAATGGGTACTGTCAAGTGAGCAGAATTTAAAGGAATTTTTCCTGAGAATATAGATCAGCTGTAATGTGAGACAAAAAAATTATCCAAGAAATGACAAATAACACTGAGGGTTCTAAAATCTGTGTGATAAGAGTAATAGAGAAAAAAATGGCAAAAAAAGCCAAAACAAAAAACCCAGAAGCAATCAATAATTGATGAAAATTAACACAAATTTAAGGAAAATTAATTTTAGTCAAAACTCCTCATCCACTGTGTAAGGAGAGCACTAATGGAAGATGATTTACTACTAGACACATTATGAGACTCCTAACACAAAGAGGCTATCCTATAAAACTTTGTAAAGGTTTTTGGTTAATTTTTTTTTCTATAAAAGAATCAAATAAAAGAAATATCTCATTTCTTAGAGATAACAGTAAGAATTTCAAAAGCAATTCTGAGAGAAAAGGAAGCAATTCTGAGGGAAAGGAAATGTAAACCTACCAAATACTAGATGAAGATATACACTCTATCATCAGATACACAGTTCTATTTACCTGAGATGTAATGAATACTAAATGACTAACAGACAGCTATAGGTTGATTTCAGGCAATAGACATGTTTTTCTAGGTCTGCATAGTGTTGGGTGAGATAGTAGCTTATATATTTAGAACTACTTTTGAACACTGGAAAATGGGATATTTTATATCAAATCCAGATACATACATAAATGCTTTGTTTAAAAAATACAACTCAAGGGGTAACACAAAGGAGCCCTATGGAAATGAAACAGTTCGTCACCTTGAATGTGGTAGGTACACAAAGCTACAGCTATGCTGAAATGAGTGCTTGTAAAACAGGTGAAATTTGAATAAACTCTGCGTATTATTAAAAAAGAAAAAGAAGTGTAAACCTAAAGTCCATTTTTTTAGTGATAGTGTAAGGGCAAAGACATTTCAAAATATACAAAATTAAATACTCATGAAAAGTGAGAACATGCTAAAAACAAACAAAAATTATTTAGAACCAATTTAAAAATTAAGAAGTGTTTATTAATAAACACTGAGTAGGAATGAAAACATAATGTAAATGTAAAAAATACAATTAATATCGACTGCTGAAAATGAAAATGTCTTTGTTCAATTGAACTTAATGGTTAAGGGGGAAAAAATGACATGAAAAAGATGAAAAGTATATTTTTTAAAAGGTGAAAGAAATAAACAGGTTTTATTCTTGACACCAACAAGAAAAATATGGAACTTCTCAGAAAATAAGAAACAGGTAAGAAGAAAGCACAATAAACAGAAAAAGAAAATATTTTTAAAGAATCTATTTCAAGATAGTAATAGCCAAAAATTTGGACCATACATAAAGTATATAAAGCAACAATTGCTAGGAAAATAAAACTGACAAAAAGAGAATCACAAAAATCAAGTTAGATAGCTATATTTCACATGGAAATAAAATCCAGTTTGATCTAAACCTAAGAAACAAAATTTACATAATACTTTAAAAAAACTGAAGATGATTGTGAAATGGGGAAGGTTATGTGAACTACAACAAAAACCACAAAAGCAGCACCATCTTAATGCATAAAAATTGGAAGTTCTATATGTAACAAACAACAGCTTAAACAATGTCTGAAAAACTAACAGACTGGTAAAAATATTTGCTATATATATATATATACACACACACACACAGGAAAAAGTGAACAATGCAAAAATTGGCAATCCACAGAATTAAAAAGGAAAAAAATAATGTCTTTAGTAATCTAAAATGTGAAGCAGAATAAGAAATAATCCATTTATTGAATTATAACACCTTTGAGAGACTAATACACAATGTTGGCAAAGGATGGAGAAAAGGACTCCATGAATTTCAGAGAGAAGAATGGTGAGGAAATTTAATGTCATGTTTGTTTGTTTTTTTTAAATCCTCACCTGAGGATATACTTATTGAATTTAGAGAAAGAGGAACAGGGAGGAAAGGGAGGGGGCGGGGAGAGAGAGAAACACCAATTGGTTGCCTCCTGTGCACGCCCGAACAGGATTAAACCAACACCCTAGGTATGTGCCCTGACCAGGAATCGAACCTCCAACCTTTTGGTGTATGAGATGATGCTCCAACCTTTAATAGAGAACTGCTTTAGACATTAAAAAGAATTATATATAGTATGCATAAACAAGAGAAGAGTCCAAGTATGTGAAATATAAAAAACAAATTAAAAACAAGCTCTTTATATAGATGTAAAATATAAATACTATGTTTACATTTTGTAGTAAATCTGGTTTGTGTAGACACAGAATATAAGTTTTGAAAATTACACACTAAATGGCTAGAGTGATTATTTGCAGAAAAGCAGAATTCAAGCAAGGGGAGATTTATCTTTTTATCTCTATTCTTTTGGGTATCTTCAAGATAGGATGAGAAAAATATTAAGAATTTTCCTGTCATCTTTTACCACTGCTTATAACATTTTTACTGTTTTTTCTACCTGTAACATGATTATATGCACACACATACATATATGTACCTACATACTGTATTTTGTGGAAGCATGTTTACTTTGTAGTCCTCTGCATTATTTAAATGTTCTAAAATATCTGTAATTATTACCATGTATTGCTTTTATTATCAGAAAAATAATTCAAAAGTATTTTCCCCTTGGAGTTAAAAAACACCAATGACTTATTTAAGTACACTGAAAAAAAAAAATGGGAGAGGGAGAGAAGACAGAAGAAAAGAACAAAAGAAAAGAGAAGAACTTACCCGAATGATGAATCTGATTGCTGCACATCCAGAAGTTGCCATGACTTTTGCACTATTGGGGACAAGATTAAAAAGTGTAGGTACAATGGCTTCAGCGCCATGATCAAACTTGTTTCCCAAAACCGTGGAAAGATGGCTAAAAAAGGAAGACAAAATAGTTTCTTTAAAAAATGGTATAACATTAAATATAAGTAGGATATATAAAATATTCTTTTACGCAACTTAAAATTTTTATTGTAATCAGTTTTTAAATCCTCACTTGAGGATATGTTTTTATTGATTTTTAGAGAGAAAAAGGAATGGAGAGAGAGTGGAACATTGATTGGTTGCCTCCAGTAGTGCCCTGACTGGGGATTGAACCAGCAACCTAGGTATGTGCGCTGACAGTGGATACAAGCCACCCGCAACCCTTTTGAGTATGGAATGACACTGTAACCGAGCCACCTGGCCAGGGCTATTGTAATTAATCTTTATAGCAGGAAAGCAAAAGAGAGATAGGAAAGTGCACATATTACCTATTTCCTTTGTTTTCCCATCTTTTAACTGTCAAGTACAAAAAAAACCTTGAAATTTTCCATTTTACCATCTACTATTTGCAATGGCATTTGAAGAAGCTATCTGATGTCCACATTTAACCATTGATGGCACAAGTAAAAAATTCAACTGTTTACCCTGACCTTTAGCAATCTTTATCTATCAAATATTTCCACTGTAATGTCCCAACATGAATCTTAAATGCAGCGTTTTTTATAAACAGGTTCAAAAGCTTACCCAAATCAATACTCTTCAAGACATTTTCTATTTCTATTTATTATATCATCTCCCTGAGTCACAAATACTCCGCAAAAATGTCAGCATTTTTGGAGGAGGGTTTCAGGATTCTTGATTGAAAATACAACTCTATCATATACTAATTAGTTGGATGATCCTAGGGACATCTACCTTCTCTTCCCAAATCTGTACAACAGTTAAACAAAATCAACTTTCAATTATATGATTTAAGTTAAAACACTCAGGAAGAATGCTGCAATCACTCAGAGTTCTGACACTGCTTGCAGTATTATTTAATTTCTATATATTCATATCTTCCTTAAAATACATGGTTGGTATACAGTTAGCACCAAAAATTCAGGTTGCTGATTCAAAGAGCTCTGGGAAGTTTTGTTTATAGTTTCCCACAGTTCTTACTTGGTATTCAGGGCGCTGCGCTTTTCACATGCACAGACGGGAAATCAGCTAGACTCATGGAATCCCCTATACAAATTTCTACAGCTCCTTTTCTGTGTATCTTTCTTCTCTTTAGTATTATGCACTGTAAATTTTAGCTACTGCACCCTTCAGAAACTCCAGCCTCTGTTTCTTCTCAACTCAGTGAGACTGCCTTGCTCTGCCTGGGTTCTCCTTCCCTTCCCCATGCCCAGAAAGTGTCTCAAGGTCAAAACTGTGCTGACTGTATTGTCCAAATTATTTGATTCTTTCAAAAATCAGCCCTGCTCTGACCACTGTCCATTATCTGTAAAAATGTGTTTTACATATTCCATCATTTGCTGCAAGAGGGTTAGACCCATAGCAGTACTGCATGATGGCCAAAAGAATGATCATCATGGAATATTTTTCATGGCTACATTTTGTGGATTTTTGTTTTGTTTTGCAATCAAGAGATACTCAATTATTCTGGTATACTAGTCTAGTGACTTGTATCTGCAATCTGGGTAAAGTCTTTTAATTATACTAATTACAGGTTCTTGTGGTTTTCTGCATAGACAATTATATCATCCAATAAAAATGGGAGTTTGTTCCTTTTTTTTAATCTTCATAGTTTTTATTTCATGAGGTTTTGTTTGTTTCTTCTTTACTTTCTGTTTTGACTAGGACATCTACTTCAATCCTACTTAGAAATACTAATAGTAGGCATCTTTGTGTTACCTATCTTCAAAAGAATGCTTACTCAATAACACATACAACGAAAGTATTCAGGTGGGGAATAGTAACAAAAGGAATTTTAGGATTCTACCGTCCTTGAATTTTAGAAGAATATAAACATAGAGATTAAGTGTATATTTTGATAAGTTAATGATGCATGTTATGATTCCAGAATAATTGGTAACATATCAGAAATAGCTTAATATCCAAATTAGTAAAAGAGAAAACTGAATGCAGACAGTTCTCATATTCATTCGCTTTCTTCTGTTTTATTTTTTTTGAGAGTTTTTTGTTTTGTTTTATTTTTTAGAGAGAGTGGAAGGGAGGGAGGAAGAGAGGCCTGCAATCCAGGCATGTCCCCTGACCAGGAATCAAACAAGTGACTTTTTAGTTTGTAGGCCAGGGTCTGGTCCACTGAGCCACACTAGGCAGGGCCATTCACTTTTTTCTTACACTCTGAGTTAGTGACCAAAACTCCACCAGGAGGCTTTAGAAATATAAACACATTTTAAGGTTGGTATAAAGCGCCATTAAGAAAAATTTTTTCCGCCAGCTGCGAACCAAAGGATCACTGGTTTGATTTCCATTCAGGCCACATGCCTGGGTTGCAGGACAGGTCCCCAGTACGGGGCACATGAGAGGCAACCACACATTGATGTTTCTCGCCCTTTCTCCCTCCCTCCCCCCATGTCTAAAAATAAGTATATAAAATATTAAAAGAAATTTTTTTTTAAATCACACAAATCAGATCCTTACAATTTCCTTTTTGGATCACATACATGTTTTTTTGACAGTTATCTTGCTGGGTTTTTTTTAATGAACCCTAAATCAATGAGCACTAAATCCATTCATAAAAAATGCTTATCACATAAAGAATATACTTACGCTACAGTAATGCAAGCTTCTCTAACCACCTGGGATCTAAGATCCTTAGCTGACAGTTTAAGTGCTCCATCCAACAAGCGTAAATGTTGGAAAAAGCAATCATATTGTGCAGCTCCAGCAACAAGCAATGATCGAATTTTCTTAAGCTGAAATAAAGAGAATTTCCATTGATTGACAAAACAGTGGCAGGGCAAAAACCAAAATTCTTAAAGCTACCTAAATCCCATTATTTGATCAAAATTTAAAAAATAACATTTCACTATATTTTTATAATATTCAGACATTTTTAACTGTATTAAATGTCTCTTAAAATAAATATGCAAACCAAAAAAAAAAAAAGAAAACCAAAAACTTTCTGTCAAAGGACATCATAGATTTGGTTATATGCATCACAGACATATGTAAGGTATGAATAGGTAAGTAAATTTTAAAGTTTTAAGTAAGTCTCTCTTTTATAAATTGTGGTGAAATACACATTTACATAAAATTTACCATTTTAAATATACAATTCAGTGGCATTGTGTACAATCAAAATGTTCTTCAACCATTACCACTATATACTAAGGAGACTATTTTTTTAAAGGTCAAATTTTAGAAACCATATTCATCTACAAGCTAAAGTATAGAAGCAGAAGGGTCAACCATTAAGCCATCAAAATGGAGACTGGGAGCTCTCAGAGAAGAAGAGTCTTCGAGCGGAACCCCTTCTCTGGCTTCTTGAGGACAATGAGGTACTCATTTACTATCTCAGATATAAACCTGACAAATTCACCAACGCTGAAATATAGTCCTTTGTCATAGCAAATTATTATTTTTAAATTTATCAATGAGTTTCTCAAGGAATTTAGGCTAAATAAAATATTCTTAACTCAAAAATACCAGACTTTAAAAGAAAAAAATAATGGGTGAAAATATTTATCACATTCAGAGCCAGAAAAATGGACACACTATTGTAAATTTATGTCGACACTATCAAAATATTGAGCATGCAGGCAAAGTGAACTGCTTTTTTGGTAGCCCTTTTAACTGATGAACAACGATGGAGAGGCACAGAGAGGCCGCAGCCCTGAGGTACCAGGGAAACTCACACTTTCCTGGTCAGTCAACAAGTAGCACATATAGTAAGACAAATGGTGAGAGAGGTTCCACTTGATCAGCAAAAACAGAAATTGACCCTAAATCAGAAATGCCAACTATCTCAATATATTTTTCAGAAAGAGATGTTACCTAACAGACTCTCTATTTCATAAATATCTGAAATATCAGACAACAGTACTACTGACTTTCCATGTTACTGAAAAAGAGCATTGAAAAAAAAAAAAAGAGGGATAAGAAAATAAAAATAAAAAACTTACTGCATTGGCACGCTGATCCCAGTCGTGTTTGTCATCTGACAAAATTTCCCTGATTTTATTTAATGTTTCTTCAAGTTCTCGACTAGAATAGATCTTAAAAATGCAAAATTGTAACATTAGTATTACTTACAATGAGCAATATCAAAATTATGCCCTGATGGTTAAAATAATCTTTCAAGTAATAAGGCTATTTGTTAATATTTCCCATTCTAGCATCATTTTTTTAATGGAGAATGGAAATATATTATGAATAATCAAGCGCTTTAATTTTCTTCCTTGCCTGTTACCCTTATGCTATTTCCTCACTCATGAGTAACTTCAAATATATATTTAAAGTTTATTGTCATTTAAAAACATAATGCAAATATTCTAATTTTTTAAAAAAAGGCCTAATTTCTCAAAATGGCTTTAGTATACAACATATCTAGGCATTCATACACTTATTATACGATACTGCAAAACGACTTGCTTTAAGTCAGTCTCCCCATTGCCCCCATGCTAGACTATAACCAAGAGAGCCACATGCTTCGGGTCCTCTGGAGACGACCATTTGCCAAACACCGTTATCCTTTCATTCCCTTAACAAATATTCATATAACAGAAATGCACTATGTGAGGCACTAAAGAAATTATGGTGAGCAAAAACAGGCATGTTCCTTGCCTTATGGAGCTTATAACCTAGTCAAGGAGAAAAACATTAATCAAATGATATAAAATATAAAATTGCAAATAGAAAGTACTACCAAGGAGAATTATGTAGTGCTATGAAATTCTATATATAATAGGGGGTTTGAACTAGTGTTAGGAAAGTCAAGCTTAAAATAAGAGCTAAAGGATGAGTTGAATGAACATCATTAGGCAAAATGGACCAAGATTAGCCTTCCCTGTAATAAACAGCATGTGCAAAGGCTCCATGACAGAAAGAAAATGAAAGAAGGCCAGAGTATAGGAGTAGAGTGCAAAGGGGCAGAGAGACCCAGGAAAAGAGTCAGTGAGAACACAGTATTTCTCTACATCATAATCAGAAGTGGGCACATATCCTAAATCAGTCCAAACAGAGTGAATTTCACTAAGTTTACAGGATCAACAAATAATAGTTTGGTAATAATAAATATTGTATTTTTACATAGTCATTTAAGGAAAAAATATTCTTAAAAGGACAAAAGTAACTATATGAACAAGCACACAAACAACAGTCATGGGAAGTGCCAGCACATTGGTATCTTTACCTGAATAGAAGGGACATCTGTAAAAGCTTTTATAAAATCATCTTCATCAACTGCCCCGGCACCTCCTTCCTTAGAAGCACCTGCTAAGTAAAAAAAATAAAATAAATTACTTTTTAAAGTTTACTTTTAAGCATGTTAGCATAAGAACATGAAAAATATAATTCTTTTGAGCATAACTTTAAGACACGTTCCGTTTTATTAAAAAAGCATTGAAAAAATCTCCAGCTTTCAGTAAAGTCAAGGTACTTATTAGTAGGTTGGCAGTAAAATTCAAACTATGTAAGAACAGACCCCTCTTATCCCTCATCCAATGCAACAGCAAGGACACAAGAAATACGAGTGAAAGGACAATGTTTAAAAGCTGAACAGCAATTTTCAATGACACAAAATGCCAGTAAGTGATGGCAAATGTGATGTAGGGGATCCATGTGAGCTGCAGTGGTCAGAAAAGGAAATGTGAAAAAATGAGGGTCTTGAAATTAAATTTAAATATGCAAACAAATCTTCCTTTATTGCACAAAATCAAAAAGTAAATTTAAGAGGTAGTTGTTTAAGAGACAGTAATTTAAAAAAAAAAAGTCAGTAATTAAGATACTATCTTTCGGCTTCAAAGCCACTCTGTCATACTGTGGTCCTGTGGTACTGGGCCTACGATTAAGCAAACCATTTTTTCTGCTGAATCTTGTGCTTTTCAGTTAAAACTCTGTCAATGGTGGGCGCTGGAGAGAGACTGGAAGCTGAACGAAGAATGAACCCTTACTCCTTTCTGACTGCTTTCTGTTCTTGTCAGCAAAACCCTAGAATCTCTGGAGGGACCTTTGTTTCTAGTAGCACCTGATGTCACTTTGCATTTTTTCTAACACTTAACTTAACCAGTTCACTTCACCCATCAGAGACACCAGTCAGCTATACATCCTCCTGAGATGTATGCGTAAAAGCTCTGCAGGGCCCCTCTCTAAGCAGCTCAGCTTTAATAATTTTAATCTCCTCACTTTGCTCCTCCAGATCTAGGAATAGGAGCTGTACTAACACTGCTACCTCCATGATACTTTAGTGTTCCCTTTTGCATTCTTAATTCATCAATACCTACTTAACAATTTTTATATTAAATTCTCTCTGTAAAAACATCTGTTGTGGCTTCTGTCTTCTGACTGCATCCTGTCTCACAAAAGTGGTGCTTAGTTCCTAACTCTATAAATGTATTTGTTCATGGTAATAGGAATTCAACACATGGAACAGATTTCAACTACACAAGATGTATGGCCCAAGTGACAATTAACTAAAACAAACGAACAAAAAAACACAACTCTCCAATTACAAAATTAAATTAAATATCTCCCCAATTAAGCTTATCATCTACCAAAGGAAATATTAATACTTCAAAAACTGTATTTAAGAAGTTAATATCATCCTAATAAAAACAACACTCAGAATTTCCAAAGGTATGTAAGAAGTACCTCATCTTAAAAACAAACAAACAAAAAAACGTTCGAAGATCTTTGTATGTGAGCTGCCCACAGAACAGCGTAACAGCTGTAAGGCAATAAAAACTGCAAATTAAAAGCAATGACAATTTAATAAACTCAAAGAGAAATGAATGTGTGGTTGCTACAGGAAATTCAATTATAAGAGTAAATAAATTAGTTATTGAAAAAAATCCAATAAAACAATAAAACTCTCAGTTCCATCCCTGTCATTCTGAGTTATTGATTAACTAAAAATAATTAAGGCCAAGAAACAAAAAATAAGATACCTTTCACTATTAACATAAAATACTACATTCAGACCTATTAATAGGGGTTTATTGTTTTTGACAGTGGGTCCCCTAACAAGTGCAAAGCCCAGGTTTTTACAAATTCCTTCCCAATCTTCCAGTTGTCTTACATGGGCCATGAAACAAAAATTTCTTTAGGGACTTTTCCTTATCAAGTAGTTCCTCAACATTTAACAGTTTTCATTAAAAAAAACCCAAAAACCACTTTCTACATTCATTGATAGCCTTTGTTCATTTATATACCACTTCCTGCAAAATTACTTTGTTAGAGTAACCAGAGTGATCATTAGGCATGTCTGAGAACAAAGAACTGATTTCTGGAAAACATATACTTCAACTGGTGAAAGAGAATTGCACAAATGTGCCAGAGCGAAACCAGTTAGCAGCCTCAATGTGCTGAAGTGTAGAGTGAAAGGAATGGAAAAGCTAAGAGGAGACTAATATGAAGAGTTACTACAATGTACATGCAGTTACAAAAGGTATCATATACATAGGACAGAATGTTACCTTCAGCAGTTGTTCACCCACCAGCCATAGCACAATGTCTAAAACCTTCAAGGGAATGCAGGGGTTCTGAATAAATACAAAATAAGGCCAGGAAAAAATGTGCCATTGACTAGGAACATGCATAAGGAAGTCTAACTTTGAAAATTCACTCTAATCTAATCTTTACTATCCAGTAAGTTCTGTCTTATGAATAGAGCCAAGTAAACTAGTGAGTAGGAGGAAAGGAAATATAAATGGTTTTCAAAAGTCCCACAGAAGCTGCAGAGGTGAAAGGCTACAAATATCACCTACTGCAGCCTTACGACTCTCTCAGATGTGACAATTAGGTCTCTAAACCTGGACATGAGACCACCCATTTATCAAGAACTTGCACGGTTTGAATGATTGATCCCAATCTACCTCACTCTTACCTTTGAGAATCACTTCGCATAAACAAAGCTGCTGCTGACAGCAGTGTACTGGGTGCGTGATCAGTGTCAGAGCAGAGGACACGCTGAGCTCCCCATTCTAGCCTTGCGTATCTATTGTATGCATTACAAGTAAACCTGACAATCCTAGTTTGCCTAATAATTTCCCTTTACCTTGGTTTTATCTGCCTAACAAAGTACAAAAACGATTCCTGCATAGGAGATAACCTATTAAATGAACTGCTTCACTGCACAATCATCATTCCATTTTGATACAGTTTTTAAAGTTCAACTAAAAAAAATACAATAAAATACAGTACCAGTAAGAAGCATGGATACCAAAGGAGAGACAAAAAGAGTAATGGGTCGTAATGTCAAATATTGAAGCAAGAAAAGGAGAGCGAGAGTATAGATTTAAAGATACATTTAGATAAAGTAAGTTTAAGAGAGGAGCACAAATAGAGGCTGGACTGAAGGACCAAGCAATGTTGGCTTCCAACTTGAGTAAAGATCTTTCAAATAGAACTGGGTCAACAATCACATTAACAGATATTAATAGGCTAAAACAGAATGGAAGAGCTTTGCCCAGAGTTCTCTAATTACTCTAAAACAGAGGTTGGTAAATTTTTCTATGAAGGTCCAGGTAGTAAATATTTTAGACCTTGTGGGCCAAATGGTTTCTGTTGCAATTATTCAACTCTGCAATTGTAGCACCAGCACAGTCACAGGCAATATATAAATGAATGAGCAAAGCTGTATTCAAATAAAGCTATATTTATGAACACTAAAATTTGAATTTCATTTTGTTGAACTGAACTTAATAGAATGTTGTGTGTTACTTACGATATACCTCAAAAAGAAAAAGAAAATGCACTGAATCTATAGATGAATTTGGAGTGAACTGAGAGCTTTGTAACACTGTCTTCCTACCTAGGAAAGTAGTAGGCCCATTTACCTATGTCTTTTAAAATATCTTTCAATACAGTTTTATAATTTAAAAAAATACTATGTTCAATAATAACTAATATTTTGAGGTACAAAGCAAACCAAACAAGAACAAATGAAAAACTTTTGGGGAAAAATAATAGAGACATTTAAAAAGAATACTAAAATAAATGGAGAACTATTCCAAGCTCTTGGACAGGAAGATCCAGTACCGTAAAGTGTCCAGTCTTCTTAAAGTAATACAATAATAATCAAGCCTCCAATGGGCTTCTGATGGCACTTGTTGAGCTGACTCTAAAATTTGGAAGAGCAATGAGCCAAGCACTGTTGAGATATACCTGAAAAAGTAAAGGGCAGAGTACTGCCCTACCAGATACCAAGATTTACAAAGCTAGGATAATTACAACAGTTAAGATTTAGTGCAAGGATAGACCAACTCTGAACAAAATACAAAGTTCAGAAAGAGACAAAAATATATGAAACTCTGACATGTGATAAAAAAAGTAATGCAGGTCAATGGGGAAAGTAGAAACTATTCAGTAATAATATCCTAGAACGCAACAAAAAGCTGAGATAATGAATTATCGAGTTTTAAAAAAGGTATTTTCTTACCAAATATTAAAACTTATAGTAAACATTATAATCCCCAAGGGAAAATGGTAGTCATCCAAAATTCAAATTAAATGTTCAAGTAAATACTCCAAAACCACAGAGATCAAAAAGAAGGGCAAATAAAATTATCCACAGAACATACTTGTAATACAATTAAGACAAGTAATACTCCAAACTTCATTTTACAAGTTGAATTACAAATTATACTGAGGAAAGATAAACACCCAGGATCAGCAACGTCAACTACAGAGTCCTCACTGGAGAGAAACATCGGAGAAAAGAGTATGGAAGAAGAGGATTTCAGTAGTGGTGAACCACAGGCATCATATAAGATTCCCGCAGGACCATAGCTAAGTAGTACTTAGAAAAGGGAGGTATCCTTTCAAGCTTGGCAGAAAAAGACAATGAAGAAAGAGAAGGTAAAGACTGTTGAAACAAAATGGTATCACAGACTCAGAAGCAGAAAGCCCCCCGTGCATCATTCAGTTAAAAGATGCATTTCACTATACCAACAGAAGAGGGCATTTTGAACTAAAAAACTGAGTAAATTTTTTTCCTCTGGCCCCAAAGAATCACTTGTTATAAAAAAAAAAATTCTTAGGACATTTAAGGAAATTTGAATATAGAAATACTTAAAAGGAAGTGTACAGTTTGAGAATAAATTTACAGAAAATAAAAGTGTTGAAGGAACAAGTAAAATAACGTCACAAAGAAATCAGACAAATCCAGAATATGGGATAATCTGAAAGACAATTGGCCTAGATTCTTTAAAAAAGTCAGTATTTTGGCTGCAAAACTTGGTAAGGGAACTGTCTCATACATGATATTATGGTATTTT